CACTTAGCAATAAAATAACAACTTACGTAAATCATTCATCAATGTAATAAAATGCTCAAATACTAATTGCAGATGCAGATAAATTAAAGTAAACTGTTCATGTTCCAACTCGCTCTAGAATGGATTTCCGCCAACACTTTGGAAATCTGAAATCGGTCTTAAACCACCTGAAGTGCTTCGCTGAACTCACAGAGCTGAACTTGAATGAGAAAATAAACAGAATACGCTCAAAAATCTTATTAATCCTAACCTCGAAAATATTTACGGTTCAAGCACAGACCAGACCGTTCAACATAATCAAAACAACTCGTACCAACATACCCAAGCCTAATTCCTCTAGCCCAATTTTAAATTGAGAAATAATTTCCTTCAAATTAGCAATTAACCGTAAAGTAACAATCTACTAGTTTTTCGTATATTTTTAAAGCAAGTCCATTCGAAAAAGGTTTCTTAGTGGTGTTTTTTGCCGATTTTGACCACTTTTCTCTCCTTGAGATTCCCTACCCTTTTCATCTGACCAGAATCTGACTTTATTTTTGTTGGTTAGGAAGTTTACATAAAAACGAATTTACATAATGCATGTTTACTGTTTACGAATTACATGTTTAGCTTAATCTACATACATGCTTTAGAAATGATTCATACTGCACAAATGGTAGGAAAATCAGGTACACATACATATGTTTAGCAACCAATATCTTTAGTAAATATTATTGATAAAATGCGTAGCATCGTCTGTAATGTTTATGTTTCATCGACGTCTTTGCCAGCTGAATAACTTTCACATCATGTTAATTCTTTTGCTAACTACCGGGTTTATAATCCAACTGAAAATCTTGTATCATAACTACCAGAGAAACATCAGACTTGTTGAGTACAGGGAAAGGGTAAGTTTAGTCGAAAGAGTATACCGTACTTATGCATATCAGTTATTTAACCACAATAGTCATTAAAACTCTCTTCAAAACTTTTTGAATCCTTTTCGTAAAGCCCATAAAACTTTATAAATACATTAACTGGTTTATTCATCCACCTAACATAGTCCTTTTCATGCTCAAATCTGCACATCTTGCTGCTTTCTGAGAGAGTAGTTTTGCGGTAACTACACATTTATTTATAAGTGGTGTGTGAACTGCTTAAACCTTCATGTTCATAGCTCTTAGTTAAATTGGTTGATTTCCACTCACTACAGATTCTTGATTCTCATTCCTCAATATTGTCTTGTAAAATGTTTTACTGTTATTCATACCGTAGCTCAGGTATTTTAGTTTGCCCTCTTTAGTGAGTAATATATTGCTCACTAAAGATGCCACACATTCGCGCCTTCGCTACGATTGTGTGACGTATTCAGTACGTAAACAATTTTTTTTAAATGTACCTGTAGAACAACATTTTAAACATAAGAAATTTGCTGGTGAAAAAAACTGATGTGTGGTAGATATTCAAGGAAAATCTGCGAAAAAGGTTTAAACTGTTTTCCATGCTGAGTATTAGTGCTTCTCTCTATTAATCTAAAAAAGCTCTTAATCATTGCTCATGAGTATTGCATCATCATGACTTCAAAGGTTCAGATGTACCTGATCTATCGTCTTTTTCAACTTCACTTTCTCAGAAGAGTATTGGACGTATTTAGAAACTCCCAGTGAAAGGTATACTTTATGCTTAGAAAAAAACGCTTAAAAGATTGGTTTTAAATCCTTCTTTATAATATTCTTTAAACGCAATATATGTGGTAATTACACATAAACTCAGAAATGCTAATTTTGAAAATATCTAATAATTTTTGCATTCTTATAGTTTAGCATCGTACAATGTGAGAATTCAAATCCATCAAAAACATTATTATTTCCAGAAGCAGAGTTATAGAATCCTGTTTTCCTGCAAATAATGCGAGAAAATTGATCTTTTTTTTATTCGAAACAAAAAATCACCAATTTTTCGCCACAATCGATACAGAGTATAATGTTCTTAAAAGGTAATCTTATTTCTCGTTCTTCATAAGAAAATCACATTAGATCGTACCTGTGCTTGCTAAATTGTTATTGAAAAAGCTGTAAACTAGTAACTACTTACTTTGCCTTTATTTAACGTAATAACTTTATTTAATTTTCCGTTTCGCTTCTAAAAATATTTGACCATTTTAATATTCATCAGTTCCTGGGTCTGAGCAAGCCTAATCAACCTTTCTAAACACATCCAGGTACTAATATGGAATTATGTGTATATTTTTAATTGATTTTGAAAATGTTATACATATTGAAGCGGCACTTTTTCAGATTAACGAATTATCAGATAATATGAAGTCAATGAACAGAATAGCGAATACAACATCAGAATTGATGAAGAAGCTACTAGCGTCTCTCAGCTCAAAAAGACTTAATCAGCAAATTACCATAAGCTGACAGTATATGTATAGATTCAAATATCGGAGTAGGCAAACCCAACACAGAGAATATTGCCTTGCTTTACAGCAGATTCGAGTTTTTTCAATACCAAAAACATTGATAAAAATAATAAAAAAATAAAAGTTTGATTTGCATAGTCAATTTTGCCTATTGCTGGTAATATTTCAGACACGGAAAGATACAGAAAACTTTGCATCAAAAATTAACTTTTTGAAGTTATATAGAGACAATTGTGATAATGGTCAGTCCTCAGTACAATCGTTCTAACCAAATAATTATATAACGTTTGCTTTAGTGTAGGGGAGAGCTTACGGGAAAGTGCCAATTCTATTCAATTCAAATTCAATTAATCAAATATTTTATTACTTCAGGCAAAAAATTATTATCTAATAGTTAAATTGGTGCAACTTAGGTCCATTGGCCAGTTTAGATATATCTTTTATATTTTCAATGAAAATATTTTATTAATAGAACTACTATAGTCATGTATGAGTTAATTTTCGGAGACTTAGCAGTGATCTTTGTTTAAGGATCTGTAAGTAATTTTTAATTGTACTTTGACTAATATGAAAAATAATTGCGCATTAAAAAGGTTCTATCTCTCTGTTATAAAATTCTTCTTTAAAACGCAGATATCGAGTGTTATATTTGTTACGTGTGATATTCCTCTTTGTATAATTACGAATCAAGCTTTAAAATTTGTTGGGCAGTGTGCACATGTTCACAAACGTTTTAAATACATTCGTAAATGCCTATAGTTAGTGTTGTAATGGCAACGATTATTTAACATGATGTTTTAAAGTCTATATTTGTACTTATTTTGAGATCTGTTAATATTTTGTAGAATTTATCGCAGTTTTAACCTGTTAGTTGGTAAATAAAAGTATTTTATTCACAAAAAAATAATGTATTTTTTGTATCCTATTCATATCAACAGTTGTAAGCAAAAAATATGGTAGGAATACAGCTCAAACGAACTTCTGAAAATTCAACTTATTTATGTTGAGAACGATACTTTTTAGAATAATACCTTTACTAAATCAGACAGATCAGATTTGCAGAGGTTTAAGAAAAGTTATCTAGATCTAAACAAGTGGGGTTGTTTTTGTAAGCACCTTGATCTTCCAGAACAGCATGAGGTGCACATATCCATGGATCGTTTGTATTTTGTTGCCATTCAAACAGTCTCTTTTTAAGCTGTCTAAAGATTTCACTCACACTTGGTTTTGAAGCCAAATTATTCACCTCTGCAGGGTCCATTTTCATATCATATAACTCCCATTCTGGTCTATTATAGTAACTTTTCAAAGTTTTAAACCAGTAAGTCGGTTGGCCTGATTTTGTACGATTAAGAAGGTCCTAGAAATATAAGAATTTAATTAGCAATTGAGTTGATTCGTTTTTTCTTTTTGATAATTTTTAATTATGTATTTGAATTATCGAATGGGGAAACTATATTACTGTGCTAGTGTATTTTAGAAAAAATATTTATTAACCTGAAGATAAAATGCTCACTTACCCGAAAAGTAGAAGAAATGTAAAAGTCTTGATCAATTGGAAAAGGACTATTGTAATTCAAATTGTGAATTAATTTGTATCCCTGAGTTCGTATCATTCGCATGGGATAACACATGGTCACTTCGTGTAAATTGTGACTAGCAAAAATCGCTTCGTTGGATTTATCATCGGGTTCTGAAAATAAGTTGTCAAAATCACAGTTTGAGCAAGTTCAGTTCGACTTACCCTTAATCAGCAACGGCAGCAAACTTTTTCCTGAAAATGCCCTTTTAGCCTGAATTTCGTTGCTTTCCCAGTTGGTAGTATCATTTTCACTAATTCCATACCAATCCAATAATGTGGGCACAATATCTGAAAAAGCATTATCCTATTTATTACTCGCTTGACAAATTCCAGTTTCGCTGATTCTCATCATACCTAGTAAACTGGCCAGGGAATTAGTGACTTGGTTTTTTCGTTCTTTATGAAATGGTGACGATAAAAACATGGGTTCAGCCAATCCCGAGTCATATAAATTAGTTCTACCGTTTGGAAAAGGAATGCCATTATCTGAGCTGAACATTACAAGGGTATTATCCGAATATCCAGCGTTTTCCAGCTCTTTAAGAATTAGCCCAACACCTATGAAATAATGTGTTAATAATAATATTTTTTCGGTCCAGTTCACTTAAAACCTTCGTCCAATCTACCCATGGTAGTATATTGGGCAGCAATGTCCTTTCGAGCAGCTTCGGTATCCGGAACGTAAAAGGGAGGCACTATTTCATCCCATTGATAAGTAATGGGGTGCCAGTCGGGAATCAGACCCATTCCTACAATTTATTTAAACAACTTCACAACTTCTTGCAAATGAAACACCTCAAACCTTCTTCGCCGTTACCAAAACGCTGGCAAAATTCACCATATTGAGGGTTGGTATGCCCGCAACGATGTGGATCATGAAACGCGATATACAAAAAAAACGGCCTAGAAGAAACAAGAATAAAAAAAATTTGCTTGAATTAACTGTGCCAACTCACTTGTCCCCGGAACTATTTAAAAATTCTCGAGCGAGAAGCTTGATGTGGGTGATATTTCGGCCCACTTGTAAGATGGAATTATTTTCTTCTGTTTGGGAGTAATCGAAGGGGTACACATTGTCTGGACCAACGTGTTTCTTTCCGATTATTCCTGCAAAAGAATTGGCAAGTTATGACCAATTTTGCACTTGCACTTCACCTGTATTGTATTGTACTATGGTTATTATTAATATTTATCCCTGTATTTTTAAATGTAGCAAAACTTGCAACAATAGCCTTTGATCATTTGAACCCCATTTTTTACTATAAAAATTTAATTGAAATTAAAATAACACTGAAACAGTAGTTACGTTAAACTCGAAGTGGCTGAGCTACTTAGGGATAAAAATTTATATGCTGGAAAGTTGAAAGTTACTTTAGTATGAAAAATATTCAGGGCGTTAAATTTGCCGCTTATCGGTTATCACTTAGGTGGAAAACGCTTTTCAATAATTATTGTAATAAAAATTTACCTGTCCTAATATTATGCCGCTGTAGTATTTTTGGCAAACTTTCAATAGTATTAAATGAATCGAAATGATGCACTCCTTGATGAAGACCGTACATTCCATTCTGATGCGATGGTCGTCCTGTTAATATTGCCGATCGGCTAAAAAGTATCCATGTTTATAATTGGCTAATACCGCAAAAAGACTCAATCATTTCAGTTAATTCACACTTTTTCAACTACCGTAAATTTATACTTACCTGGGTGAACAACTACTAACTGAAGTAAATGCTTTATTGAAAATTAAGCTATTTCTTGCTAGCTGGTCCAAATTAGGAGTTTGGCAAATCTTGTTTAAGTACGCTCCAATTTCAAAACCTGCATCGTCAGCTAGACATTTGAAATAAAAATGTACGTCCAATAGAATGTTTATAAAAAAATATTTTTTATACAAAAATATCGGATTGTATATCTAAAGTACATTTTTTAATTTGTATTCTTATTGTATAGTATAAGTTTAGTGGTATCTGTACAAAAAAAAATAAATCTAAAACCAGTGACAAAATCATGCAAATATATTTTTTTGCGGTTTTAATGTAATTTGATTTAATGAGTTGTCCATATTAGTTCCAAATTTTCCTTGTGTATCTAACATTGATTTAACTGTGTAAATCAAATCTTAACACTACACAAATATAAAGAAGCCACTTTTGAGCATAAGTAGATACTTACGGATAGTGATACGCTAATGGTTTACTTGCAAACATTTAAACGTGAAACACATGATTAAATTGAACTTACCGATGATTAGCAGTGCATTGGGCTTTTCATTTACATCAGGTTTCTTCGTCGATACATGGCCGCAACACCAGTATATAATTAAGATCAATCTACATATATGTTTCATTTTAAAAAGCACAATCTTATTCAATGAAGAGGTCAAGGCTAAGAGTAACAATCATAAGCTTTGTTCTGCCGGCCACCGTACACATTTTATAGTTATAGGACTGCAACGTAAAATACCGGGTGATTTATGTGCCAAAGCACAGGCGCTATTTTATTATTTAATATATATTTTTGGTTCTTGTTCCAATGGAAATATCAATCACAAACACGACTTATGTATGGATGTTGCAATGAAAATCCGGGTACAATCACAAAATTAAATTTAATGGTCATACATTATTTAATAAAAGTTTTACAAAAATGTTTGTAAGGAAAATCATCAAGTTCCTATTTCTAATATTTTAAAATGAACACATTTTAAACATGAAACACCGTACGTTAACGAATAGGGCTTTCAGTTCAAAAGCCATGCATTACAAAAAAATATTCTTGTAATTCCAAATTAATTTAAGAGGTAAAGAGAATGATACCACGAAATATTTACAACTTTTTCTATTATAGAACCGAATTAACGGTAAAAACTGTTCAAATGCAAAGTTTATACTGCTATTCGGGATTAACTTGCGATAAGGGTAGCGCTGTTGTATAATTGTTAATTGCTTTGTAACCATCAGCCGTATTTAAACGCAAAAGTGTCACTTTAATTCTTTATACATATTTAGGAAGTATATCTACAGAAAAATCACAAACTATTACTAAATAACATATATTTAAAAAAGTTCACTTAGATAAAATTTACACTTCACCAGTAGTATTATCTACAGAGTTATCCTGCCTGCTACTAGATATATCCTGTTGATCTGAAACTTGTTCAATGGCGCCTTTGGGGTCCTGTTTTTTAGTCGTGTCGGTTGAGGGTATGGTTTTTTTCAGTCCAGCAGCTCCCGAATTATATACGGGCCAACGTTGCCTAAATGGCATTGCACTCGGCATTAGAGGCATTCGAGGCATCATCATATGGGGTGGATACATGGGAACCATGGGGACACGACTTCGATAAGGCTGCATTGCATGGAACTGTGCGTATCCCTGTTAATCAGATTAATAATTAATACTATTTTTTTTCTGTGAATATTTTCTTGCACCAAAAAATTCTCGGCTTTTAGCTAAAGATTATTAAAATATTGAAAGCGTGTTTCTCTATTTATCAAAAAAATCAAGACGTCTGAACTTTGCTACTCAGTTTATGTTATTCTCAATTGCTTTCATTTATATCATGTTTCTAGTTAATAATTACGAAAAAGTAATGAAACTGAAAACCTTGTCGCATAATGTGAGTTCATGAGCTTGACAAAACTTAAACAAATGCTTCTTCTACTAGTTGATAAGCAGTGGGCTCTACTTACATCATAGAATCCATACTCCATTCCAGGCATTGGCATAAAGGGAGCCCTAAAATATAATTTACATGAGAGTTATGTTACTTAATCTATTGTAAATTTAAATAGGAATTGTCAATGCTAATTCAACTCACTCAGCCTGGGATCTGAATTGTCGACTGCTTTTGGAATGTGGAGACCGTCCTATTGATGAAAAAAAAATTAAAACGCAATAAATAATAAAGTTAAATCAATCATTTAGTCGAAAACTATTTATCTACTTCCATTGTCAGCCTGAACAATAAATAATTCAACACTAATTTACCAAATAATAAAAATTAAACCCAGCTGTTAAACATAAAAGCGATATTTCAACATATGGTAAGAAGGTAACTTACCTCGGGAATAACTTTCTGGGCTGCCTTTGACATTTCTGAAAGAATACCTTGAAAAAATAATGAAATGACTATTCGATCAATATCATCACCAAAGTCTAGTCATACCTAGGACTTCTGCTTCGGGTTCTGGACTTTCTTCTATGTGCGTTTCGAGGACTTTTGCTTCTGGAGTTTTTTCGAGTCGTTCTAGGACTCCTAGAACTTCTGCTTCTGCTTCTGGACTTTCTTGATTTCCTCTTCCGTAAGTCAGGATGCCCCGGACGATATTCTCCAGGTCTTAAAGGGGTAACTGATCGCTTTCTACGCTCGTTTGCTGATCTATGGCGTGATGATGAATATGACCGCGATCGTCTCCTCGAAACATGTCGCCTTCTTGGGGAATTTGATCGATATCTTGACCTTCTTCCTCCACTTCTATGCCTACTACTACTCTTTGACCTAGAATGTTAAAATCTTGGTGAAAAAGCTTTTATGAACTACTTTTATCCAGTATATATAATTGAAGTAATAATCCATAGCCAGTGGCATTTCCATGCTTCCCTCATACCTGTTGGTTCTTCTAGGTTTTTCCCTGCTTCTGCTGCGCCCTCGGCTTAAACTTCTTTCCTTAGTTCTGCTTCTATATCTATTATCTCTATGCTTAGATCTGCTTCTGGATTTTTCCACTGAAGCGCGACTTTCACCTGAAGGCCCTGGTTGATTATCTCCGAAGTTTTGATTAACTTTAATGTCCTTTCCAAAAATAGGTACGCTTGGAGGGTCCTCATTTCCTTCTAAGGAGTAACACGACGTTAAATAACTAATAATAATTGTGAGTGATTAGAGCTGACTAGGTATTATTTGGTACATATTAAGAAAATCAAAGGTCAAAATAGGAATATACCTTTCCTGATATGAACGTATGCACATATTTTCGCAGGGTCATCAATATCCCTTTGCAAAGGTAAACTGCGAGCTGCGGCAATTACGCCCCGTTTCTTTATCATTATTGTCAGTCCTAATTCATCCATCTCATATACTCTTCTATTGTTAAATTCTTTTGAAGGCCTGCAAGTAATTTACACATATTTATAAACTTATAACTGATTATTATCTACAGGAATGTCTCGACATTATTATTTTTATTGCCTTTTATTCATGAGATCGCAGATGCCGATAGAGCCGGAAAAAAGTAAAATTAATCTAAAGAGTTACTGCTTAGCGACTATTATTGATGAGTTTTGTCTGGGTTTAATGCTTTAGTATCTCATGCACAAGTTGCTTGAATTCTCAGACGTTTTTCGTTCGAAAGCTTACACTTGACTAATGAACATGGACAATATCCCTATTTGTAAAAAAACGCAGCGTTTCACAACCCTTTTATCTTTACATAAACTTTTCTATTTATTTTAATCAATAGATTTGTATTAATATTGGTTAATTTTAAGAGCTTTTTAGCTTCGGCGAAGGCCTAATAAACCTAAAAATACCAGAGGTTTTTTCATAGCATGAGGAACCATCCCCCACTTAAATATTGTCCCACTTTTTAAGCACTCTGTAGAATGTAGAAGCGTTAGAATTTGAATCAATTTTGACCTGAAAATATTTAGAACGACCCTGTAAGGCAACGAAAGCCGAAATGAGCAATTTATCGTCAACATTGTTTACGACTTTAAGCAAAGATTAAATGTGATTATTTAAGTGATTTAACTTCGTGAATATAAGCTATTTACCTGTACTTGTTCCGATAACTCGAAGATTTGCTCATTGCTAACAAATTAACGAGTTATCATTACTTGAATATAATAATAACAAACAGTATACAGAATGGAGACGATCGAAACCATAAAACAATACAATACAATACTTATTGGTTAGCCTGTGTAACATGTCACATGTCAATTTCCAGAACTGCTTGAAGTTGGACCATATCAAATATCAATTCAAGGTGAAGATACCTTTAACTTAACCTCTGCGTTGTTTACTCGATTTGTTATGAAAATGAACAATTTAGAAAAATCGTTTACGTGGAAAATATGCATTGATAACGATAAATCAAGCTTACCTACAATTTACTGTGGATTTCATCATTTATTTCAAACGAGTTTCTTGACCCGAACTGGAGTTCCCAAAGTGCCAAAGCAACAATTTGTCTAGTTATAATTGTTATTATAGTATTTAAATAGTCTAAAATAGAAGCTGAACGATGCCCAGCAAAATTTTGTGCTTATTTGATGTGGATGGTACCTTGACCAAGCCGGTAAACGATATTGAGCCCCAATTTGAAGATTTTCTGCAAAATAAGATTAAACCTTTATCTGTTTTAGGTAAGACCTAATTAATGGAAAGCTCCCTATGGGCTCCTTAAATTGTCACTATTTGAGCTGTTAATTTTTAGGAATTGTTGGAGGTTCCGACTTTAAAAAGATTTCAAAACAAATGGGCGGTGAAGATATGATTGAACGTTATAGATATGTTTTCTGCGAAAACGGATTAGTCTTTTTCAAAGATGGCAAAGCAGGCGGTTAGTTATGGTCTGCAATTTCTCCATTACACGCCCAAACGACACGTATGTGTTTTATATATCTAATTATATTTTTAGATCAACAAACTATCCAAAAGCATATGGGTGAAGACAAACTGCAAATATTCATTAATTTCGTTCTGGGTTATCTATCGAAAGTAGTCTTGCCAGTGAAACGAGGCACTTTTATAGAATTTAGAACCGGAATGCTAAACATATCCCCAATAGGTACTTTTTAAAGGTCTTAAGTTGGAAAATATGAGTACCTACATATATCTATCTGCAGGCAGATCATGTTCTCAAGAAGAAAGAGATGCATTTGAAATTTATGACAAAAAGTATCAAGTTAGAGCAACAATGATCGAGACAATTAAGAAAGAGTTTCCCAATTTTGGTTTCACTTATAGTATAGGAGGTCAGATTAGTTTCGATGTGTTTCCAACAGGCTGGAATAAAACATACTGCCTGCAGCATCTAGAAAACGAGGGTAACTAATTACAGCAGCAGCAACATAAAGTTGTTTTGCTCTTCAAGTGTCCTATAGGTTTGTTCTGCGCCCTTTAATTAAGCTCCCAATTTGTTGCTCAAATTTAACCCGATTTTAGAATAGTAACATTCAGCGATTTATCCCTATCCTTACGTGGAATGCTACAAAATCGGTTGAGACATAAAGCCCCGCTCATATTTAAACACCCATCAGATCTAACCCGCTACATAGACGTTTGCCAAGTTTCGTCTCAATATCTAGGAAAGTCAGTTCTGAATTGCCATTTTCGTACTCAGAAAGAAAAAAGTTGTCCCTCAGTAGACTAGTATTAGTTTCTAAGTTATATGCTTCCCGCCAGCTCTAAATGATAAACAGACATAAAAAACGTAGATGCTGAATAGAGCGGAATTATTCATATATGTATAGCACACGAAGTAAACCTTAAACAACAAATATCGTATACTAATTGCTCACAAAAAAGAACGAAACCTATGGGATACCCTTATATTTTATGAAATTTGAATTAAAATCAAATATCGATTCTTAAATGTCATCTCTAGTTATATTTTAAAGGTTTCGATGAGATACATTTCTTTGGTGATAAAACGGAACTGGGAGGAAATGATTACGAAATATTCAATGATCCGCGGACTATTGGACATAAAGTAACTAGTCCGGACGATACTAGAAAGCAGCTTGAAGAGCTGTTCAATATCTAAGAGAAATAGTGAAAACTGTAAAGTATAAAATAAATAAAGTGAGTTTTCAAGTTTATTTTAATTAAATATGTATTTCACATAGACTACATAAAAATATATATACTTTATAATGTTTCCATAAAAATGCGTTTAGGCTCCTTGGTATTTTGGTTTTCTTTTCTCCTTAAATGCTGTCAGTCCCTCTGTCCGGTCTTTAGTAGGAATAATCTGTGCGTAGCAAGCTTCCTCAATTGATAATCCTATAAAAGGAATTGATAAGAAATACATTCGCAAGGAACTACAAATATAAGTAAAGCGGGCAAAGGGAAAGGCTTGAATGCTTTAAAAATATATGTTTTTTGGAAAACTGAGTCCTGGGCATTAAAGCTTAAGTTGATAGCTTGGGTTATAAAACATCCTTTTACTCCAAGTCTATTATAATAAGAGAGAGAGAGCCAGCCCACATTCATTCTAAATATCTCCTGAACTATTTAGCTCATTCAAATACGGGTGGCCTAATTTGAATAAGCGTTTTAAAAATAAATATCTCAAAATACATACTTAAAACATGTATTTTGATAAATCGACGTTTTTCTAACGAGTTTAAATAAACAAATGAGGCGGCGTTTTCTGCAGCGACGACGTTTTTTGTAAAATAATAGGGCGCCGTATTTGTCATTTTACAGCCCCTTACATAACATCACACCACCTAGCTTAGAGTGAAAAAAAACACATTGTAATATCATCATCCGTTTCCGACAAATCTAATTAACGAGAGACACAAATTACGTAGTTACGATAAACGATGTAATTACGGTTCGATTTTGTCCACTAAGTAATAAAATTAATAAATCTAGGCTTCTTTCGCAACTTACATTCAAAACGCAATTAGATTTGCAGTGCGGTCAGAGACAAAAAGGACACCGACACAGATATTATTTTCATAATAGCGGAAAATTTTAACATCCTTCAATTATGCAAGGAAAGTTTGGCCCAAAAAGTTCTCACAACTGTTCAAATAAATCTCTTCCATCATTTTCGCTTCTACCATTTGTGAGCTATTTTTCATTTTTCCTCAAAAAATTGTTGCAGCAAAGACCTTTAAATCGGACAAGTCATCTACCTATCTCTGAAGCAATTATTCTTGTTTTTATATTATTCTTGGTCCATTCTGCCTTTTAAACAATGAATGTTGTTTGGCGTATACAAGTAAATTTTAATTTATAAATTAAATATGACCGAGGAACTGCATTTCTAACAATACCTACCAAACAAACGTTTTAGGGGCGCTGTTCTGTCCAAAATCTACAGTTATGTAAAATTTAGTAAAAATGTAGCTTGATCAAAAAATTGATATTTAATAGTAAAATAGAAATTTCATTTCATTAAAGTCATTTCTCATATCTGCTCTGCTCTCTGCTGAAGTTGGTGTCTTCAGTCACTCAGTTTTCATGAATCAACTGTGATGTTCGTAAGAGTGACCGTGTAATTGTGATTTTTTCGAGTGAAACGGTCAGTTTTAATTTTTCAGATAAATTAAGTTTGCAGTTCTTGTTGCGTATGCATCTCTCAAAACCAACTCCTTAAATGTGCGCGTAATAAACGCATCAAACCCGATTGTAAAGCTGATATTTTATTAGACAAGGATATGTTGAAAGTAAATTTCTAATACTATGTAGTTGAATCAAGTCAGCTAGAATGTGAGACGTGTTTATCATTAATTAATTATAATTAATATTACGAAAAAAAATTATAACGTAGTCTCAAAACATGTTTGAGATGCGTTCTATACAAATTTTAATTTAACATATATGCGGATTTACGAATATTTATTGACAAGTCCTATCCATGTTTGCTCAAAAAGCTGTCGAAGTTTTGAATAATTGTGTTTCTTGCATCGTAAGAACCCTGTAGATGTATAATATATGAAAGCCCCAATCGAGAATTGAACATTTTTATACAGAACGGCTTCTAATACAACATACCTGAATATAAATCTACTTCCATTCCTTTGCTTATGGCTTGCTTAGCCATTTGTACTGCAAATGGCCCATTGGGCAAAATATCGTCAGCTATACTTAGGCACTTATGAAAGGCACCTTCTCCTTTTTCGTCCTGCTCCACCACATGGTTAACTAATCCTAAATTCTATAGGAAATTAAGTTGTCTTTGAATTTTCTAGCATTTTAATTACCTAAGTCGAAAGCGGTCGTTCCGTCTATAATTTTTGAAGTATAAATTAATTCTTTGGCAATTGAAGGATTTAGGATTCTTGGCAGTCTTTGCGTACCTCCGGCACCTGGAATAATTGCTAGTTTTGTTTCTACTAAACCCATTTTCGAATCAACAGAAGCCACACGAATATCGCAGGCCAGTGCGATTTCCAGACCTCCCCCTAGGGGAAAATTTTAAATGAATTTGATATGGGGATCAAACCTTTAATGAAATACCTAAAGCCACGCCATCAATTGCCGCTAAAACAGGTACGGAGATATTTTGCACCCTATTCATCAATCCCCTCAAGTTAGTCACAAAGTCTGCTACCTGCTTTGGAGACATGCCAGCTCTTTCTTTGAGATCAGCGCCTAAAAAAAAGTCAGCCACAATCAAGTCATTTACTTGTAAAACAGCGTTATTTTACCTGCACAAAATATTTTTGGCGTCATGCTTTTCAAGATGACCACTCTGGTTATATTATCGAAATAAATTTTGTCGATGTATCTGTGCAGTTCTTTCACTAAATTCATGCTGAATGCGTTTTTTCGTTCAGGTCGATTAAAACCTAGAAATACGCTACTTTATTGTACGTACAGGATGATAACGTTAAATTAATATACAGACAAGTTATACAGGATGATTTTTAATCAAAAAAATGGTAGCGGCGTTTCCAATCCGCGGTTCAAAGGCTGTTGACATTAATAATTTTATGTCTAGATTTATCAAGTAAATTTCTCAACAAATGTAATAGAATGAAAAACCAAAATAAATTATACGTATAGGTTCGCTTTATAATGTTTGGCGCGGCATAAAATGGGGTAGCACAGTTTCGCAAGCATTTTACTTGAAATAGCACCATCAATATATAGTCTTTATGAACATTGTAGTATCTGTTATATGGGGAATATATTCGTGGAATAGGACTCATTGAAAATATATTTACTTGGTGCGAAAAGCAGTAATTGTTCAGTGCCTTCTGATCATTCGGAGACAACGCTATCTAACCTTACCTATGACTGCAACACCTTCATGCCTTCCTTGCAAATAGTTAAAAACAACATCACAATGTGAAGATTGTTGTGAAAACTTTCTACACAAATTAAAACCATTATATTTAGATAAATGGACTAATTTTGAAATGGACATACTGTACGACATCATCGAAAACAACTTACTGGGTAATAAGCAATTAAAAGCTGTGTCATTTTCCTAATGTTAACTTTATCATTATTTACATCATTATGAATTAAACATAAATATTGTTTGTGTTGTTTCACAACACAAAACTTTGGTTAGGCGATTTAGATCAGCTGTTTCAGTTGTCAGTTGCCTTTGACAAAAGCAAATAAGATAATTTGGCACGGATGGAGTGATGGCTTCAAATCTACTTATAGTTAATTAGCTATATTTTAATAATTTTGTACTGTACATGCCGGACCTGAAAATATATTATTTTATATAAAAGAAGCTCCAATTCAGTATATATAACGACATTAAAACTGAGAGTAGAAAAGTGTATATTTAATTTTTTTTAAATTAAACTTTTAATGTAGTAGATTAAGTAATTAGTAAAGACAAATGGCTTATTAGTATACCGCACTAGATTGCTATAACAATAAAAAAATAAACTTTTATATAGAAGACAAACTTCAAATTCTGATGTGTTGTATGGAACATAGATAAAGACAAGTAAAAATCGACTATACCCCTGTCTATACTATACTGTATATACCTATCTATCTATGCTATACTCTGAGAACAACGTTTGATTCGTAATTATTTGTTTCGTGTGATAATCGAATAGATTATCAACAGGAGCAATTCATATGTATTTTTGGCCGAGCTTATAACAGTGTTTTCGATTGCATTTAGGTAAAGTAGTAAACCAAAACGGTCGTTTATATTTTCCAGAGCTTTAATGAAACTTTTAACTTAAAGTAGGCGCAATATTCGCTGTGGTTTTCAAAAGCAGCCTTGTTAAGTATCTAAATGGATTTTATTATTATTTAATAGAAACAGGCGAAATCGATTTCTAGTCAATTGTTGTCAAAGTTTAGTCTCGTGTCTTCTGCTTTTTCCGAGGATACTAAAAAGTATGCTGTAAATTTTATTATCAATTTCTTGCACATTTGTAGGACATTTTGGAAAACTGCACAAAAAATAAACGCGATGGTAACATGTCATACTTTATATACGTTTTGCTACATCCAGTAATTGTCACTCATAATTCTACCACATTAGTAAACCTCGGAAAATTATAAGAACGAAAAATAATTTTGAGCAGAAAAGTGCACCATTTTAAGTTTTATTACTTCTGGGTAAACTGTCAACACTTTTTTTAAATATAAATGCAGTTAATACAAGGCGGTGACATAGGAACAACAGTCCAAAGAATTTTGAGAAAATTCATGAAAAGTTCTATTAAAAATTGACTGTATATTTGCAAAACTAACAGACATCATTGTCTTATCACGAGTCAAAAAACCTTCTTCTGCATGAGATAATTGCTCAAAAAACGATTTCTTATGTAATGAATAATAAAATATGTCAATGTTTATTTGCGCGAGAAATCAAAATTGAAAGCAAGTGAAACTATGATTGTGTTACAAAGATAAAAACATCATTTCGACCAAATTACAAACATATTTATGTCGTGAAAAGTCTAAAAATTAGGCAGAAATAGGTCAAACTATTTCTTATTATTTTATACATTATCTCTTTAACATTTTAAAACTCGATTGTTAATACCTTGCGGTTCCGGTTCTTCATAATCCTATCTGCCGCATAAACTTGGTCCCCAATTATATTCGATCCATTTCTCACGAATTACCATCACTAACCGTTCAAATTGGAATTATTTAATTTAGTATTGCTTATCTGGTGTATCAATATTTATATTTACAATTGTCCCCACAAAACATAAAAATAGTGAGTAGTCTGTGCACAAAACTTTAAATTTGAAATGCTTGACAGTTCAAACGTTTCTGTCAGATCCATGTGGAATAGGTTCGTACGTTGAGTCACAATTTTTCGGAATCAGGCTTGCCATTTGAAGTTTGTTCATTTAATTTACAAATGGATTTTCTAAATTATTTTAATAAAAAAATCATATTTCAAGAAATCAGGTTTAAAAACATGGTTTTTAAGATAGCTATTTAAACTTTAATTAAATTAAATAAGTAGCAATTCTTATCAAGGAATAAAATAGAATATCAGGAGTAAAAAGTGCCATTTTATATAGAAACGAAAAGCTCACATTTTATTCTACAGGTAAACTGCAAGAAGAATTTATATTTAATTTAAAGAGAAACAATTATTATCTTTAAGTTAACTATCTTCAAAAATCTGGCAACTGTGAAGTGTTTCACCCCAGCGCCCTCAGCGCGTCTGTAGTTGGCTTGCTGAACTTGCACAAACGGATCTTCCATTTGTTATTTGGTGATCGATATGGTAAGACGTGCTTAATTTTTAAATCTTCATTTATAAAGTCAATCTTTCAATATTATTAGCCTGTTTATATATATTTTCTTAGTTGAAACTATTCTGAATATTTTCAGTATAGTATTTTTAAGCTAACATGATGATTTAGAGAAAATTCGTTTAAGGTTATATACTGAATACCCATGTGGATGCTATTCTAGGGCGGTCTGATTCTCTGTTAGCCATTCTACCACATATGCTTTATGAAATGCATCAAGCTAAAGCCACCTTTATTTTTTGCAGTCTCACCGAAAGTTCAGTGCCCCTCGTCACGGTTCCATGGGCTTCTACCCCAAAAAGAGGTCCAAGAGGCATCGTGGTAAGGTCAAGGCGTTCCCTAAGGATGACCCATCAAAACCCGTGCATTTAACCGCCTTCCTCGGTTACAAAGCTGGTATGACCCACGTGGTTCGTGAAGCTGATCGTCCAGGTTCAAGTAAGTAGCTAATTCGTCAAATGCTACCTCCACACTAAATAAACCCCGAAATATTAAGGAAGATTTGTGAAACGTTAGAGAAAAAAAATCTACATCCTGAACAAATCGTCCACGTGTTTCAGGTCAGCACGTAAGGCGTTTTACCGTCTACGTGTTCCAGGACGATTTAACTCTTAAAATATAGGTCAACGTGTCGTTTGACACCCTCCCATTTTTTTGTTTTACCGTAAAAACACTCAAAATTAAGCTGTTTCAGCTTACAAACTTTACTTATTGGATGGTCCATAAATCAAGTCAAAAAAACACAAAGTTTGAGGAAATTCACAATTTTCAGGCTAAATTTCGACCGCAGTTGCAAATCTGCGCATAACGTTTCGTTTCAAAAAGTCACTACCCATGCTAACACAATTTACCCGAAAGGAAAACAGCTGAAAATTACGCGGAAGCACCGCATTTTGTTGAATTCGAATTCCCGAATGAGAAATAATCCACCATCTGACTATCGACGCGTTAAATAACCTCAATCTATGGGCCACGTTACAAGATGCGAAAAATACAATTACATATTATAAATGTTCGTGCATAAATAAGTAGTTTTGGAAAAGTGAATTTCAACAGTTTTTTGGATTAGTTTATGGAGTTTTATGAATTTTTGTGCTCTATGTAAACCATGGAAAAATGTGAAAATTTAGAGACACTGCCGTTTGTGTCTCTGTTACCAAAATACAAATTGGGGCGTTATTCTAATTTACACGTATTTTTTTCCAGAGATCAATAAAAAAGAAATTGTGGAAGCTGTAACCATTCTTGAAACACCGCCCATGATTGTAGTGGGCGTCATCGGTTACATTGAAACTCCTCATGGTCTTCGCAGTCTCTGCACCGTTTGGGCAGAACACTTGGCCGAGGAGTGCCGTAGGCGCTTCTACAAGAACTGGTAAGATTCAAAATTGAACGCCCTTAATTTTACAAACCAGCACTTTTCCTTCGAATTGAGTAAATGATTGAAACTAATCGCAAAAAAAGTCCTCCAATGATCGCTTCATGAGGACTGTAAAGCACAAGCCTACTGAGCTAACGACCTCAATGAAAGAGTGTACACTCTTTGAGATTTGAGCGCAGTATGGCTATTGGAGTCTTGCCTCCTCTAAACTATGAGGCAACTCCATGCTTGTACTTACAGGTCTGCAGATCAAAATCAGTTGCTTCCTTGAATTATTTCTTGTGGCTCTTAAAAAGGTGGGTTGAAATTCTCAGAAGTGATTACAATTTTCATAGCTATTGTTGAAGTATTGCTACTCCAAGTTACTGTTCGTTGAACTGAATTTTAAGGAAGTCAATTGCGGTTGTACGTGCTACTACCGCAAATCTATCTTCACAAATACAGTACAACCTCTAGTCCCAACTAATGTAGCAAGGGGGGCAAGGGCAAATTCCCATTTTCTAATTGTTCCGAATGTTAGTTGATGTAAAAAAATAGTGATTTTAGTTTATTTAACATTTCTCTGCTCTGCCTTACAAGGCCGTTAGTCTTAAAAACCTTCAAGTCAGATTTAGTAAGAGGGCAGGGTGCAAGAGTGCACATCAATGAATAATGCTTGCGAAATATTCGCATGCTGTTATCCTGTTCCTTATCTAATAATCTTTCGTAACTTGGACTAGCGAGATTTGGATCGGTTTTCTTGTAATAATTGTATGTCTTCAAACAGGTACAAGAGTAAGAGGAAAGCTTTCAGCAGCAATGCCACGAAATGGAATGATGCGCTTGGTAAAAAGGCCATTGAAAAGCAGTTCAACAAAATTATCAAGTACTGCTCAGCTGTGAGAGTAATCGCCCACACTCAGGTACATGAAGGTTATTAATTTCAAATGCACATATTATTGACATGGTCAGTTAGGAGCTTACCCTCCGGCTGTTGGCAATGGAAGTCCTTTTTTAACGGGGCTTCTGCCATAGTGTCATAGAACATGCACCCCTAGGGTGGTGCGGGAAATATATTCCTGAAACAGTGTGTGAGTCTCTGGACGATGGCACATTGAAAACCATATTTCTCACATGCCCATTTTTTAAACAAATATTTTTGATGAACAATTTGCCGAGTTGTGTTAATGACAATTTTTGTAATTTAGATGAAACTGCTGAAGCAAAGGCAGAAGAAGGCTCACATTATGGAAATCCAAATTAATGGCGGTACCATTGCTGAAAAGGTCGCATGGGCTAGAGAACATCTGGAAAAGCCCGTCCCTGTCAAACAAGTATTTGGCCAAGACGAGGTTATTGATGTTATCGGAGTTACCAAGGGTAAAGGATTCAAAGGCAAGTGTCCTAACATATTTATTATGAATTCATTAATATATTATGATGAAATTTCATGGAACGTGTTTTCTGATTATAATTGAGGATATAACCATGCTGCCTTCCTACTGACGATACTTAAAAATATTTATTGATCGCATATTTGAAAGAACTGTTGGGTCTAATTATGGCTTTTTCACCAGGTGTCACCTCAAGATGGCATACGAAGAAATTGCCCCGTAAGACTCACAAAGGTCTAAGGAAAGTTGCCTGTATTGGAGCATGGCATCCTTCCAGAGTGTCCTTCACGGTAGCCCGTGCAGGTCAAAAGGGTTATCATCACCGAACGGAAATGAATAAGAAAATCTACAGAATTGGTGCGGGTATTCACACCAAGGACGGCAAAGTACGTACAAGAAATAAATTTGTTTTGTTCAACGGTTTTCTGCTTACGTGATGATACTATAGAGCCAAAAGGATTATGAATACTATGTGATTCTGAATGATAGGACTGATTCTTTTGTCAATAGTATTTATTTAGTTTTCGCGTTACTCGTCTACATTTGAGGTTGTTTTCAGGTTATCAAGAACAACGCTTCTACTGAATACGATCTTTCAGAGAAGACCATTACCCCCATGGGAGGATTCCCGCATTATGGTGAAGTCAATAATGACTACATCATGATTAAGGGTTGTTGCATGGGGCCTAAGAAGCGTGTTATCACTTTGAGAAAGGTAAGTTGCCACTAATAAATTGTTATTCAATTGTACTGATTAATGTAATATATATCCCATGTGGTATTTACGATGTTTATTTTTTCAGTCGCTCCTTGTGCACACCAGTCGTATTGCTCTGGAGAAGATCAATCTTAAGTTCATCGATACAGCTTCCAAATTCGGGCATGGTCGGTTCCAGACTCCTGCCGATAAGGCTGCCTTCATGGGTCCTCTTAAAAAGGATAGGTTGAAGGAGGAGGCCAAATCGACACAGGCTCCTGTAGCAGCCGCTAAGTAATTAAGATTCTTTCAACTGGGATCTTTCAAATAAATGACTAAACAAAAAATAGGTTTCTTCCTTGCTCCCTGCGTGACCCAAGCTAAGCTAAAGCATTTCGAAAAAAATTTTTTCAATAGTAGTACATAGCTGCGATAAAAGTAGTCTTGATTTTAGATATCTTCTATCTCGTCTCTTGAATTCTATCCAAAAATATTTTAGATAGAATTTTTACATTTCGACTCTTAGCGATTAATCGCTCCCTGGTAGAGAAGTATGAAAAATGGTGAGGGCAATTAAGGTATTTAACAAGACTCGTTACAAATATTGGCGTACATATTTAAAATATCAATCTTATTGCATGAAAAGTACGAATTATCTTACAATACTAAGGTAATTGGATGATTTTACCCGCTTAACAACTGAATCTTCAACCAAGTATGTACCCAGTTTTATTAACTAAAACGAACTAGGTTGCTTTTACCTTCAGCTGCTTCATTCGAGACGCTCTCTTTTTGGCTTGGCGTTTCTCATTCCCAACGCCTCTGCTTTTCCGGATCTTCAGCCATTACTCATTCCTTTTCCTGGCCTGTCTTCTATCCGTACAGCGGCCGAAGCTTCAGCTCGAGCTTGATGAGTGGATTTTAGATTCCTTTCAACTTTCTGTCTGTTTTTAGTTGCCTTTACTTTCCCTGTAATGCATATGATACTGCATACATAGTTCATAAGTTTTCAAATACTCCTCACCTTTTGACAAGCAATATATCTTAGTGTTATCAATTGAGTAAAATAGCATACTCATTAATGGTTTCAGTCTTGTTACCGCTTCAACTGGCGGCTTTAAATCCAAAACTTAATAGCTACCAAAACCACAGAAGATAGAATATTGCGGTGTTACAAAACTTTGGACTGGTGCGCAAATTGTTTACGAACCTTTTTTATTTTTATTTAAGCAATTTTAGTCTCTAAAGAGAGATTTTTTGGTTTACGAACCTTATCAGGTAATTTATTTGGAGTACTAGAACTAGTATCTTCTTGCGATTTTACGCCAGAAAATGTTCCGAAAAGTGAATATAATCGACATATTCGGGAACTTGTTTAAGAAATACACAAACAAAAAGTATAAATATGTATATCGATGTATATTCAAATAGAATCTTTTTTTTCAACCAGTGGCAGAAAAGCATATCATAAAGTTCAGTTTTATGGCAATTTTTTTTTAACTTAACGCCAAACAATTAGCTCGAGGAGAAAACTCTTACACCGTGGGCATGTGAAAAAGTTTTCATTGATGGGAATTGCCAGCCGCATCAAGGAACTAGGAAGAGCAATTCCGCATGTACTTACCCCAGGAAAACTTTGCGCTACTCATAGAATAAGGCTTATATAAGGCGCTACTCGCATATGACAGCACCTTTATATCACGCACATTACAATGTTAGTGCGACGCAAGAGCGGATCCCGGCGTCAAATTTTTCTAATTGCATGGACAACAAAAGATTGAATTTCTACTGCTTGACCCCCCTGACTCGAAAGCAAGCTGGACCCGCTCCTGGTGCGACGGACATTGAGAGCCAATGGAATAACCCATGTTCTAAACCCAGCGAGGAAAAAAATTGTTAAATTAATAAACTTATAATGCTTGCGGTCTGGAGCCCAGCACTTCACGGTTTTAATACTCTGAAACGTGTTGTTTTTGTAAATATATTCACATAATACCCTAATATTGTATTGTTGTTACGTTTAGGAGCAAAATTAAAAATCTGTAGCCCAATTTTCTTTCTATTGCGATGGAATTGCTGAACTTTAACCTAAAAATGATAAAGTTGAATCGATATGTTCCCGAGAAGCTACGCTAAAGATACTGCCTAAACTATTTGAGATGGTACAAAGTATATACCAGACCAACAAATTGTCTTTACACGAAGATCAAACACGTTGGAGGCATACAAAACAAGAAAATCCAAAAATGCCTATGTAAAAAGTACAATGTCTTGATTTAAAAAAAACTGACCTACCGCAACAACGCCGGATGCCACGTCACACTAATACGTGTACAGTACAGTGCCTGAGCAATTTGCCTACGGATTTCTACGGATTTTTCAGAGACGATATACGGAAATTTGCTATTAAAAGGTTGGCATCCCTGGTGGTATGGAAAGTGACGTGTTGATTTGAAGATGTAAATTTAATAAACATTTAAGAAAACTGTTCCAAAAACTATACTAAAATGGCATTACCAAATAATGGAATTTTCGTCATTAAAGGCGAAATGACCACCTTAATGACTGCCATTAAAAGGGGTAAGTTCCGAGCCTTATTCTATATTCTATCAGTTCAAATATGCTTATTACTGAATGGATTTATTAGAGTAGCTTTTGTAGCTATGTTAGCTATAAGTGAATAATTAGCTTTGCTTTGCTGTAGTTATTTAGAAAACATCATACATCATTACGAAAGATTAAAACAAGTTTATGGATTTACTCATTGTATTGTGTGAAAACATTCAGAAGTATGGATTTGTTTTTATCATACTTTATGTGAGACCTGCTCATCTCATTTATATACTCCAACTATTAAACACATCACATCCACCACTTTGTGAGATAGAAGTCCATAGATCATTTTTGTGCTGAATAACTATTTAATTTAAATCAAAATATTACTATAAGACAAACGCTCACTTCATCATTACCATAAACCTAATACATTGTTTTTATTGTAATGATTAAGTGAGCGTTTGTCACACAGTAATACAATGAGAAGCTGAATCTTGAATGAGCACACTCACTTATAATATGTATAGGTAATCAAATTGACAATAACATTAATCTAAATTCAAAAGAGTTACTATCTGAGCCGGACAAGCACTAATTAGTTCTTAAATTCACGAAACGTGGTTTTACATTATTTTCCAAATATACAAACTAACAACCCCAGGATTCACTAATTTAAAAAGTAAATGGAAAGTCAGTTAAGGAAAGGTTAAACGTTGTTTCTTGAATTTGTTTTTGAAGCCTGCATTTTAACATATTTGACTTGCTATAATTTTCATAAATTCCGCCATATTATGTTTCTTTCAGTAGTATTCGAGTGCTGTGAACGTTCAAATGAATGTAACTCGTATTGCCGTTCTTCCAAAATTTCGTGCTTTCCGAATAACTACACTTCAGTGAGAATTAATACCTGAATCCTATTTAATGTATTCCAGTGTTAATTCATTCATTGTGAATGGAGCAGCTTATACAATTTTGGCTTAAAGATTAAAAAAGTATTGTCATTTCCTTTCTTATGACGTTCTATTTGATGCTGAATTATAATGTTACCAATATACAATGAAGAAATAAATAACTCGGATACTAAGATATGGTTGAGATTAAATAATCTGAACTGTCTTCCATTGTTTTATAAATGTTTGTTTTTAATATTAATCGCATATCAGCGGCTGTTATCTTCAACCTTCCGTGTACATTGATTGCTTATTGAACAACTTACTTCCACCCGTTTTTCGATAAAGCTTCACAACCTAACTGGAAGAATGTTCTGTTTTAAAAATCCTCAGCTTTCTGAGTAGCAAATCGGATTATTTTCTAGTTTATCCGCTCCTCTCGCGGTCGAAGTTAATAATGTGTTCAACTTGCAGATAATCGCTTTACTAGCAATTAGTGTTGAGCAACAAATCACTACCTGTTATTTTTTCACAGCGATTAATAAATTGCAATCACAATCTATGACGAACGTAAACATAAACTGTGATCTAAAACGTGATTGACCCAAACGTGATATTAAAGAGCGACTTTCACTGCTATTGCGAGTTGCATGTAGTAATCATGTGTAGTTGCACATGTAGTCCGGCGAAAGAACAAACCCAAATAAAATTATTTTATTCGTTAATGAAAGCTTGCATCCACGGGTTCCCCTGAGCCTGGATTTTATTGAAATTTTTAGAACCAATTTCATTATACACCATTTATTAGCCGTATTCTGATTGCGTATCGGTAACGTGTTTGTGTACTTTTAAAATAATCTTCTGGGAATAAGCTTAGTGTTCCTCTTTTGCTATTTTTTCGAATTGAAATTGTTTATTATAAAACGCTACGCGACGGAGAAGTATTTTTTTGCGAAATTTCTGTTCTGCATGAGATGATAATTTTGAAAAATGCAATTTATGCAAAGCAAAATTATCTTACAAAACAAGTACGTCGGATTTCAAACGGCATATGGAATGCAACATCCCACAATATCAATAAATTCCGAAAATTTTCGCGAAGAGTAGCAAAGTAATATTTTTGTTCCCATTTTAATTTAAATAAAAAAAAATTTCAGAACAGAAATTAAAATCAAATATTGCTTGTTCACAAAGAATTAAGAGTGACATACGCTATTCGTATTACTGTGTAAAACAATAGTTTTTTGTTCCTATTTTAATAATTTTTCAGAATGTTTTTATAACTTGGAGTACACGGGTTTACAAAACGTGTAGCCAGTTGCTAGTTGCAGAGGCTGTTATTTTTTAGTGTCCTTAAAATCATGCATACTTTAAGTATAAAATATTATTAGTTGTATACCTAAATAAGGTTATTTATTTAAAAAATATGAATTACAAATGTTTTCAAATAGCTTCTGCAAGTCACGCACAATTGCCCATCACCTTATGACGCCGCTATATCACGAAAACGGCAACCACAAATAAAATCACATTCACAGGTTAAATTCACAGTTTCAAAAAATCACATTCACAGTAATAACAGTGATTTTAAAATCACGCTTTAGCTTAGTTCTACTAGCAATATTTCTTAACTGCGTTTTTTTTTGGAAAATGAGGCTTCCGACGACTTTTCGCTGATTGAACTTTGTAATTTTTCGATAAAAAGAAAACGAATGTTTGTAGTTATACAAGAGCATGTTGCAAAACTTTTTTTTCATACAGTTGCTTAAATTTATGCCAAAATTTGTATCAAACAACTTCCGTTGCTTGGTCAAACGAATAGTTGATCGGATTATAGCTACATTCAGATTACTGGGGTTTTACTGTACTGTAGAATTCGAAGGCGACGGACGGATGAACTAGAAAATGGCCATAAATTGCTCCAAAACTATCGCTAATATCGATTAACTTTTGAACTGACACTAAAAATCTACAACCCTTTATTTTAAATTTCAACTAGGAAAGTGTAGTATAAGTAGTATTTAGTTTGATAGTATTACTTGCCTGCTTGCTTTCTTGCTACATATGTTAAAATGAATACCGTAAATTCAAGCCCTTAATCTCCAGTTGGCTTAATAAATCAGTCCAATTTGCAACAAAAAATAATTTATTCTTCAGGAGTAAGATGGCAATCGCATTCTTATCAAGATGAAGAAACTGATAACCTACTGAAAGGCTTTCAAGAGCTAAAGGAAATCCTCACTAGAATTGACGATTTGAGGCTCATTGAACCTGATGTTTATCTCTCTCCTTTCCTTGAAGTTGTTAGATGTGAAGACACTAGCGGACCAGTAACAAGCCTAGCACTTGCTGCGATCAACAAGTTCTTATCATACGGATTGATTGATCCTACCCATGCCAGTGTTCCTCACACCGTGTTCAATATAGCCGATGCAGTTACGCATGCCAGATTCATTGGAACTGATCAGTCATCTGATGGGGTTGTTCTGATGAGGATCCTTCAGGTTTTAAGAACATTGACTTTGGCACCAGAAGGTGCGATGCTGACCAATGAAAGCTTGTGTGAAATTATGCTCAGTTGCTTTAGGATATGCTTTGAGGGTAGAATACATGAACTGCTCAAGAAAACTGCTGAACATTACCTGAAAGATATGGTTCAGTTGGTGTTTATGAGATTGCCACAGTTTTCTGACGACATCAGAGCTGCAGGAGTTAAGCAACTAAAAATGCGTGCTGGAATAGAACAGAGCAGAGCTAAGAAAAGAAGTCGGCATTCTTTTAGAAAGAAAAGTTACTCTGATGATAAAGATGCTAATGAAGAGACGCCAGTTCGACCTGGAAATTCACAGAATAATTCAGACTCTATTACAAGAAATTTGGTTGAAATGCAAGAACACATTCTTCAACACAATAATGACATGAATTCAACGGCAGATTCTGGTAATGAAGATAAGGATAATGATGGTGTGGGTAATAATGTAGAAGCAGATCCAGATCTAGCAAGTATTGCTGAAGAACAACTCATGGATCAGCAGGATCTGGCACCTTTGCTAGCAGAAACTGATTCAATTCAAGAGTTGCTGACAGATACAAATCCAATCAACAGAGATGTTTCAACGGCAGATGGGCAATGTATTTCACAAAGTGATGTATCTGCAGAGTATGTAAACCAAAGAGGAATACGGTTTACGCCTCAGCTCCAAGCAGACTTTGTTTTACAACCGTATGGTTTAGCTTGTGTTAGAGAGCTCTTTAGATTTTTGATTAGCTTATGCAATCCCAACGATAAGCAGAATACTGATGTGATGATACATATTGGTCTAACTCTTCTAACTGTTGCATTTGAGGTCGGAGCTGACAGCATAGGAAAGCATGCCCCATTGCTGTCTCTTGTAAAAGACGAATTGTGTAGGAATTTGTTTTCTCTTTTAACGTCTGAACGAATATCTATATTTTCTGCCGACCTGCAAGTTTCCTTTTTAATGTTTGAATCTTTAAGAAGACATTTGAAATTTCAAATGGAAAAATACCTCACGAAACTTACAGATATAATTGTTACGGAAAATCAAAAAGTAACATACGAACATAAAGAAGTATCACTTGATAATATTTTGCAACTGTGGAGAATACCTGGCTTTGTAAATGAGCTCTATCTTAATTATGACTCTGATATGTATTGTACAAATTTATATGAAGATTTGACGAAACTCTTGGCCAAAAACGTGTTTTCTGCAACAAATGGAGTTTGGCACACTCATCTGCTATCATTAGATGCACTAGTAACCGTCACTGAAGGGATAGAAATACATTGTTCAGAATCCAAATCTCTTAATATTTCCAAAGAAATCCGCACAGTCACCGAAAGCAGTGAAAAACTGGAGACTATTGGTAACATTATTACTAAGAATTCTCGAGTGAAATATGCCCTGCATAATCCGCCGCTGGAAGATTTGATGAAAAGAAAAGCTATTAAAAAGTGGCTGCCACAAGGAACTGAACATTTTAATGCGAAACCGAAAAAGGGAATTCAGTTTTTCCACGAACATGGGGTTTTGAAATCAGATTCCGATCCTCAAGAAATCGCCTTATTTTTAAGAGAAAATCCTGCTTTAGATAAGAAAATGATTGGTGAGTATGTCAGTAACCGGAACAATCTCATCATCTTGGAAGCTTTTGTGAAAACGTTCAATTTTTCGGGTGTACGGATTGATGAGGCATTGAGAACATTCCTTGAAACGTTCAGATTACCTGGGGAAGCACCGACTATTTCTCTGATATTGGAACAATTTGCGGAACATTGGCATAAAAGCAACGGGGAACCATTCAGTGATGTAGATTCCGCTTTTACTTTGGCCTACGCCATTATAATGCTAAATGTTGATCAGCACAATCAGAATGCGAAAAAACAGGCAATACCAATGTCAGATTCTGCCTTTAAGAAGAACCTGCAAGGAGTCAATGGGGGAAATGATTTTGAAGAGAAAATGTTGGATGAAATATATGCGGCAATAAAAAATGACGAAATCGTTATGCCATCAGAACATGGAGGCTTAATACGAGAAAACTATCTTTGGAAAATTTTGCTGAAGAAAAGCGCCTCAAAAGAAGGCGAATATTATCATATTCCGCCAGGAACATACGACTCTGAATTATTCCGAGTAATCTATGAGCCTCTGGTGTCAGCGTTGAGCTTCATTTTTGAACAGTCTGAAGATATTGCCATATATAAACATGTTATGAGCGGTTTTGAAAAATGTGCTTTAGTTTCGGCGCATTTTGGCATGACAGAGAACTTGGATAAGTTGATAATATCATTGTGTAAATTCACGGTATTCTACAATCAAAGGAGGCAGAATAACATTACTGTTCTGTTTGGATCAAATCAAAAGGCTCAACTTGCTTTGAAATCTGTTTTTAATTTGGTGCATCTGTATGGAGATAACGTAAGGGATGGCTGGAAACATATATTTGATATAATTCTCTCGTTGTATAGCAATAGTTTATTGCCGAAAAGTTACATTGAACCAGAAGATTTTATAGATCAAAGGGGACGCATAATATTAACCTATGAAGAAACTCCAAGTCTACAAAAGCAAGATACAAGTCTATTTAGTTCCTTATACTCCTACATGGTATCTGCCGAGAATCTATCGAAGATTCCTTCTCCTGAAGAACAACAGTACATCGATATGGCCAATAATTGCATCAAAGACTGTAATCTGGATCAACTGATAACAGACTCGAAGTTTTTGCATGAAGAAGCTTTGTTGGAATTAGCAAAATCCCTCATTGAACTATCCCGAGGACCAGACGTCCAAAAGAGTTTAGGATATCATTATAATGAAAATGTTGCCGTGTTTTTTATGGAGCTTCTATTTAAAATAGTGATCCAAAATAGAGATCGAGTTATGAGCATTTGGCATCCAGTCCGTGATCACATTTACACATTGGTCATGAACGCTGCTGTTTTCGACTATCAGTTTCTCTTAGAACGATCAGTAATAGGACTGTTAAGAATCGCAATTCGACTTATGCGAAATGAAGACATGTGCCCCGTGGTAATCCAAAGTTTAAGAATGCTGCTACTATTGAAAAGTTCCACGTTATGTAGAATATCAAGGCAGATCTCATTTGGACTGTATGAGCTGCTGAAAACATCAGCCCAAAATATTCATACCAGTACGGACTGGACGATTATTTTTACATTGCTGGAATGTGTAGGTGCAGGAGCTCAGCCTCCTAAGCCAGTTGCTGAAGAAGGAGCCGCTCATGTAGATCCAGGCACAAAGTCAGAGGGAGAAACTCAAGTTAATAGTGATGAAGAAAGCGTGGTTTCAGACCGAGGATATACATCAGATTCAGAATTAACGAAGACTCCGAAACATTCAAATCCTAGAGCACAAAGTCCATTAATTGTGCCTACTTCACCAGTGGGTACTCCTAATACTGGTGGTTGGATTTTGGTCGGGAATGAAGGCGAAATTCAGCCAGTTATGGGCAGAACTGTTCCACCCACCCAATATGGTATTGCATTGGAAGGAAATTTAGGTGCTCACGATCCAGCCAGTTTGATCAAATGCTGTGAAAGTTTAGCATTTCTAGTTAGAGACGTCGCACATATTACGCCATATAACTTTGATATTTGCGTCCATTGCATACGAACGTTTGTTGAAGCTAGTCTACAGGAAGCGAAAAAAGCGGGCAAAAAATCGACTGGTAATAGAGATGCTCGAGATCCGAGAACCAGAAGAAAAATAGTGTCTAGGAAACGAACTGAGGCGAAAAACTCGAAAAGTCCAGCAACTAGTCCTGATGAAGAGAGCAGTGAGGATGATTTTCCCAGTGGCTATCATCATTTGCTTTTGGATCTCATGCATACTCTTCACACACGAACGGCCCAGATTTTCAAATGGTGGGCAGAAGAAGGTGGAGAAATTGCTCAGGAAATCTCGTTATGGACCCAAGGGTGGTGTCCGCTCTTGCAGGGTATTGCCAGGATGTGTTGTGATCGAAGAGAGGAGGTTCGGATAAGTGCCATAGCATTCCTGCAACGTGCTTTATTAGTACACGATTTGCAAACATTGAACGGTCCGGAATGGGAACAGTGTTTCCATCGAGTATTGTTTCCTCTGCTTAACTACTTATTGCAACCGATCAATGCGAAAGAACCAATTGCTATGGCTGAATTTCGAAATAGAGCTGCAACTGTGTTGTCTAAGGTAAGCGTGAGGTTTAAACTTGACTAAAATTCAAACATCAGTTTTTAAAATCTTAAAGGTTTTCCTGCATCACCTTACTCCACTTCTGTCTCTACCAACATTTCCGAGTCTTTGGTCTCATATTCTGGATTACATGGACAGATATATGCATGCGGATAAAAGTGATATTTTAGTTGAGGCTATTCCCGAACTCTTAAAGAACATGCTTCTGGTAATGAATTCTGCCAAAACGTTTGATGGGCCAGATGGAAAGGTGAGACAAACGACATTACACGAGGCCAAGTGCTAAAAGTGTTATTTTAGAATCCCTTGTGGCATTTAACTTGGGATAGAATCGGCAGGTTTTTGCCAACTTTAAAAGATGAACTTTTCAAAGAACCTGAAGATGAGCATGCTGCGACGATGGTGAGTAATTTAGAAATTGAACTTCTATAAGTAATCGAACATTATTGCAGAGTCCTACTCAGGACCTTCATAATAGCAAGGCAATAAATCCCATGCAACATAACATTGAAAATTTAACCAGATCTAGTATCATACTGCAACCGCCAGTTTCACAACAGCAGGTATCTTCGCATTTATTTGCGCACTTAGGCCAGGTAGGATTAAATGAATACTACTAGTTCATTTTATTACCAAGGAAAATTATTAAAATTTTAAAATCAGTCGTTGTCTGATTTTTTTTCGAACCAAAATCAAATTTTGGGAGTTTTGGCTTTACGTATGTGGATTTTAGATGGTTTCAACACCAATAGGTTCAACCTATTCAACACAGATATCACCAACTCCAATATCTACATCAACCATTCCGTCGGCTCTCATTCCTTCAATTATGCAGACAAATAGTGTAAATTCGACCATTTTACAGCCTACTTTACAACCGGGAATGCCTTACATGCCTAATTTATTGACTGGCATTGCAGGCTTAAATACAACACAAGGTATGTATTATTTATGAAAAATGACGATCATATGTGTGAGTGAAGCATTTTAACTTAATATTATTTAGAGGCGGATCCTAATTTAATCCCCGAACTGCCATTGCAATAAATGCATATGTGCACGTGTACTCCCAAATTTCAGAGTTTTCTTTAAAAGACTAGTTTCAATTTTATCATTCTTGAAATGCTCCCATCATAATATTAAGTGCCTATAGATTAATTCCAAATTTGTATACATATACTTTCCTGACTGTTTCAATTCCAAATCAAATTCATTCCTGGGTTTCAATCATTTATTGTTTCTATTTATCAATCAAAATACGTTTCGGTGCATTTTTCCACCATCATCAGTTTTTTTTGTGTAGCGCTGTTGCTGCATTAAGCCTTGGCATGCATACATGCATTTTGATTGATAAATAGAGACAATAAATGACTGAAACCCAGGAATGAATTTGATTTGGAATTAATTCCAAAGACACTTGGTTTGCTTTATTATGGTGCACATTTAGTGGGTGCAGTGCTTTTATTTTATCGTTGTTTTGGTTTATTTAGTAATTCACTGTACTTGGAACATTGAGGGGCTCTAAATAGATGGAGGATGTCAGAATGTTGGGACAATAGTTTGAGATCGATTTCCGGCTATGGAACATTGTTGAATTTTTTAAATAATTAAAGAAAGTGCGAAAACCCGTTTTTTGGGCAACTTTAGAACCGTTGATGATTTTAAAAAAGTTTAATACTTTTTTTAAGTATTATTAATACGTTATGAGATATATTATACAATATGAGATAAATTAAATTGAAATACGTTTTTGTTAACTCAAAAAACAAAAAAATCACCGCTTTAAGTGTTTTTAAAAATTATCTATAATTATCTTAGTTTTGCTTCAAAAAAATGTCACTATATTTTTTTGTTCATTTCTATTTGTTATGTAAATCGGCTCTTGCCAGATTCTAATTGAGTTTTTCTTGAGACGTCGGTGAGACTACTCTGAGGCTGTATTTTACTCGTAAAGAGTTAATTATACTACAACGTACAATAAAGGAAAATTTCATTACTGAATGGTAAATTGTTTGCACATTAAGTTGAAAATCAGGAATTTGTGTGTCTCGCGGCTGGAATTGTCTATCAACGACTTTTATGCAAAGACCGTCAACGACATCCCAAACAACACAAAGACATCTTACAAACGTCTTTAAGATATCTTATTCCGATATGTAAGACGTCTGTATATGTCTTGAAGACGTCTTTAAGACTTACGTAAGTGCAAAATTCCTGATTTCAACTTAATGTTTAAACAATTTACCCTTCATTAATCAACTTTTCCTTTATTGTAAGCTGTAGTATAACTCTTTACGAGTAAAATAGACCAGCAGAGAAGTCGCTCTGGAGTCACAAAAAATTATTTAGAATCTGGCAAGAACCTTTTTTTAATAACAAATAGGAATGAACAAAAAGTTGTTAATATTTTATGCAAAACTAAATTAATTATAGAACACTTTTTTTTTTGAGGAAACAAATGAACGCATTTTAATTTCGTTTGTTTTATATTGTAGGTTTAAAATTTATGTGCAAAAACGGGTTTTCGCACTTTCTTTAATTAGTTAAACAATGTTCTACAGCCGGAAATCGCGCTCAGCCTATTGTCCCAATATTTTGACATCCTTCCGAACTACTTTCTCTTACCTTCATCTATTAGTGCTCGAAACAGGCCTTTTAAAGTCTAATCTGACTGGACTATTAACAAATTACGAGAGTGCGTGCAGAAGGTAAATGCAATTAAATCGTCTTCTCCAACTTTAGAAGAAAAAATCAAAAGTTTCGGTCGTTCAAAACCCAATTTCGCAATTACAAATGTTACTAAAAGCAAAAATCGCGACAACGATTTTTGCTTTTCTTATTATTCTTGTTATTGAACAAACGAACTTTTTATGATTGTGCATCCCACAGTAATTAAATTGAAATTATCTTTTTACTCTTTTACTAATATTTCAAGTTGGTTAATTCGCGGTTACCTAGAATATTCAGATTTATAAGGCGCTTGTGCTCGATACGCACAACATTGTATATGATATTTAGACACTGCTCTATTGATAATAGAGCTTAAAACAAAACTTACCTTATGCCGTTTTAGGTCTCCCTCAACATCAGTTGCATCATTCATTTCCCGTTTTATGTAATAGTCCTACAGTAATTCCAAACACCACCGCTACTGAAGTGCAGCCGCTTTCTTTATATGCCGAATATATAGGAAATCCTTATAATATCCAAAGCACGGGTAACACTACAAGGTAACATATTCTCCATTTTTTTTTGGAAATTTGCACTAAAATGTAATACTGCTAACAAGCGTCTTTTAAAATAGAAGCATGTATAATATCGGGTTCAATTTAAGAAATTGAATTGCACTAAACCTCTCGGTTAAATAATTAGGTTTTATTTACAGAACTGATAATATATTACCGCCCAAATCGGAAAACATGGGAGTTACACTTCCTTCTTCGTTAGAAGATAATTTGCCAATAGCAGAGGTGAAGCACAGTGAGGGAGTTAAACATCACATTATATCTGGTTGTAGCAGTGAAGCCTCAATTAATCTTATTCAAAGCAATGAGCAAAGTAATGGTAATTTACCTCAACCCGCAGTGGAAGACCAATTGAACATTACTAGAACAACAGAGATATCTATGCCTGGTGCAAGTAGCGCAAACTTTTTTCAGTCCTCAAACTATTTTAGTAGCTCTGAATCCGCCTTTATGCCGGTCGGAAGCGAAATTTTATTTGGAATAGGAAAGCGGACCGAGGGTGATAAAGTAAGTACGAGTGAAACAAGCTCTTCGATAGGCACAAACGTTTGACATGGAGTTTCGGTAATTTAAAATTTAATAGTCAAGAGTTATTAATCGAAACGTTTTATTGCATATTAATTTGAATCAGTTTCATATCTAATTACCAATCAACAAAAATAGAACGTCGATGATGAAGGAAGAACTTTTTAAAAACATTTAGATTTTTATTTATCAAGTAAGAAATATTTAATAGGTAGGTACTATTTCAATATTGCTTGCAATCATTTGACAAATATTAAAATTATTATTAAAGAAGGAAAAAGGAAATTGTCAAATTTCCAGAAGCGTAAAATAACAGCTATTATATGTATTTTTTCGAATTCGATGGATATTTATTTTATAGCAATTCGAAGCATGATTTATTATAATAAAAAAAAAAAGATTTTCTCATGAGTTTATTTTTGTAATAAAATGTTTTTTTAAATTGTATTTCCACTTCTAAAGTTATGAAATGTGGTTTCAAAAACAGGAAGAATTAAAATAATTAAAATGACTAAAGAAAATTGTAAAAAACAAATGTCATGGTTGATTTATAAATACAAACTTGGTGATTTTACAAGACCTTTTCGAGTATTAGGCGTTCCATTTTCCAAATTAAAGTGCTATGCAAGAGGTTCGTAATTTCAAAAAGCCAAACCAGCGGTTTTTAATATTATTTTTTTCACGCTTTACTTAATGACTGTACCTGTACCATAATTGAACAATGCTGAAGAAGTTCTATCAATTTTCAAATGATTTAAGCGATTATTTTAAATGAGCTACTAATGACACCACTCTTCGCAAAAAATAAATGAATTTGTGGATGAGGCTAAATAAATTGTATACAAAATATACTTGTTACTCAAGTGAGTTACTCTGCAATCATGCGGTAGGATGAACTTGTCGAGGATAGTTATGTTTGAAAACTGTATATATTTTTAAATTATTTTGTTATATGTATTACTAAGTAAATTTAGAAAGTAAAGTGTATATCTACAGTGTTTGAAAAGTTGGTTTGCGATGTCTAGTGGACTGATTCATACAAAATTGAGAAAAATGTACGAAATCAATATTTACAGACATTGTGAAATATATATTTATTGTATATGGTAATTACACGGTAATATGGTTGGTACGGTAACAAATTTAATTTATGTAGTTTTATCAATATTGCATTGAGCAAAATGGAGCGGATGTATAAAATGTTGATTGGTCGTTCGGTGGTTATAATTTTTATGCATCTACTCTTTGTTTCTCACACTATTTAAAACTATACTTAAAAATGTTCACGTTATCACTCGAGGAAAAGTGTTCTGTAAATAAAAAAGTAAAAAATACAGTTATCTTCCATCAACAAATCTATTTACACTGAGAATTTTTTTTCGGAGCTTTTTTCATCAATTGTTGCTCTTGTTTGGCTGCGACTCCTTTGTTGCAGCTTTTTCTTCCTTCGTTCCCACTTTTTATCAGTTTCCGTTCCTTCATTCTTACCAATAATATCATCTTTGTTCTGCCCTGCACATTTGCGACAAATTGTACAGTCGAATATAATTAAATTCCTATTAACCATAAATGTAATAATGTAACTAAATAAAACAAAGCATCTATTAACTTAAAGAAAGTAATATCAATGTGTTTTACCGGAAAAAATCAAATAAACTCTAGTAGGTTAGCATCAAAATAAATTTCGAAGCTGCGCGCCATTTACCGGGGCCAGAGCTGTCGGGATTTGCGACCACATAAACGTTAAGGCTACGACTAGACGCGAGTCTCGTCATTTATCAATAAATTATTGCTGTGTTGCCGCTGCCACTGTTACATGAACGTTACATTCCGTTTATCTTAAATGAACTGTACTTAGTGGCCGCTGTCAGGAAATATTATTTTTAAATATATTTCAACTAATAGGGAGCATTCGCTTAAAGCACAAATGCTAATAATAATAAAAAATAGTCGTGCATTGTTGTCATATGTCAAGTACAGGAGCCCATTTATGTAGAATACTATAAAGCCGAAGGAACCCGATCATTTTCCCGGTCTCGTAAAATCATAAGCCATGTTTGACAAACGATGCGTCTAGTTTCGGTTTTGACATAATTGTGGAAAAACGTGGGCCAAGCATGAAATAAAAATTACTGTTTTTCAGTTTTTAAAAGTGAATTGTAACGTTTACCGTTTGGAAATTAGTGTGTCTGCAAAGTATTTGAGCTTCACCGCAACCATGGCCGCAAAAATTTGGGAAGTTTTAGTGTATTTAGTTAAGGAAGAAAATTTTTCAGTACCCAAATACAATAGAAAAGTGAAACTTAGGGCTGATTATGATCCGCAAGGGATAAGTATATCTATTTTGGAAATGGATGAAACCACTGAACTGCTCGAGTTCCCCGTCGATGACCGAACAGAATGTTGTAAAGTTGGACAGAAGTCGTATTTGTTTTCAATCGACAATGAAACTTTATTAGTTAAGTTCAATTACAAGGAGGAAGCTAGAGATTTTTCATTAGCAATAACAAAGGTCAAGTCGGGTCGAGATACATCAGTTTTCTCAGTGAGAACAGAAGACTCCTCTGCTACACAATATTTTCAATTCTATGGTTATTTAGCTCAACAACAAAACATGTTACAAGATTTTGTGAGGACTTATACTTATCAAAGAGCAATACTGAGTAACCTAGAGGATTTTAAAGACAAAGTAGTTTTAGATGTAGGTGCGGGATCCGGTATTTTATCTTTTTTTGCTGCTCAAGCAGGTGCTAAACGTATTTATGCAGTGGAAGCTTCGACTATGGCCCACTACGCACAAAAACTAGTGGACAGCAATAATTATTCGAATTGCATCAAGGTATTACCTGGTAAGTAACATTGCCTATTTGAGAAAACCATTTTTTAATCAGTATATACCTATACAAGGTGTCGCAAAAATGTGAAATTCGAAGCATGTTGATAAGTTCTATATTGTTGAGGCGGATTCATTTTTTTACAAACTTCTTGTTGGGTATTTCGTCTCAAAAATTGTTTGTCTTTAAAAAAGACATAATTTCCTCACGTCTTTTATTACAGATTGATAAATAGTGTTATTTATGTTAAGAAGTTAGTTGTTTTCGTATACGGACATACATGAAAACAAGTTTTCAAAATAACATGATACGTTCACATACAGACAATCTGGTAAAAAAAGTAGTTAAACTGTTCATTCATAAAACGATACATTAAATTTCGACTCATATTTCATTATTCCCTATAGTTAATGCTTAGTATTACAATCAACGTAGATCTGTCTTTACATCTTCAATTCATAAAGTCTAAAACACATATTCTTTATGAATTAATATTAATTATTTGTTAATAATATGTTAATATTAACGTTGAGCCTATGATGTGCCCAATTGATTTTCCAATTATAATATTTTTTTAAACTTTAATTTCAAGTGCTAATGTTACAACGTTCATAAAACTTTCTTCCCAATCTCCATCTTCCATAAGAAGATCGAAGCCGTTAATAATACTGTCCTTACTACAATTGCGTGAAAGCTCAATTGCTCTAAGTTAATTAGGCATAATGTCTAACAAGTATTTCACTATTTGAAATGGCTCAGTTATTAATGAAGCAAAGTGGAATTATTTACAAGATTAATGATATAATGATTGTGTCTCGTTTATTATGATTATATTTAAATAAAAATTAATGGGTTTCTGGAAATTATAAAAATATTAGGAGTCTCAAAATATATTTTGATGAAAACACTTAAGGAACTTTATGGGTTAACAGTATGCCAAGGAGCACAATATGAGTAATTTATTTCCAATTCTGTTTAATTCAGTAGCCAGAATTTTAATTAAAGGATGCCGCTTTAATTCCCTTGTTTGCGCTCGATTAAAATTAATTAGAACATAATAGTTTAAGCAGGAGTATTTTAAATTTCAAGTGCAGCCTTCACATTCGGTTGCACTCGATTTAAAATAACTAGAACATAATAGAACGAAGCAGATAATTTATTTATTTCAAGAAAGTTAACACACAGCGTGCAATATTCACATGAAAAAAGATAGGATGCATTAAGCGGTACTATCAAAATTCTATTTTACATAGTGATTAAATCGGGGCTCTCATGTAATCATAACAGTTCAAATTAATCAATAGTTTTGTTACTGTAAATATCTTAGAGCTAATCAAGCATTTCCAGGGTGGCGAAAAATACCGAAGAGAAGAAATTAATTTGGAAAAACTAAAGTATATTGAACCTCTTTCTTGTTTGGTTTTGTCTTATGATAATGGCAATCTAAATCTCTTGTTTACTGTTCATAAACATGAATTGTTTTGTACAAATAGAATGATTTTCTTCGAGGAAAAATTGAATACTCTAATGCGTATACAGTTACGTTAGTGCTTACTTAGGACTAACGGATCCAGAAAAATCATGCTGTTATGTATGTATGTATGTATGTATGTGAATTATTCTCTTCTGACTTATAAAATCATTGCTTACGTTTCTAGCTCTAACAACATTCAACATTTGCATAGCACAATATTCATTTGATTGAATTATTAATGTATATGGCAGCAACCGTCAAACCCAAGCATATTTATCATTAGTTATAGATGTTTATCTCATTTGAACAACTGGTCAAAGTGATAAACTTGATATTTTCACTACTTACAACTTTGTCTACAACACCTTTGTCTAAAAGATAATATTCGGAATAAACTACCAGATACAGTACTATGAGCCAAATCGAATAAATTTGATAAGAAATAAGCGGGGTCATGTTAGTTTAAAAAAAGTTCGGGCACCTTTAGTTGCTATTATATTTTTTCTTTTCTGGGTTTCAGTCCAAATGTGAAATAAAAATGTTCATATCGTTTATTTCATATAATGTTTCGGCGCGACAACAGTGCCATCATCAGATTTAAAATTCAACACAAACCCATACTTGGGAAATATTAGATTCTTTATCAGCTTGGCTATTATGAAACCTCACATTTGGTTGAATTATTGTCTACCTTGTCTCGCCGAAACGTTATATGAAATAAACGATACGAACATTTTTATTTCACATTTTGACTGAAACCCAGGAACGAAAAAATATGTATAAGAACAATTACACGCAGTCCGGAAAATAAATTTAAAAAAATTTTAGTAGCGCATTTTTTTTCCAATAAGCACTTTTTATACCAGCTGAGCCATGTAATAGTGGCCATTATCAACTTTCTTTTTTAAATGAAACTGAAATGAATGAATTTTTTTATTCTTTAGAAGTTTTTTGAGATACTTAAGGTATAATATCCAATTTTTATCATTAACCGTTTCGGCAATTTTTTCAGATTTATCCCAGAAAAATTCAAATTGACGAACCAACATTTAATATTTTTTAAAGAGTTCAAGACACTTAAGAATTGTGCATGAAATATGTCTGAGAAATGAAAAAATTAACCAATATACGGAGTGTTTCATTTGAAATAAAAAAATTGGTAATAGCTACGGTTACATGACATGCTTTGTACAATAGTTTTGATGGAAAAAAATGCGGAACTGAAAATGCCAATCGACGTGTCAGAGATTTATTTCGAACACGCCCTATATTTATTTTTTATCATTCTTATTCTATTTGGCTAATACACACTGAATGGTAAATATACTAATAGGAATAAACTACCCGAAGGTTACAATGTTTGTTAGCAACTAATGAGTTTTTACAAACCACTCTTTGACGGACTTACGTACTAGTCATGATTTTTCGTTTCTTTTTACTTAACTGTACTTTATTAGTACATTAGAGTTTTATATTTTTGTAAATAAAATTAATCGTTGCCTGTCTAAGTAATAAACTTGAAAAACAACTCTCCTTGCAGCAATGAGTGAATTTTATCAATATATGTAGTTAAATTTCGGTAAAATAAGTATTTTACATCGAGTAAAAGTAATTTTACTAAGTATTCTCACATACATCTCCTAAAATGTCGATTGCAAAAGAAATTTGTTTGACTGACATTAAAAGTGTTACCAATTTTACGAGGGTTTTGGTTAAATTTTAAATATTTATTTTCCAACAAATTGCAGAGCTTAAACTCTATATTGTTTTTCTTTATTGTTCGGGATTGAGTACTTAAACCTTCGTTTGTATTTAGATGTGTAATTTATTCGTAAACCAACATAATGTTTTTGTTCTCTTTTAGAGTTTTTAGCATTCGAATTATTTAATTTAAATCTCGTTAAGTATATAGAAGTTGTTTTTCGGCTACAATTCCTCAACTAATTGATCGGAAAACAGTCATTGAAGCCAGGATATAAACTGATTAAAAATTAAGTTGACGCAAGTTTAGAATTCTTCAGATCGGCATAAAACACATTTTTATTTGGTTGGACTTTTGGTTTTACTTGGAAAAGGTTCCCAAGATAAGATATAAGAAATATCACTGTGAATATAACAATTATATGTATATTTCTTGTTTTCAGTTTCATATAAATTCTATGTTTTCGTACTCTTACGTACTTTCGCAATATACCTACTTTCAACGTGAAAATTGTATATTATTTACTGATGGACATGCGAAAACGTCTAAAATATTACTAAAACCCATTTTCTCTTTATCCGTAATATTTACTGTGTGGTTTTCGTATAACTACTTGGAATTTTTATGTTATTTTTATCAAGTTGGTCAACTATATGTAAATTAGGGATAATTGAGTAGCTTCGAGAGTTACGCCCATCTAATTATTTTTCTGCAACCACAAGGTTCCTGGATCATTGATGTATAATGTTTTTTATTGAAATGGACGTATTAGTGAATTAACATCATTTCTCTCACACAAACACTTTTTTACCTGTTTTTAAACATGGATGGTTCATAATACCACATTTCATTTCAGTCACATCACGCTTCATCGCAGTAGATAATGAAATACACTAGCACAAATATACTAGCAAACTATAACTCCCTATAAAAAACATCAATAAAACATTACGTGCTGACGAACTATAACGTTTCTTTTATCAGTTAACAGCTAATTAGTCGTAATTGTGTTCACAAACACATCACGATGGTAATCAAATGGTAAAGACAATCTTTAATTAACTTAAAAATTTGCCACCATGATGGTAAATAACTGTTATTATAGTGTTTAAAAACCGTTTGCTGGGGTGTTAGACTGAAGCAGCAAAGGGAATATTATGTATGAATCATGTTTAAGATCTAAAACAAAAAAACTAGTTATAAATGTAACATTATTTGATATTTTACATCACAGCTGTATGTGGTTTGTTTGCAGGAAAGATAGAAGAAGTAGAACTTCCTGAGAAAGTAGACATTATAATATCGGAACCGATGGGCTATATGCTCTACAACGAACGTATGTTAGAGTCCTACCTCAACGCCAAACGGTGGCTAGTTCCTGGGGGTAAAATGTACCCTACCAGGGGTGATTTGCACGTCGCCCCTTTTACCGATGATGCCCTGTACATGGAACAATACAGCAAAGCCAACTTTTGGTTTCAAACTTGCTTTCACAGTGTTAATTTGTCGGCAATACAGAATTATGCGATTAAAGAATATTTCAGGTAGTAATTGTGACTTCCTGTTAATCAGTTATCACCGAAGTAATAAAATGCGTTTTCAGGCAACCCATTGTGGACACCTTTGATGTTAGAATTTGTATGAGTAAAAGCATTAGGCATGTTGTTGACTTTTTGGAAGCGGATGAAACTGATCTACATACCATTAATATACCTCTCGAGTTCCACATCTTGGAGTCCGGAACTTGCCATGGTCTAGCTTTTTGGTTTGATGTGGCCTTTATTGGGTCCCAACAAACTATCTGGCTCAGTACTGCCCCCACGGAACCTCTTACACATTGGTATTTTTAAAATGTTTTACATAAAACCTTAACATGTTAATTGTTTTATAATTTTTAAGGTATCAAGTAAGATGTTTACTAGAGCAACCCTTGTTGTTGAAACAGGGTCAAGTATTAACAGGTACAGTGCTACTAGTAGCAAACAAACGACAGAGTTATGATGTCACTATGGAGCTGACTGTTGAAGGGACATCGCAAACTTCCAAAAATACTCTGGACCTGAAAAATCCATATTTCAGGTATACAGGGGCCCCTGTACAGCCCCCGCCAGGTGAATAAATAATACTGTACCATTTAATAAGCACGCCAGTCCTTTCGATGTGCTTGAAAAATTACAACTTATTTTTTAACTATCAAGAGTGAAATGTTACAAGAAATTATTTTGTTTAAAATTCCCTGGTTGGCACGGATAATTTAAGTTCATAAAATTGAACTTAAAATTACGCAGTTCGTTTAAATTCCATATACAGAATAACAAATTCCGGGTCTTACTACTGGGATCTCGTAACAGATGCGAAACTTGCGCTAATTGATGCTGCTGAACAAAATTGTACAATTTTTATACTTTTTTCTTATTTCAATGCATGTTTTAAAATAATTGTTATATTATTCGAACACCTTTTAATTATGCGGTATGGTTATCAGATCTGGAATTCAGTGTTTTGTGTTTGGCCCATCAACTTATTTTTTTTAATACAGACCCAAAAAAAAGTTTTTCCCAATGTTAGCCGTATCATATTGATCATTTTATTATTAAAAACTAAGTACGGCCCTGATTTAAAATTATTTAAAATTAATTGAACAGTTTTTAGGTTCGACGTAATAGGACTCTCGTAATTAATATCATCATAACATTAGGGAAATACTCAAGGTGTTTTAGCAATGAAGTCTGATCAGCTATTTATTTTTGTGCCAAAAAATAACAAATTATAAAAAAAACATGTATGTTTCACCTACATAATACCTTACAAATGAATATAATAATATCCATAAAAACCGCAGGACTTTAAAAGCGCTTTATAAGTTGCTATTTGTTTAATTTTCATTCACTTACTTTCAAGTTTTCAGCCAGTTTTTTATACCACAAACAACTGAATTAAAACAATACCTGATCACTAAACGTGATTTCCAAAATAAAAATTGCAATTTTCAAAAGTTCCTGGAAATAATGCAGAACTGACAACAGAATGGTCCGAGTTCCTAGTAGTGACCCTGTTCTTGTCTCGCACATGCTTGAACGCGAGCATTCTGCCCTTATTTCTTCATATCGACAAGATTACATTGAATATATCCTTTCTACATTTTCGCGTGAAGATACCGAACCAGTAAAACAGTCTCATTAATTGAGGAATTTAGAATTTTCGGACACTAAAAAATTCTTCATTGTCTCATCAATGTTAGCAATGACTTTATCCTCCCATATCACTAATCTTCCGTACTCCCTATCATAAGATGCTCTCGACTTTATAGGCAGCAAATTTTCTGTAGCTTTTGCTGCGTTTTCTCTTTTGATTGCGAAATTTCTTCCATTTTTGGCGATGAATTTCTAATCCTTTTCTGGCGATGAATTTCTAATTTTACTAACCCAAATAAAAATGATTTCCAGGTCTGATAGCTAATAATGATAAGTAAATAAATAACACCTTATAGAGAGAAAAAAGGTGATCTGATATTGTGGTAATTAATAAAAAATCCTTTTTTTCATCAATTCGAGTTTTTGCTTTTTTTCGAATAATTCTGGAAGCAGTGGTAATTATTGAACTTTTAAAATACCAGTTTGTTAAACCTCAAAATACGTAACTTAGCTCTAATTTAACGAATATTATAACTTTTATTGTTTACAAAATCCCAATGCTAACACCTAGAAATTGTAACATCCTGTACACAGAGTGACATTTTAACTATCTGAATTAGTGTTTTATCTCCAGAATTTAAATAAACTCAACTAACAAATAACGAGGTTTAATTTTTGTCAAGAATACGCATTTTTATTGCAATAATCATTGTTGTTAATGAATATCATCTATATTTTTTAATCCTTGTCTGATGCCCAATTGATACTATATTTTCGTGTTTATCTAAATACTTTATTTTATAATGTTCTTCGTAATCAAGTCGATTTTAGTATTATGTCTAAGCAAGATTACTTCAATTTCCCCTGTTTAGTTTGAATTGGGGATCAACAAATGTTACTTAGATTGTCCGGTTAAAGCTTTTATTTTGATTATCTTGTTTATGGTAATCTTCAACCAATATATGTATTATATTTTCTAAACCAAAATCATGTAACAGTTTGTGTCTGTGTTGTATTAACGTTTTATTTGCAATGCGTAAATTATTGTTATTATTGACAATGTTAATAACGAAAATCATCATTGCCGCTTTGACTTTTCATCAAGAAATTGAAGAAGAACTTTTTTAATATAAAATGTTTTCGCAATTTGAAGCAAAGGTCGTAATTTTTCTTTTCGATTGCTTAAGTATTCCAATATGCTACCAATTAAACATGGGAAAATTTCAAAATAATGCTTAAAAGCAAAGTGGAAATTCGATTTTCAACTGTTAATACCTTCTAGAACTTATCGAGAAAAAGTCAGTATTATTCTCGTACTCTCTAAGTGAGCCCCTATTACCCCTTAAAAGAAATGACGCCAATTTTTAATCACTTTGTATACATTATGTAACACCCTGTAAACTACTTAATGTTTTCATCTTCCAATTTTACTTGTAATTATCTGATATACATCAGGTATCTGATTGTGTCTAAGGCCCAAAACGCCTTATATTGATCACGTGTAAATTTGGAGTGAATACTCAAGAATTTGAAAGAAATCGAAAGCAAATGTGTGATCTTTGACTATCAAATAACTTTTTCTTTGCTATAATAATTATAACCAATTAAATATTATTATAGGTGTTGCAAATGTATCCCCTAGTGAAACATATTGGACTCAGTTGGATGCACAGGGTGTGCGAAACGCTGTAAATATGGTGAATGGCATGTCGGTGAACGGCTTGGGTGAAGTTTCAATGGACACAACGCAGACATTAATTAACAATAATCTCATGGCCAATAATCTAATCGCCTTAGTGGATCCATCTCAACACATAGGTGAGCCAGTTGCGCCTAATATTCATCCGGGATGCATACCAAGTACAGGTAGAGGTGAGTAGTACGAGTAATTTAGTATTGGAATCCTGTTTTGAAATTTGATTGAGTATGGGACTTTTTTTTCTTAAAAATATTCAGCATCCTAAATTAGCTGCATATGCAACAGTTGAAATATTTGTAATTGAGTGAAAGTGACTTAATACAAACACTAAATCTAATTCGTGTGAAAAAAAACTTTGTTACTGCGATAAAAGCTATTTAAGAGTGTTTTTGTGTAGAATGTTTGAGATTCTCTCAGAAATTGCGTTTTAAAGCAAACAGTAAAAAATAAGCCGTTGCATGTAACTAAACGATAAAACTTAAATTGTACATTAGCAGAAGATATTTTGAACTTTTATTTCATATAATTTTTGTAGGTAGCTCAAATTTATGGGCAAGGAGAAGCTCGTCTAATTTAAAACACTTTCGTAAGAAAGTCAATAAGAAATACGCAACTTAAATATCTATCTCATCGAAAAATATATGAAGTTTCCAGTTTTATTTTTGCAATTTGCTGTGCTGTATACATATATTATTTACTATTATAAGGTGAAAAAATCTTTTCGTTTAGACGGATGAAAATATTTTGAGATGCATGTAAATGAAGACGAAATAAATGAGACTTCAATGTATAATAGTAACCTCCATGCCTTGTCATTTTATTATATTCATGCAGCTTTTGGTTTAAAGTATTCCTACTTTCGTTTAAACTATTGATGAAAAGGCGTAAGATTTATTTTTTTAAAGTTATGCACATTATATTGTTTTACTATTAACCTGTAAAGTTTTGTAAATAAATTGATGCACCATTATAGTGTCTTGTTTTGCTTTGGTGTAACTACGTGAGGTTTGTGGTGAAAATTTAAGCGGCACATATGTGTACTTTCTGGTGGGTTTAAAGGCTAATATAGGTATTTTTCAATGGGATTGTTTAGTTCGTTTCATGCTTTTTAGTCGTATTTTTCACATATCCTAAAGTTGCACAATATTGTTTTGTTTCTCAATAAAAGTGTGTAAAGTGATTTCAGCACCTACAGAAATTGATTTTACATACATACTGATTTTTATGTCTTTAATACTTATGGGCGGATTTTTCAGCAATTAAATATAAACTTTTTGTTGGTAAGTTATATCATTCCCACAGTACACTTATTTAAAATTTCTAAAACTGATTTCATGCTCTTATTGCTACATTTGTACTGGGTATGCACAATAGTTTGGCGCTTAAGATTGAGCGAATACAGGATACGTTTTCCAATGAATAACTAAGTTCTGTAATTAATATTTTATTTCCAGCATAGAAAATAACACAGATAAATGAGTCATTTGGTTCTAGATATTGTTTTGTAGTATTTTGGTAGTTTACGACTAATTTGATTTCTTAATGCATTTACGACCGTTTTGTAGGTCGCGTAGCAGCCAGTCCCACTTCGACTCACACCGCTCAGTTAATAGGAGGTGCAATTTCTCCTTCACTTTTCACGTCGGCTGCTGTTGCTCCTCAACAGCCCCTCGTAATGGCTAATTATCCAGTGGCCCAAAATCTGATGATTGGTGACTATGTTAAGTCTGGAAACGGTATCGTATACCGACAGTAAGAGCAGTATCATAATTGTTAGCCAACAGTAGTGTATAATGCTCAGATCGTACACCACGTTTACCAGGTGGCTTCTCTTGGAAAAGGTAAGTAGTTTGCTTTTTGTCAAAAAAAGAGCAAATTTCACCCCATTTAGAGGTTGTATTATTCCGCGATAAAATGAAATTATCAGCTACTACATCGATAGATCTGTCAATCAGAAAAACGCTTTTTAGTTAAGGTAATGAATGAACTTTTTAGTTAAGGTAGTAACGTTGTTTTAATTTAAGGTAGCATATCTAAGGGACTTCTCGCCTGCGTAACGCAGGTATTTAAGTTTTAATTTAGTTCGTTTTATCGAAATTGTCGGTATTGCTAATTTTCATCAAATTATTCTATTTATTCTGATAAGGTGACAATAAAAGTGCGATTTGTGTTATCAGCATATTTCCAAAATATGTATGATTTAACATGATTTAACGATCGACAATTGCTGCCAATATTGTCTGTAATATAACTGTATGATTCAAATAAAATAATCAATATCCTAAATTTATTAGTCATCGAAATCAGAAACATTTTATCCGGACTGAATAGCGAATCATATTAATTTAATTTAAGAATTGCTTGACTACATGCATACATACATTATGTTAACATTTCTAAAACTCTATTCTAACTAATTCGTATTCTCGAAAAATTCTCCAAATCAACTATATTTTCGCATCGATGTAATAATTAATATATAAAAAGGATAGATAATAGGTTAGTCGGATATTCTGATTATCCAATATATTATGTAATGCACTTCTGGCCAGACTCTATGAGGCAGGAATTAAATAGGATGCTTGTCGATAAATTAATTACAGAATTTTACTGTACTGAATTTTAAGTAGTTTTTCATGTATTTGATTAATATGGCATTTTTTAATCTGCCATTTTTTTTAATACAATTTACTTAAGAGTACATTTTACTTCTCATTATAAATTCGAATTCGCTCTGCAATAAATCGCGTTTATTGCAATCAAACACGGTTAGTTGTATCAAAACTATTCAAGCGTTTTTGTATATTTCAGTTTGGACAAGCACCTGAAAATAATCTATTTAAAAAATAACATTATTATTTAAATAATAGAAACTAAATTAGAACAAGATTAGTGTCACATTTTACAATATCGCAGCATATGTCTCACTTCATTAGAATACTTCATTAGAAGTCTATTCGGCGGAATTCAAAAAACCAATTTTCTCATATTCATTGTTGTTATGTTCAGAAAATTTAACAGAAATTAACCCACCCCCAAAGAGCAGATCTACAAATGATATATGTAATTGTTATTGGTTTACGACTGCTTTTTTTCAAGTAAGATTAACATACTTTTTTCAAATGTGAATTTCAGGATAATAGTTTCTGAATTTTTGACTCCTATCTTCTCAACTTAAGTCTTATTATTAAAATCACCGCTTTCTTCAGAAATAATGATTCAGAGAGTTCCAGTATAACTGGTTTTATTCGTAAGGAAATACTGTTTTTTAGAACGAACGTCTTGCTTTTAATTTTCATAATTATTTGCAGTTATCTTCATTGCAAAGCTACAAGTAGTAGGTTTTTCCTTATTTTTGTCTTCTTATACATAACTTAGGTTTGTACCATTATTAACTTAATCACTTTTGTATGCAAAGAACATAAGTAATACCTTAGATGTAAGTAAAGTTAGTACAAAACCATAAAAAACATAGATATTTATGCTTTGTACTCACGGCTGCACACTTCAGTAAATCTATTAGTCTGACTCCATTCGCCCAATAGATAATCTATTACAGAAACTGCCCACAAAATACTATAGGACAAAAAGAAACGGACACGATAAATATAATTCGATTTAAATCTTACATAGCTTGTTGTAGTTGTAAATCGATTTCGATAATTTTTTCAAGGTATTGTAGGCGTTGTCACCTTAATTAATATTAATTTAAAAAGTTAACAAACGATATAATTTACATTTATCGACAAACTGCATCATTGTGTTATAAACATCGTAAGTTCTTTCATACTCGATGTATTGTCATGAATCAAAAAATAATAATGTTAAGTAAACATTCATTTTGCAAGCTGTTCACAAATTTAGGTAAAAAACAACTTTTGATTTCACCCTCTATAATGACAAACCAATCCAAAGTTTTGACAAAATCCATATTGATTAACGATTGAAATGAGAATGTATAGATTACACCAAAATAATTATCAAAATCGATGTAGAACTAAAAAAGCGTTGTAAGATTTACATTGAATTATATTTATCGTGTTCGGTTTTTTTTGCCGGGAAGTGTAATGAAGCTAGAATAGTGTTTTAGGATGATTTAGAAATATTTTCAGCAAATATTAAATAAGGTCAAACAATTCGATGCGTAGAAAAAATATCAAAAATAGCAATATTGTCAAATTCAATATGAGCGCCATTTTCACTTAGTACAACTCTTGCAAATAGAGCAAGGTAAAATATATTTTTCGGTGGCATCATTCCTATAGAAAATTTGAGGAACTCAGTTTTAAACTAAATACCTTATACCTGCGGACTCCTTATTATTGTGTGATTTTAATATTTAAGTATTTAAATTGTAAGTGCTCGCGTAAAGTGGTCGTACATATTTTTTGAGTAAATTAAGTTGTCCGTTTTGCCGAGCCCTATGTTATGCCCTAAGTTATCGTCAATTTTATATTTAAGAATTGTATAAGTGATTTAAAGGTAGTGTGGTAACGTTTTTTTAAAAACATCTATTGATTTTTTAGCCAAAAGTATTATCCAATGTTTGACACAATTAGCGAGCAATAGATATTTTTAAAATCAAAGTGAGAATTAGAATTAATTTAAGCGAATGACAGATAGTGCTTTTGACCCTAAGACTGATTTTTACAACAATTTTTAGTATGTTAGCATCACGTAACGCCCCCCAAAGAATCGTCTGCTTTATAAGATGTACTCTAACATAAAAATGGAAGATACTGCATCACTGAGGAATGAACTTGCTTTTAGTTTAACTCTTGAAGTTTCAAAACCTAAAGATTTTGTTAAAATATGCTGATGAAATGTATGATTTGTTTTTAATGTGTGTAGTAGTGCTTGGATATACAGTCGGTAGGGTCAGAGTTAAGACACATTAATGTGAATGATATTACGGGATTATAGCCCTGTTGGTCCTGGCAGTGTTTTTCAATTAGAATTTGGTGAATACTCAGTTAAATTTGAATTGGTGCATTTGGTTTACGCAATTTTATTAATTTCATTAAGGGACTGTGTTTTATACCAACTTCGTTCGGGGACAAAATATTTAATAAGCTTACAACATCGCTTAGTTTTGGATTCCTTCTTTCGAGGAAGCTTAAAATAATGTAAGTAAATCCCAAACCATTTAAAATTTTGGAAATGAAATGCTAAAAACGCAACTAACAGTACTTTTTATTGTCCGCTATATAAGGTGTCCTATTTGCATGAAATAGTTTGATTGCGTTATAATATAAAAAAATATATATATATCCTCATGTACACAAATTATTTTCAAGTCTGATAGGAGCACGAACTACAGCTACTGTGTTTTTTAAATATCACGCCCAAACTTTTTCTTCATTTGTAAATGCTGCATTAAATTTGCAATCATTTCGTTTCTGACTGCTTTTAGACGAACACATGGGATCCTCAGCAGATCGCAAAATTAAAGCAATATGGATTTTTTGGTTTTTGTCTATCTCACCATTTAGCGGCCCCCAAACTTTCATACTAATGGAACACCTTGATAGTGATATAAAATTGTAAACTGCTTTTACACAAGCGATGATGTATGTAAATGTTTTAGTCTTGCTGAAGCCGAAAATTATTAATAACTGATTTTAAAAAGTTTGACAATGTTTTAATGCAATGAATCGGTAATAGTCATTTTAGTTTTCTTATTGTAAACTTATTAAAGCAGTGTAAGTAAATTTTAATAATGTGATTATTGAGGTGTGCCCAAGTGTGTGTAGGTTGATGATCATTGGCTTAATACATCAGATAGGCGAACAGTTAGTGTTTTATTTAACTACTATACTTGTGGTTTTTTAAGACTAGCTAGATTTTATGAAAGTAGCTCCATTAAAAACACTAATTTAGCAGAGTCAAAGTTCCATTGCAACAAATCCAGTTTTGAATTATCTGTATTACTTATTTACTTTTAATTAAAGTGGGGACAACTAAACTTATTGGGAGTTAATGCGCGTTGCTGATAATTAAGTTCATAGCAAACACTTGACAAATTCGAATTATGAGTACTTAGCAGTAGTGATAGGTTCGACTATCGAATAATTACGAAATGAATGATTGCTTCTATCGAATAAAATCATTCGAATGAATTCATTCATTGAATAGTCCGCGCTATCTAGTACACAGTAGTAGTAAGTAGCACAGTTACAAATAACAAACTTATATTTTTTGAAAAAACACCTTTCTAGTTAGTATGAACTAATTTAGTACTGTACTTTATTAATAAAAAAGTAAAGAAGCGACGAAATCTCTCAAATTCGGGATGCATCGTGTGCTGTTTGACCCTAAGCTGTTTATCACGATGGCAATGGCATGATAACGTATATAATAAATAAAATTTTAGGGATCCAAATCAAATTCCCTGCAAATCGTATGGTGTGTAGAACTGTTGGACACAATGTATCTGTTCTGATGGAGTGTGATTAGGTTGATTTATTTCAGACATTAATTTATAATTTTTGAGTTTTTGGGAATTTCTGTAAGACGTAAGGTCACCCAACAGGCTGTGACTTTGCCTGTATAATTTCGACAGGTTTGGTCTATTCTCTAGTAACATATGTTACACAATGGATTATGCTCAGGATGTTTAATAGACACCACCCGCGAAAGACAAAAGTAAACGGAATTTCGGGGGCATGCGTTGTCATTCCAAGAAGGATTTTGGAACCTTGTATTTGATATCAGCCGTTTTCCTTGAAAGTGGTGGTCCATTTTGACAAAAAAATAGTTAATGATAAAAATGAATACAATTTAAAACTTTTTCCAAAAAAATTTGTGAATTTTTTTCTTGTTTCATTACATTTTTTTTAGTTTGTTTAGTAGATTATCCGATAATTATAAAACAAATGAATAAAACACTGCTATCGAACAACTCAAATGAATCACATTACAAATTAACTTATTAACTACTTAAAACTATCGAATAATTCGATGGTTTCCATCGCTTTCGAATAATTCGCGAGTTTCCACTACTGAATAAAACAGCGCTATCGAATAATTCGAATGAATTACAACTATCAAATAATTCGATAGTTCCCATCACTACTTAGCAGCATTTACTTGGCGATAAAACAATTTATACCCTTCTGGCTAAAGGAGTTTCGGTTTTTATTTGATTTTTTTGTGATTTGGTTAACCAACATTTTAATTTGTTGTGTAGTTTAGTTTACAGGTGTTTAAAATAGCAGGTTAACGAAAAGTTGGTAGAGCTGGTATGTACGCGTATACGTAACAGCCATTCGTAAATTGCTGCAGTTTTCTTTTGAAAATATTCATCTTGTATAACTTTAAAGCAAACCCAATTAACCTAAAGTAATTATAAAGAAACAATAAACAAATTATTGAGAAAAAACGTAAAGCGAAGATTACCATTATTCACTAAAAAGTGTCTAAAAATCTTATATCCAATGGATGGAAAGAAATTCTAAGAAGCAATAAACAAAGTTTTTAAGATTCTTGTATTACAGGCATCTTGTATAAAAATAACCCATAGGCTTCGCAAGCAACGCTAAATTCAAATTTAGAATGATTTAAGAAATCGCATATTACGTATTTGGAAAATTTACTTATTTATTGATCACTATATTGCTCTCTAAAGAGCACATAAAGACATAAAAATAACATCTAACACATCACTATCACTCTAATATTAGTCACTAGATATCCAAAAAATATTAAATAGTATACCTAGGAGGTCATTTTAGCATATCGTTCCTCCTTTTTTCTGGAAAACCTTTATCTAGATCTACTTTATATAATATGGCAGACTTCTTTCAAATTGCTTTCACTTCAATATACATAGAATGTCGAATTCATATGTTGCATTTATTTTATAAAATATGTTCAACAAGTATTGAAAACTACTTTGCCTCTCAAATACAATATTATACTCGTATATATTTATTGAAAGTCAAGTCTGTATGTGACAATTTTAGAAGCCTAAATGTTAGCGTGCGTAATTTTCGGCGAACAAATCGGCTTCAAAGGCTAAAAACAGACTAGGCTCTTGATTCTAGCTCTAGATTCTTGATTCTACTAGGTGGCGCACTAAAAAATTATGTATAAACTGCCGCATACACAAGCAAATATTATACATGGAAGTTATGATTTTAAACGAAAGCGTTTACAATTAAATTCATTACCAAAACGTTTCCGATACAATACATGTTGAACCGTAGTATACACCTATGCTCTATTTTACTACGTAATTAAATTGAAAATATTTTGTACTTGAGTTTTACATTAAAATTGGGCGAACAAGCTCTAAATAATAAAACATTTCGATTCAAATGAACAAAGTAACAAAATGTATTTTCTAAAACAAATACTAATTAACACAGTAGGAGTAATTCTAGATTCCTCTGATATCCATAAGTAAAAAATGATGAATTTCTCATAATCATACAACTCTTGCTTTGGTTTAATATTTCACGTTTAATTCAAATGGAGAAATCCTAAGATTTGGCACTCGTTATGTTGTGGATTTCAGAGCGACCTTTAAAGAAGACAACGGGAAATATTCAAACACGAAGAAAGCATTTCACAGAGTACTAAACAGTATTTATCACATTACAATATAATGTATAAAAATTGAGGTAGTCGTTTTACAGTTTATAATATTGTTCTTATAACTAGAAAAGTTTGTTTTGTTTTTGTTACGAATATTGTACTCTGATCGTGCACCTTTGCGCGTACATTTAAATCGTAAGCAATATGCCTTCGCATTTCACGAAAAAAATGCCGAAAAACTGAAAGTCATTATTGAATTCCACTGTCTAATACACTAATATCACCAAAAGTGTGCGCTTATATTCGAAACAATTTTTAGCCTAAATTTTGTATATTTACAACCATACCTATTTGTCATTTTAAATCACAGCCCGAAAAGTTTCACTTTTTGTTTCAACATCTCTCTCCATTAAGAAAAATAATTTTGGAGCTATTAAACAGTAGAATTTCACCTAAGATTTGCATTATGTTCTTATCAGTAATACTTCTCAAATAACCTCAGCTACCCAAAATAGATTTAGGCAAAAGTATTTAAAACTGATATCATTACATTTTCCTATATAAGAAAAACACATGCATTATTCATCTCATTTAGTCATTATTCACGAATTTAATGAACCACATATCATTACAAGTGGATTTTTTGTAGTTTAAGTATTTGTTTTGTTATTATTTCATGTCGGTTTATTGAATTTTAATTTATCGGGTTTTCTAGTGAGGGAATCATCTGCTAACCATTATTCTGTTATCCTAAAGTTGCGGAGATTTTTCGGTGACCTCAATTTACGTATCACATTCCACTTAAGATTAATACAAATTTCCCAAATACTTTCAGACAAAAGCGTATTTTAAAATTGTTTCAGTTCCAAATTAAGTCCGCCCTAGTAGTCATTGTTTTGTTAGTGAAGATGGCTTCAATTGACAAAGCTGGCTTTTTTCGACTGGTCATGTTGCTGAAAAATCTCTCAACGGTCGTTTTTAATGGGATACCCTGTATATTCTCTGAACAATCAAAGCACAACTTTATTTTGCACTAAAAAAACATATTTGGTTAAAGTAAAACGTTTGTTGAAACGATTAAGACCGTCGTGAGTTTGATAGACGCATAGAAAACCTTGCAAATGTTTGGCGCAGATTTTCCTTGATGTTGCACCTTTGAAGAAACTGCAATAATAATCAAAAGAGGGATTATAACTAACCTATCTTCACACTTTCCTTTAATATCGAAAGGAAATAAAATCTAAACAATAAAACCTGATTTTTTGAAGTGAGTTTATGAAGTGAAGTTAAGCAGTTTTGGATAAACCTCGTGTAGTTTATGTAGATATTGATATCATTGCCTTGAGAACTCCAATCACAAAACGAAATATTGGAGCTCTAAATTCTTCTCAACTGATAAATCTTTTCAAATAATTTGGACGTGCGATCAAATACATGATTCCAATTTACCATTTTTGTGATATTTTTTTAAATAATTTTTATGGATTTTAAATAATTTTTATGCCTCCAGAGGAATGACACCAATCTTGAATCCTCTATACATAGGACTCCATTAAAAAACTGTTTGTAAAATTGTGAAGTGAACGCAGTGCTCGATTGTTTTTCCGTTTTCCCATTCACAAAAAAAACAGTTCCATTACATTTCAAACTAAACCTTCACATAAAACAAACTTCCACTAGTGGAGGCCTAATTTGGATCTGCTTCATCAGATCAGGTTGAGTCAGAAGTCGGTGAACAAACTTTCCAGTAGAATTATACTCAAAAAAACGTTCGTACAATAAATAATCACCTGAATAAGCTTGTTTTTAAAGAAAAATACTACCACAGGCTTTGTTGCCACCACAATGCGTTTTCAATAAATTTATATTTACCATACTAACATAATTTTCAATCGTATGGTCTACTGCAAAAATGTGTACCAAATTATGAATCACTCTGTTTAAAATGTGTACACTTTAACGCCGATCGATCTTTCTATATTACCTTTGTTTCATTTTCAATCCTTCAAAATGTACAATTTTTGTACAAATGTTTGTTTGATAGTAGAGCATCTTAAAATCTTTCATGAAAGCGTTTTTTGCACATATAAGTCGAATGATACTCATTTCTTTCAGCTTCTCATAGCTTATGAAGTTATGCTGTGGGTGCTGATGCCTTGCTGAGACAACTCCGCCTTGACTCTTCTAGCGATATGAGACCTCGTATGCTTCCTCAGATGGTCTTTGCGATAGAAACCTAAATGTACCATATTTATACAGTGTGGTCCATTAGAATGCGTTCTCGTTACAACTAGCTGTTAAACCCCAACAAATTCTATATTCAACTTACCCTTTCCGCATTCTGTGCAAATATGTCTCTTCTCTCCTGAATGGATGACAAAGTGCAACGTTAACTGCTCCTTCCTTTTAAACGCTTTCAAGCAAACTGAACAAACGAATGGGCGTTCAGGATTATGGCTCTGTTTGTGCCTAGTCAAGTGATCCTTTCGCTTCAAAGCAGCCCCACAAATATCACAAACAAAACGCCGCTCCATGTTATGACCCATGAGATGTTGCTCTAACAGATCGCGTTCGGGTAGAGCCATGTGGCATTCGGGACAACAGTACAGAGTGGAACCATCTAAAGCTGTTGTTAGTCGTATTTCACCTATAAATATTTGTTCTGTATATATTCCATTTGACTAAAAGCATCATGTGATTGATGATTTTAAAAAGTTTGGTTTAATGTATTCTGAGTAACATAGAAAAGAGAACAGTCCATTAAAATGTTTTTTTTTACAATAATGTTTGGCATGCAGGTTTCCTACAAGTACATAGATAAAAAAAAATTGAGAAATTCTATGGAAATTTTAATATTGAGAGTATGAAAATGATGAAACATTAGGATTTACAGCGCTAGTACACAGGCCGATGTTTATTACTCATCTTAATGCAATAGTTTACAGTGCTCTGTCCTTAAAACACACAATAGTTGCTCTACCTGGTCACAATGTATATTTTCAGACCAAAAAAATTAACTATTAATACTTTAGAAATTCAAAATTGTCAGTTTTTTAGATGTTGTTCAGTGTGGTTCAAGCATTTATTTTGCTTCATTTCATCAACATCGTATAAAACAGAAGTGTTAAAACTTGATAAGTTACATCTTGTAAACTGAATAAGCTTGTTCTGGATTTTTTGCCTTAAAAAAACTACGAAAACTGTTTAAGTGAAAGTTCCGTTTCTTATAAATACAAATGGCCTGAGACAAATTGATTTAAAAATAATCAAAGTATTTTCTGTTGGATATTTTGTCTCAATAAATTCGTGTTGGTATGGAAAAGTTGCAATGCTCTAAATGCGCAAAAAAAAACATTCACGTTGAAATTATTTAAACGTTTTCAAGATTCGTATTGACAGAACTATATAGTATTATAATCTATATTTTCATAAAAATTTGCTCAAATTATTCCTAAAAGACTTTAAAGCTTTGATGGTTATTTTGATAATTGGGAGAATATTGCATTTGAAGTTTTGGTAAGCATGAGGAAGATCTTATTAGAAATAACCCGCATGTTGCTTCCAGCGGGTCGAATTTACAGGGTGGTTTTGTAGTGCTATAGAGTCCATTATTTCCGGTGGTGTTGAACTTTTGAAAAATAGTTTCATATAAAAGTTGTTGACGAATAAAGTGCGCACATTTAAAAAAATTTTTTAAAAAAGCGAGGCAAGATCAAAGCGTATTTTTTTAAATAGAACTACCCATTTTTCATTTGCTCATGGAATGCAGCTTGAAATGCTGCATATGCACCGTAAATTGTTTTTTTTCTTACTTGCGACGTTGGCAAATTATCGCCATGTTAGTTATTTTTTTCTTAAAAACATGGTATCTAAAAATTAATTGTAGACGCAAAAAAAAGCAGTTAAAGATACAAAAAATACGTCTTTCTAATCACCACAGATCCGTTAAGAATTATATTGAACCAAAATATCAATACGTTGTACAGGGTGGTAACAATGTGGACTTCAATCGAAAACTGTTTAATTCAATATAACTTTTGTTTTTCAAATGGAAGTACCTGTATATTAATACGTCATTAGATAGACAATTTACAAAGTTACAAATTTGCACTGACACTTTAAGCTGTTAAATCAACCGTTTTCAAATTATAATTTATTTTATTTCAAAAATTTGCTACATTTAGGTGGCTTTGGAAATAAATAAATAAGTGTCAAAATTTGAATAATTATAAAAATATAAAATTAAGTATAATTTTATCTATTTTTATAGACGTATTCTATCTATTTTTATAGACGTATGCAGTTTTATTGCATTTTTTGCTATGAAATTCCATGCATTTTATAAAACGTTGCACTTTTCTTCATTGATTATGTCAAGTATCATCAGATTTTGACACTTATTTAATGAATTCCATAGCCACCTTACAAAATGTAACGACCTTTTAAAATTTTTAAATAAAATAATTCATAATTTGAAAACTGTTGATTTCACAGCTTAAAGTGTAAATGCAAATTTGTAAATTGTCTATCTAATGACGTATTAAGATACAGGTACTTCCATTTAAAAAACCAAAGGTAAATTGCGTTAAAAAGTTTTAGATTCATTTGGTCAAGTCCACATTGTTAACACCCTGTATAATGTATTGATAGTTTGGCCGTAGATAGTATAGACGTATTTTTTGTATCTTTAACTGCTTTTTTGCATCTACAATGAATTTTTAGATACCATGTTTATAAGAAAAAATTACTTAAATGGCTATAATCTGCCAACGTCGCAAGTAAGAAAAACAATCTAGTTCTATTTAAAAAAATACACTTTGATCTTACCTCGCTTTTCTCAGACACTCTGTATCATATAAGATATTTTTAAAATGTGCGCACTTTGTGCGTTAACAACTTTTATATGAAACTATTTTTCGAAAGTTCAACACCATCGGAAATAATGGACTCTATCGCACTAAAAAACCACCCTATATGTAATGGGAAAACTGGTTGTTTTTTGCTCTTTTTGAACCTGTTTAGTTATTAGTTTATTCCTAGATTACTGTCCTGGAAAAATTTTTTCCCAAAAAGAGATGTTTCTTATCCAAAAAATTGACTCCTGAATTGCTTTCATCTGTGCTCTTTGTCTTAGTTGTTTTGCAAAGAAGCTAATGATTAAGACGATCAAATTAAATGCAAAAGTATCCCCGTTTTAAGTCACATAATTCAATTTCTTTAATTCATTTGATTTGTGGGCAAAAATCTTATTTTGTCTATTACAAATTTATTTGTTTTCAGTTTAATTTAGTTACCTGGTTTGGGTTTAGGTTTTTTCTCCCTTTCCAGTTTCTTCTTTTTTTTCTTCTTCAAAATGTTATTGTTATGCAGATGGGCAGTGTTTATGGTACTCAACGTGCTGAGTGCTTGGTTGTTATTTGAATTCAGAGTTCTGTTAGAGCTGTTTCCGACATGTAAGGCATCAATATTTACCGTACCTGAAAAAATCCCCGAAGTTATTTAAAAAATATTTATTTCTTTGGTTTAACTATTATTTTCAACTGTTTTACCATTGTTTCCAATATTCAAATTGGGTTCGCCGTTGTGCTGTTGCACCGCTCCATGCTGACCAACAGTGTCTTTCTTTAAAGTTTCAGCCGAATATTTGAGGAAATCGTGCAGACTTATTGGTAAGCTGGTAGTGGGAAGTTGTGATAAATAATCGACTACTGAAGAACTGGAAGCCGACAAATTCTGCCAAGGGTTGGCCAAAACAGAGGATTGGCAATTTGGCAAAGATTGCTGATTTTGATGGATGAATTGATTAGTCTCTATCTTTGCCTCTTCATTTTTTTTCTAAGATTCAAACAGATTTTAAATATGGCAAGTCATAATGCAATATGCATATATGCATGACAAAAATTTAAACGCTATTCATCAATTAAATTGTAAATGAAAATAAAACAGTAAAAATGCGGCAAGAAAATGGATAATTCCAAATCAAAATCAAATCCTCGTCTTCAGTCATTTATTGTATATTTATCAATTAAAATACGTTTCGGTGTTTTCCACCATCATCAGTTTCTATGTGTAGCGTTGTTGCTACTTTAAGCCTTGGCATATATTTTCATTCATATCGTGAAACATTCGAAATTTCATTCATTTCATTATTTTCATTCATATTCGAAACGTATTTTAATTGATAAATAGACAATAAATGACTGAAGCCCAGGATTTGATTTTGATTTGGAATTGAAACACAGTCAGGAAAGTATGTAAAATGGATAATGAAAATGGAAGAGCGAATGCATGGTGTTTGAAACAAATAGACTAACACTTGGCTAATTGAAAAGTTCATTCGATGATTTGAAAATAGAATAAAACGTTTTAGTAAATGGAGGACCGCAACATCTTTATTATCCTACAAGGGAACACTTTTTTATCAGTTTAAGCGGATGGAAAAAACTGTAATAAATAAAAAATTGTTTGTTGTTTCAACTTCAACACTGTTCAGTAACGAAGCATCTGATGCGTTAATTTATAGAAACTTTTCAGTCTATTCGATGTAATTGTTTACAAAACACTCTGTAGAACAAAAACAGCTGCTTACACTATATGAAAAACCAGTCCGTATTATTTGGATCAATATCATTGAGAAAATTCAAATGATAGAGAGCAGTTGAGTTAATAACTCAAAATTGAGATATTACAAACTACACAAAGTTTACAGTAACTTAAACCAAGGTTACACTGACTTAAATCAAGGTGCAACATATTTATTACTTCAAAAATGCAAGCTCAGATGGGAACGAATAAGTTCCCATAACTTCGGTTAAAATGGAATGCGCTTGTTTTACAATCTAAGCGCTTTCTGTGGGAATGTAATTCTAATCTACAAATTATGCATTTTCTGGGGATGTAACTGTGCTAAAAAATTGTTACCAAGTGGAAAAATCAGAATATTTTAGGTATTAATTTTAATAATACTTAATTATCAATATAGAGTATAGTAAAATACATCTACAACAATTTTTACATCTATTAACTTACCTTTTGTTCGCTATTAATCAATGCCTTTTCTTGAAGACCTCTAACTGAGAAAATATCGAAGTTTTGCTGCTCAAAATTCTGCCGTTTTGGAGTGACATTTTGGTGGTAGACGGTTTGATTGAGGTAGTTTCCGTTGTTTTTAGTTGAGGCGGCAAGAAGCTGTTGTTGAGTAGAGGCATGGTGATGTTGAGTAAATGAAGGAACGCCATTTGCCGTATATCTGTTAATATGGAGTAAAATATACTTTGGAAAAATGTTATTTCTTGTTTGTACGCAAAAATTTGTTCAGTATTCTTTTTGCAAAAATGTCTCTAAATTAATAAATAAATAAATACAAGCAAATTGTTCCTAGCGTTGGTAGCTTCTTAATAGTTTATAATGAGATAAAAGAGGGTTGAGTGATGAAGTTCTCTTTGATTAGATATCTAATGAGAAACGGAAATAAAAATAGAGTGATTGGTTTCAACGACTTATGTCTAGTTTAGTAAAAAATTAAATTCATATACGATACGTAGACACCTTAGTGATCCATATGTACTTAAAGTGTGTTATAGTATGACAAGAAAAATTATACGATTATAAAAGTGCCAAGCAAAATAAAAGAAAGAGTATATCTGCTTTCCTATTGACAACATTTCATTAGTAAAAATAAATAAAACATACCTCATCGCGTGTACCGAATGTTAAATAAAATTCGTACAAATCTGGTTCTTTTTAAATATTAAATATTTATAATATTTAAAAAGGGAGTCTCCAAAAATGTGGACATACTTTCGGAGCATCTATTTTAACACGATTTTATACAAGGGTGTTAAAATGACATCACAAGTAACTACAAACATTTTTTTCATATACATCCCGAAAACATCTGGGTGAAAATCGGTTTTTATTAAATAACTTTTAAAAGACTTTTATAATAATACTTTTTAACATAATATAACTATATATAACTAACTAGTTCAGGCCCCTTAAATTAGGGCTTTTGAAACTCTGAAAAAAAGAAAGAAAATGTTTGAGTTCGCCACAGACCAACCAGATTGTACACATTACCGCTCATATTTTTAACACCCTATATGGTACAAACGCAAGAAACCCATTAGTTGGTACGTTGAAAGTTGAACTAAAAAAACCCCTTGTTTGGTCGATAAAATGAACCGTATTCCAGAAAACGCGTATTACTTAAGTCAAATTTTAATTATTTTTGCTTCATTTTATCGATATTAAATAACACCATTTTTAGTTTCGGCATTAAGCTATCTGAAAATGGTTTTCTTGTCTTCATCATAGACATGATGTTGAAAGTATAAGTCGATAGTATGTCTACAGTATGTATTTAAGGGGAATTACGTGGTATCTAATATCTAAAAGTTATATAATAAAAAATAATTTTCAGCTGCCGCTTTTAGGTGTTTATATTCTTGTAGGAAAAGCCTATAGAAGTATTTTTATAGAGATTTGTCCTACTATTTTAAATCGTTTATGCATCTGAAAACATGCCCACACTTTTAGGGATTTGCGAATGTCCGATACAGCCTAATAAAGTTATTAATAAATAAAAGACCTAGAGATATAAAATTTATCAATAATAATTTGTTAGAAACTGAATCAAATGAAACCGAAAGGTTTGATTGATTTTACGAGAAAAAACACACTATTTAAAAACATATGTATTTAAGCTTTAATACAATTGATAAAGCACAGTATTTTTTAAATTAAAATAATCTGTGAATCTTTACAATCGGTAATGTCTTGACGCAGATTAGTGCGCGGTATAAGTGAAACACCCTGTATCACTCGTGCTAAAACATATATTGTTTTCAAAAAAAGTGTGTTGTCTAGTCAAAGTAAGTTGATAAAATTATGTTACAAAAACGTTGGGTAATGCAATCAAATAACTGCTTACCCAAACCATTCACTAATATGAAGACGTGCTGATATAGAAAAAATCTGTTAAGACTAATAAATCTGCCCTTAATCAAAACGTGCGATTACTTATAATACAATACAATAACTTACCGATTAGTTAGAGAGATTTCTTCGGGAGAACTGGAAAATGAATTTGGTGAGCAAATGTCTTGAGATAGCTTAGCGGCAAATTGATGTATATTAGGAATCGATGTTGAAAAGTGACTTCCGAACGGGGAGAAATTCATCCTGCGTCATGTTTATTTCTAAAATGTACCAGAATGTATATTACACTATATTTATTTGCTTAATTAATTGTTCACCATTATTGAAAACAGTAAGGAACTCGGCGGCTTTTCAGCAAAATCGCTAACCTCGTGGAGCAGGCAGATTCAACATGCTTTCGTTGTGATTCATCTTATTGCGCATGGGGATCAAATAAAAGGGTTGCAAGGGGTGAAAAATAATCCATAATTATTTCGTGGCAAGTTTGAATAGGCGTTGCGCTTTTACAGGCAGTGAATGCGTCTGAAATTTTAGTATTAAACAAATAGATGCAAATGCAAGATGCATTGACAGAAGCCCACCTATTACAGCTTGTACTGTTAAACGTTCTCTGCTTTCTAATAATGTTTTTGTGGAAAATACACCTAAATGTCAAAAACTAATGTTTAAATTAAAACGTTCATATTGGAATTGTTTCAAGAATTTTGAAAATTATATGTTGGAAGTTATTAGAACACATCATAGAAGATTGGGCCTATAACATAGGAAAACGAATATGGAAAAAAAATATGAAACAAGAAAGGGGGAAGAAGTACACACTGGATGAAATTCAATGATACGAGATTCGTATAATGTGTGTATGTAATTCAAAGGGGTTTTTCAATACCAATCAATAAGTCCATCTCTAGACTCAAGACCAATTTAAATGTAAATTTTAGTGTTTCTCAATGTTTAGTGTATTTTTTACAAGTTTAAAAATGTTCACTTTCATTTCTGACCCCTTTTCATTGTTTCATGGCATTTTTGATTCAGGTGACTGTCGAAAGAGCTTGATCTTAGATAATTTTTAAGGGTAAAAAACCTTTGAATTAGACGCAGATAATACGAAGCTTGTTTCATGGAATCGTAAAAGCTCTACTGAAAATTGAAGATACGTCTTAACCCTTCTAGAGAGGCAAATAATAAAAAACCCAGATAAGCTAAAAGCGATAAGAGAAAAAAACTGCAACAGACTGAAAAGTTTCATAAAGAGAGTGCTACAAATCTTTATCATCAAAAGATGGTTAATATTCGTAATGTGGAAAAGTTTAGACGTAAAAGTGTAAAATCTAAATTTAAAAATAATATCTATCAGAACAACGCCCCATTTTACCAAATTTGCAATGGCCGAGTGCCTCTCAGCTGAAGCAAACTACAAAGAGAAATATTTTAAAAAAACATTGACTTTGTTCTTCGGACTTGTAACATTTTTGTTCTAGCGATTCTCAAAAGGAAACGACGAAAATCGTTTTTATAAACAACTTTTACAATAATTGGATGATAAAATAAACGCATGTTTTGCATAAAAATAACCAATTAAAACAAATTTGCCTTATACCTATGCTTTGTCAGGTACGAACTAGCTTCAGCACAGTAATAACAATAACAACATGTATTTTTAAAAATCTTCGCTGGACAATAATATATAAAATTTATACTTAGTAATACTGTATAAATATTTAATTGTCTCCTATTATACTATACATTTTTGTCTTCCATCCGAGTCCAAGAATGGCGATTGCCCACTTATTCTGGGGCACTCTGTACATTCTCAACTTCGGTAAAATGCCTCATAAACTGCAGAAATTATGAAGCAAAAAATTTTAAATTCTGTAAATTTCGGAACCGCGTGTATTAATAGATACTAGTTTGCGAGCATTATTGAGAGTCAGTTCTCACCTAAGAAAACCTGGAGCCAATTAACCAAGACCAGAATAAGACATTGTCAAGATAAATCTCCAGTCAGTCTATTAGTGTACATAATACAAATTCACTTTCGAGTTATGATTATGTAAACCTAGCATGTCCGATTTTGTCCAAAAAATCATGAAAATTCCGTTTTATACGGTAATTGGCCCTTTGCTGAGAAGAAACAAAAATTACGTTAACACTGTATGTGGTCATCCTGTGCTGGCATTTGCTCCTTTTTACGTTGGGATTTTAGGCTTTTTAGGAGTGGTAAGTTCGGGGTTCTTGTCCTCATTTTAGCACAGATCAAATGCACTAGTAACAAAATATGTAGATTCTAAGCGCCTTTGATATATGGAGAATAATAAAATGTGGTCCAGTCTTGCCAGGGTACCTTTGGCGAGAACGGCTGAAAAGTGGAAAAATAATCGCTCCTGAAGCTGAAAGGGACTGTAAACTGATATCTTTGGTCTTATCTGTAGAATATTACTGTTTCTTACTGGTTGGTTTGCTTACAGTAAGTTGCTATTTTTGGCGATTTTCAATAGCCACTGGTTATTTTAATAGCCTTTCTCTTTTAGAACAATCCCATTTTCTATATGCCCTTTCTAGCGCTATATGCCCTAATCATATCTCTGGAATTCATCGTATTTGTGTCTAGAGCATTTGTTGATGGTTTGGATTTTCAAAAGAAAACTCTGATAATGACTATTTTTATGATGTACAACTGGTCAGCAGTGGCATGTACATTTGCCAGGTCTATGTCCTGTTGCGACTTATAAAATAGATGAAGCTTTAAAGTAAAAGTCTTTCAATACATAAAATATATATTAAAATCGAACTAAACCACAATGTACCTACATTTCTAAAATAAACAAAAACTTAATTAAGGTTTTTGGTATCTGAGGCACTTATTTATTGAAAAGATCACTGTTAACTTAAAATTATTTTCAGCAGTAGACATCCCAGGCAACCACAAATATGACTAAATCTTTAATCGACGTCTATTTTTGGTCACGTTATCAACATGCCTAATATACGCGAATTGAAAAGTTAACTAACGACATAATAAACACCTTACAAAATGAAGCAACTTTTTGAAATTTTTAAATAAAATAAATTCTAATTTGAAAACGGTTGACTTCACAGCTTAAAATGTAAATGTAAATTTATAACTTTGTAAATTGTCTATCTAATGACGTATTAATATACAGGTACTTCCATTTGAAAAACAAAAGTTATATTGAGTAAAAAAGTTTTAGATTGAAGTGCACATTGTTAACACCCTGTACAATGTATTGATATTTTAGTTCAATAGAATTCTTAGCGGATCTGTGGTGATTGGCAAGACATATTTTTTCTATCTCTAACTGCTTTTTTTGCTTCTACAATGAATTTTTAGATATCATGTTTTTAAGCAAAATTTTACTAAAATGGCGATAATCTGCCAACGTCGCTAGTAAGAAAAAAACAATTTACGGTGCATATGCAGCGTTTCAAGCTGCATTCCACGAGCTAATCAAAAATGAATAGTTCTATTTAAAAAAATACAATTTGATCTTGCCTCGCTTTTCTGAGACACTCTGTATCATATAAGATATTTTAAAATGTGCGCATTTTGTGCGTCAACAACTTTTATATGAAACTATTTTTCGAAAGTTCAACACCACCGGAAATAATGGACTCAATCGAACTAAAAAACCACCCTGTATTTATATAAAGGGTGTTTCACGGGTGATGATACTTTAGCCGTATAGGAAAAGGGAGACATTATTTTTAAAATGTTGTTACATATGTAGGCCATGAGCTAACGATTTTAAATTTTCAACAATGTACTCTTTACTACGTATGCCAAAAATCTGCAACATCTTTGATGTTTGAAATTAAACAGCTTGTATATGATAGCATTTTTTGATTCGTCATTTTCTCGTTAAAATCTCCTTTACGTTCGAAGTTGAAATATTCACCTCATAGATAATCTCTCTACTAACAAAATTTGTGTTTCCTGGGAAAATGCGTTTTCCCATCACTTTTCACTCATTAAAATTCACAAATTTTCCATAAAAACAGCGAGACGTACGAAAGTTCCAAAAATTTCGCACATTTGCTAAATCTATATTTTGTTTGTTCTTGGTTTGTTCTAAGACACATTGTATGTACAGGGTTTCGAGTATATTTTTGCACCTCAGTAGAGCGTTTGTTTGAAAAGTTGTGGAAGTTAAAGTTTAATATATTTTTGTGTATTACTAACATTTCTGGTCAGAATAGCAAACATGTTTTGAAAATTGTAACATTTCACAGTTTTTGTAATAGAACACCCTGTATATTACATAATTAAAACTCGCGTTTGTTTCCAATTATGCAAACAAGGGGTTTTATGAGAAAGGGGCGTTACTTTCACCACGTATTCCAGGTGCAAAAATTTTCCTAGTTTGCTATATAAACCATAGCCCAAAAATGCTTCGTTACGGATTGATAGTGTTGAAACATAATTTAAAAATTGCAAAATGATAAATTTCTTGAAAACGGATGGAGGCTTTTTAACGAAATTTTCCAGAGGTTAATAGGTAAGAAAGACCTATGATTATGAGCTACTCTCTTTGCCAATTAGTACTGCAAGTCTAAAATAAATTTTATTGGTGGAACCTTCCAAGCGCGCTTTTTGCTCACCCGCAAGAATCCTCATATACTTATTGCGTGCCCCGCCTTATATTTGGTATGTTTAGTAAATAGGTAACTGTGCTTGGTGCATTGGCGGTCAGATCGAAATATTTTGATTTCGCAAATGAATTATGGGGGGGCCGAGAATAGCGAAAATTTCGAAAACTGATCAACGTTCTCATAGTATTATTGTGCCAGATTTATATGAAAAACTAATTTTTAATTTTTTATTAAAAAATTATTCGCCTCAGTCGATTTGTTGAGATTGGGTAGGTACCTCCAGTGTTAAAACATATGCTGCCTCTAATTTACAAGGTAAGCATATTATATTTGCAGTTTTTTTTTAGTTAAATTTTCGTTGAATGGTGTAATTTGGTTCGCATTATTATCCGCCATTTAAAATCCGTGATTATTTTCATAAGGTTTTGTTAACATTAGGTACTTTAGGTATTTGAACAACGTAACAGCATAACATTTGATTAACGAAGACAATAATTTTTGAGATACTTAAATACAGGTCGATTTATCAGTATATTAACCCAGCGTGTATTTTGCCTCCGACAGATCACGTATTAAATGTTACAGTCAAAGCGATAGATGCCTTAATCTCTCGTTAAATACTCCGGATCTACGGGCAATAATAGACGTAATTAACACGTATAATTTACGTAGCTAATTACGTAATTTTTTATAGACATCGACGTCTTTTCCCAGTCTTTTAAATTACGTCGCATGGATAAGAAAGACTCACGTCTGGCGGATGCCATGAAGACGTATTATTTAGGACGTCGGAAGTAATAGCGTTCAATTATACTTATCTCACGCTTTGTGTACCTCGATTGATTGCCTGGGACTAATTTCTGCTTAAGCATCTATCCAGTTTATAGTCATATAGGAAGCCTTACCATTTTTAATAGAAGCTAAAACTGCCCGTTTTCTCACTGAAACACCAAGCCGTCCAAACGAGATTAGTTCCGTAGGTGAAAAGGTGGTTTCCGAATCAACGCACTTTACAATAAAGATTGCATGATATGTCACTGGGTCTCCAAAGTAAACTAAAAAGTGTCCTCCAAATTTTTCCCCACTGGTTATATAGTAGCCTCTTTGCCATAGATCCTTAAAAATCACTAAACGCAAAGTCGTCGTTTGGGAGGAAATTAGATCTGTTGAAATCGCACTAAGCGATTGAATGGGATCTTTTAAGAAAATTGGCCATATCATATTTTCCTTTGTCACTGTTGACGACTTGTTGATTTCATCATTGAGGATTTCCTCTTTAGACCGATGATCACCCATCGATCGCCTTTTTTCAACAATGTTATCTATTAAACATAATAATTGGCGTTTTCGTAGTTGTCTATATTCCTTTTGTTGGGCTTCTAGTAGGGAATCTTCCAGATTGGCAGCTGGATCTGGTAGTTCACTGGCGGTATTTCTATTTTCCCAAATACTAGCAAGTTCCTTTTCAACTAGCAGTAAAGCCTCCTCGGGCATCAATTTGAGTGGCAGCGAAGGAATGGAACTGGTGCTGCCTATTATGTTTCCAACAATTCTATGAGCTTTTCGCAATGCTGACCAATCCTCTATATCATACACAAAAATATTCCCATGGACAAATATTAATTTAATCATTTTAAAAGTATTTAACACATTGTATAGTAAATAGTAAATACAAATAACCTTGCACTCACCGCAGATTAGATAGGTTAGGTCTGGTACGTCTAGTTAGCCTTCTATAGACCGTGTAAGGTAGTGAAAGAAGAGAAAATATTCTATGCGATCATCACAATAACCTAACATTGTTACCTTCCTCTCAAGGGAAATTGTCAAATAACAAAACAAATAATCAACATCAACAAGTATTTTTTCTGATTAATTTGATATTAACAAGTCCTTACCATTGAACGATGACCTTTAATGAGAGGTATGCATCGCTTTTAGATAAATGCGTAACATCTTTAACAACGTGGAAGACATTTATACAGGAAAATTTAAAGGAGCAAGAATATGATATTGAAGCAACTAAGCTACGAGATATTACAAGACAATACTGTGAAATTGATAACAATTTTCAAAGATCTGGTGAAGCAATTAAGCTGGTTGAAAATGCTGTATCTGATCCTTCCCAAAACTATGACATAGATGCAATGTACCAAGAGAATCTTTTGAAACAAGATATCAAAGATCCAACGAGGAATGAAATATGGCAGCAAATATGTTGTGATGATGTTGCAGTTCGAGTGATTAAACCTAAGAAACAGAAAAATAATGAGCACTATGAAGAAGTGAATGATTCTGTGATGTGTTCCAGCTCGTTTTCTGCACCGATAGATCCCATTTCAAAACGGGTAATTCGAAAGCCTCTAAGAAACAGAAAGTGTAAGCATGTCTACGATAGCCAGTCCATATATGACTATATTCGACAATCTGGAAGAAAAGCCAGATGCCCATATGTGGGTTGCAAAAATAACTCACTAGCCCCGGATCATTTACAAGAAGACTCTCAACTGGAACAGCGGATTTCACAGTTTCTTGCCCAACAAGAAACTGATAGTTCAGGTTCGGATGAGGACTCAGATTAACTAATGCGTTTATTTTATTTCATTGTTCTTCGATTGATAATTTTTCATTTTTGTTAGTTTTTTAATATATGAGATACATACACGGTCAGATATACCAGCATACTACTTTTACTAAACCTACACGATTTTTACTTGCAAGAAATAACTTGAACGGGTCGTTCAGTTTGACTTAGAGAACATTGATTTTTTAACGTTTCATCCCAACATTTTGTGGTTTATTAATGTTATATTTTTGGAAAATTGATAAAAATATACCTACCTTTATTTTATACCACTAGTTCAAGCTGTACTCGCCTTTTGTGTATATCACTAAAATGTATATTATCCAAATATTATCTTCAGTTTTCATTTTGTATAAATAAAAACCAAAAAAAATACCTTTTTTTAGTTAGTTTCAGAATTTTTGGAAATACCTATTATTATATGTATGTAAGTCGATTAACAGCTATAATACCAAAATTGAGCTATTTGCTAAAAAATAAAGATATGCAATTTATTAACGTACTACGGTTAGCAGAAACATATCTTTTTCTGGTCCAAGATTATATTGCAAACTTGCAAACTTTTGAAAGTCACATTTTGCGCTTCTTGTTCGTAAGTGACCATTTCGCTCTCCTCGTTTGAAAGTTACCAACGCAGATTTTCAGTTGCTAATTGCAAGTTCATCCGACTGAAAAACAGATCACATCAGCTGTTAACAACTATTTTCATATTCATCAAGAATTCGTAAATATTTGCCAATAACGGTTTAAACATCATATTTTAATATTTAATTTAACAATTTCCAATATTCCAATTTAAATAAATGTAAATGTGATACTGTAGAAGTCTAGACAACACGTGCCCAAGAATTGAATCATTAACTACAAATGCTTGATGAAATATTAATTTACCCGTTTCCATTGGAAACTTAAAAATTTTAATTTTTTCGCCTTTTTATTTTGAACCATGTTTGTAAAGGAAATGAATGTCTATGTTAATCTCAGTGCATTGAACCACAAACCCCCGATTGTTAGAGCTTGTTTAATTTAGATATTCAAGGAGTCATTCGACTTATCAATATTTTCAGTTATACCCAACATTAGTATAATTTTTTAATTTAAATCATCTTTTTAAACTTATATATTTTATACATATCTTATCAATCAAACAAAGTTGGATAATATTTTCGAGATATACAGAGCAGACTTAAGGATATGTAGTTTCAAACAATAATAGAAATACAAGTTAGATTGAAAACTGTATAATTAAAGTACAGCGAGTTTTTGAGAAAAACTCTGCATTCAAAAACTTAGAATGATCTGTGTCGAATATGTTGTCTCGTCCAGCAAAATTTTACAAAACATTGACAGTATAATTTCGCATTTAACGAGCCGAAGTAGAATCTGTAAACATTGTCTAAGAAAAAAACACTCGCACATGGAAAATAACGCTGGAAACATGAAAATCTTATTACGTTGTATTTAATAAATAACTGTGTTTTGTCTGCGTACAAATCATCTTGAATTATATTAGAAAAACTAATACATCATTTCACTTTTGTAATCAATTTTATTTAAAAAAATTAATAAATAAATAATAAAACGTTGGAATAATTATATATCGATATTATTTACACAATATGTACAATAAAATATAAACTGGTATAAGACAGTCGCCACTTTTAATCCTATAATAATGCGCATTCTTAATTAATATTGAACACCATTGCAAAAAAATCAATTTAGACTTATTTCAGAGCATCCAATAACTTAGATAAATCATTACTTAATTTAATACAATCAGAAAAGTAACATTGTAACTATACTAATGCAAAATATGTCACTTTAAAAGTCTTTCACTCAATATATAATCCTCTCGACGAGTTTTCCATATTTTGATGCGGTGCCGTCTGGTAGTCTTTTTATACCTATATGCCACAAATATATTTTCGTTAAAGTTTAACTGAAATTATCTACATCTCATTTTAATCTATCTTAAATTGAATAAAATCATCAACATATTTAAAAAATAATAAATAAGAAAGCATGTACAAAATTAACGTTTACATTCATGTTGATCATTTCAAAGTAATAATAAAACATTCTTTTACCAGAGTTCATATCAGAACTTTAATGCTTAAATATTAAAATAAACGGTACATATACAGTATACACTCACGGCTTTAACTTTTTGAGCAACCATAATTTTGACCAGGAATATATAACGATAATTTCTCATTTAATTCTACTATTTGTATTGTACATTTTTTTTAATGTACTTTGGAACAAGATAATACGCCTCTCAGCGAATTAAAAATTTGTGTTTTTCTAATTTTATAATTATAGACCATTGAATAGTTGTAGAATATCTCCAGCATCTCAAGGATTGCATAGGGAGATATTCTAACTTGTGTAGGGTCGCTACAAGTTAGAAATTTTAAAATATTTTAATTTAATATTTTTCTGTAATTGGCAACATAATTTATTAAAACTAAAACATTTATTGCGTAAAAAAACGATACTATCCAAACTTGATCGAGTTATGGTCGTTTCAAATTTTAAATCGGTGAGTCCGATTACATACAGCGTATTACATGAGGTACTGAACAAATATAACTTAAGTATTCCTAAAGTCATTCTAAGCTAAACATATCTTCGAATGCCCATAGTAACTGTCTATATGCTGACAAAAATGTTCTACATAGCACTAATATTTTAATATACATTTCCATTTCCGATATGTTTCGACCAGGTAGTATTCAGTACTATACAGGGTAATTCACAATCTTATGGACACAGCAGGGGCGTGTAGAGGGCTTCAAAACCAGTTCAGTTGCAATTTAAGTTTTTTCTCTCAGGCCCACGCTTAACAATAGTCAGATTTGACAACCAAATCACAGCAAAAAGTAGCACAGCCTACTATGATAAAATAAAAAATGTTGTTCGATCAAAGCAAGTGACGCACCACGTTGACACGCAAACGCTCGGGGGTTAAAAAGGAAAAAAACACCCTGTAGATTTTCACAACCAGTTGGCTTACCTACGGGTAAAGGGTCTAAACAGTAGCCTACGTTCAGAATTTGAGCAAAATATCTCATAAACTGTAGGAGTTAAAGAGAAAATACCAATATTTTGTATACAGAACACCCTGTATCTCATTAAACATGGGCCTTGAAAAAAAACTTAAATGGAAACTCAACTTGTTTTGAGGTCCTCTACACGTACCTGCTCTGTGTCCATGAGGTTGTGAATCACCCTGTATATTAGTTAAATACATTACCACAATAATTTCTGTTATAAGCAGGAAAAACGATCAGCAACAGTATAAAAATATAAAATATAGTTGAAATCCCGAGCTTACTCTATCCACTGCTGAACATTTAAGTACCAGAACAGCAGAATATTTCTAGTAAGCTTTCTTGATCGTTTTTATAGATATTTTTTCCAAATTATATACATTATGTACATAAAAATTGTTCATTTTAGGTTTTTCCCTTTCAGTCGCTCTTTATTTCAAATACCAGTTGTATTGAAACGTTTAAGAAATTATCTAACCACAACCAAAACTGTAAGAAACCGATTTTCATCACACATTTTGCTCAAACTGACCCTAGAAACACTTTTCTTAAATTTGTACGGTACATTGTGCAACACCCTGTATATACCATGGTCCCAAAGTCAATGCTTCTTTAGTTTAAAGATATTGAAAAGCATACTCATTACATTCAGGTCTTGTACGAAACATATTGAAGGAGAATCAAAACAAATATTTCTAATAAAAGCAATGCTACAAACTATAAATTATTGTAGTACTGTAGATATAAAATCAATGGCAAAGACAAAAACTGAAAGATATACAATAGTACTATATGTACTTTTCACTACATACATGCACCATATTTTGCCAATTACCATAAAGATTAAGCAATATTTGATTTTAAAAATGTTACTTTTGGCGCTTGTATTATAGACGTATCATGTTTATATTAATATTGTGGTCTACAAAATCAATATATTTCGAAGAAACTTTTGATTAGAAATAATTCCAAAAGGACTAGACATATTGTTTGAATAACTGAACAATGAAAGTAAAAACAAAATGAAATTAAAAACGGAATATATATTCAATTTGTTTCCTTCGAACTTACTAACGATTTAGTGCTACTTGTGAAATGGCCCTTCAGTATAGTAAAAAGTACATATATCACAACAGGGATTATGTAAAAAAATTTCATCGAACAAATATGACACGCGAACAGTTTGGCCGTTATTTCTGTTACTTTCAAGACAATAAGTATTTTGAATATATACTATATACAATACCATTCAAAAGATGTCGAAATAAATTAATATACTTAAAGAGAAACTAGTCTAACATTGAATCTTCGTAATTCAAATTCCTGTGGCTACAAAATAGGAAAGTATTATTAAATTGTAAAACATGCATTTTAAGTTACAATCAGTTCGCTAATAATCGTAGAAATATCACAGACAAGACAGCCATAAAGTAATTTATTTGGGGGTGAAAATAACGGTATCTAGTATTCGATAAAGATCATGCAAATGAAATGATTCAATTAGCATCACGCATGAAATACCCGTATAATAGATTCTACGTTTCATGTTTTTAAATGGTTAATTAATTCATACTTCTTTTCATACTCAGCTCACAACTCAATTTTCTGTTAACCATTCATACAAAAAATTAGTTAAATGCGTTTTTTAATAGTGTAGATTTAAGCTTAGAACTAATAGTTATGCCACAGCCAGAGATCGTTAATTTACGACCGAATGTATTAATCAATAGAGAAACTTCAACACTCACTTAATTAAGATTAAGGGGGTTGTTCGAGTTTAATTTAAAAAGTCAGTTAAGTGTTTGTATAGCAAAGAGAAATCTTAACGTTTGAAAGAACATTTCATGTATCTTGACAATTTATTTCATTTAACTAAAAATATGGCAACTTGGCCAAAAACTCCATTCACCGACTTAAGGGCAAGAAATCAGAATTCAATGATACCAAATCCAACCGCACTTACCAATATTACAAGTAAGCTGGAATCATTATCTTATTTTTAAACTTCACAAATTAAAAATCTATGTACCTGATGTTCTGTTTCGTCGCTTTTCCGATTTTTGGATTTCCTTTTGGTTTTTGTGAAAATCTCCGACCCACACGCCAGCCCCAACCTTAGGTGAATTGGTAATTTTCCATCTGCTGAAAACAAAACAGGTTACTAATCTATTCTTTGAAAATTTACCAACCCAGTGTATAAGCTAAATCCAGCAGTAACAAAATACAAAGGATAAATTTTAGGGGTGTTATAATCTAAAAACTTGCTGTAATTCCGCATGAGTTGCAAGAAAAAAGAAGCATGGGAAATGGGAATTTGATATACCTGCTACAGGAACTTTGAACCCAAATCTAAACGTTTTATTCTTACAAACGGTTACATGTCTTTTCGGTGGGACTGTTAAGCGTAGTCGACTGGCAATAAAATCGGCAGTAAAAAGACTTTTGATTGCAGCCAATTCTATATAGACAAATATTTTATATTACTGGCATAAATTTAAAAGATTTTTAAAACCTATGCTGAATGAGTATTAAGACCCAGCATCAAAACTTTCTACATATGAAGGTTCATGTAGAAAAATTAGATCGGACACAGTTTATACACTACTTATCCGAATTAAAATTCGGTGAAAATTCTCAATTTTATTGTCCTATAAATAAAATTAATACTATTTTGGAACATAGATTTGGGCAAATATCTGAAAATACCTTTGTTTAAAACGAAGTTTCAAATTTCGCGCATGTTCACCCAATACTCACACATTACTACATATATCAAATATTCTCTTGTATCTGCAGAGTGTAATGCTTTAATAGTTGAGAAGACCACATTTTTAATACTTATAAATGTTGAAGCCACACCAAATATTCTTAATACTAAAACTTACCACTGCTAGTCAGTTCCTTGGATTTTGATTTCTTATGTTTCTTAATCGGTAGTGCATTTTCTAGCGCATTTTGTAATAATCTAGAAGTAACTCCTTTGCGGGAAATGTGCTTATTTAACTTTTCCGCCCTTTTTTTGCTCAGTTGGGCTCGCAAGTCTCCTGAAAATAATAATTATGTTAGAATAAACTACGTAGCGTACTTAACAAAACGCATTAAATACCTTCATCATTGGGTCTGATTTCCGATTCAGCTAAATTTTCAATAACGAGAGCATGGTCCTCATCATCATCGTTATTATTCTGCTGAATTTCTTCTTTCACCTGCTTCCTGTGTTTCTCCACTTTGATCTCCTTTGCATCGTCTAATTTATCAGCTCGTTCATATTTGGATGGATTTTTTATTTTTATTTCGATTTTTCGATCGAATTTTTTAGGATGCCGTTCAGATTTTACTCCAAGCTTTTTCGAAGCCACTGATTTATCAGCCCTAGGCGATTGCGTTGTCCTTGATCGTTTTGTTGAGTTTACAGGCGAGATTTCTCGTCTCTTCCTTTTATTTATTCCACTACTTTCATTACTTCTACTTCCCTTTGAGTCTTTTATGTGCTTCGTTTTCTGCTGAAATAAAATATTACAAGTTACTAATTTATCTGTGATCCGAATCCTACATTAGTAAATTATAAGGTCATTAGACCAACCTCGTTTTTCTCTCCATTTATCAGCTTTGAAGACGGGTAACTTTCACATGTTTTAGCGCTGATCTCTTTGGCTTTAAAAAAGCTTTTTTTTTCATTATCCGAATCTTCTTCGGAAAATAAATCCAAATGAGCATCCAGCTCCAAAGCATCATCCTGAAGAAGAATGTCTTCATTTAATGGCTCAACTTCCATCAACTCTTTCACGACTTCACACATTTTCGTCGTGATCGCATGTTCTGCTACTGGCTCCACTTCTTTCGGACTTTCTGCTTTAACACACTCCTTTTCAATACTCTCTTCTGATTTTGCATCATCTTTAGGTTTCAACCTGATCACACCCTCTCTGACTTTCATCTCTTTGGATTCGAATTTTTTCTTTCTAGCCTCCAGAACAGGATCTGTGAATAGCTTTACATCTTTTTGAGGACTTCGATCTACATTTGATTTGTCCAAAGCGAGCTTCTCTTCGGATTTTGACAAATTCTTGAATCCAAGTCGATCTCTAATGCTTAGCTTGTTCTTAGACCCATTTTCCGAATCTTAAAAAGAAAATAACAATATTTGATCTAACGTTCTTTAAATGAAATTATTACAAAATAATTGTAGTGACAAAATCGGAATAAATAAAATACCTTTTATTTCTCGTTTCCTTGGAGATGTAGATCTCTTTTTCGGGCTGGCAGAGCGCCGTTTCGGACTGAACGGTCTTGACTTAGGACTCGAATTCCGCAACCTTGGACTGAGAGGTCTTCTTTTGGGACTTGAAGATCTTTTTTTAGGGGTTATTGATCGCCTTCTGGGTGATCGGGATCTTTTCTTCAAAGGAGAAGGTGACCTCTTCCTCATCAAAATAGGCGAGGATTTTCTCAAAAGCGGAGGGGATCTATTCCTAATAGGTGTTAACGATCTTCGCCTAGGTGATGTGGATCGTTTTCGTGGAGACAATGATCTTCTGCGTGGAGTGGTTAGTGGGTTTCTAGGACTAATAGATCGGCTTCTGGGTGAAGGACTTCTTGAATACGTTCGTCTTGGAGATCGTTTTCTTTTCTCGATTATTGCCCTATTTTGTAGAACAAATGCTGCACTTCTGGGTGATAACGGCGCCATCATCTGGGTTGGTAAGTTCTGCGTTGTATCAACACGTAAAGGAGGCAGCGGCATATCAAAGAAGGGGGGTGAATTAACTATTATAGGCGGAGGTCCAAATTGTGGATTAGGAAATACAGCTTGAAGATTTGGAAAATGGTGCATTGCACCATTTTGAGGTAAATATTGCTGCTTAAATAAGTGAGGAGTCGGTTTGTAGTCACGATGACGTCCTCTAATGCCCCGAAAATTTCGTTGAAATGGTATGTTGTGCCTTCGCTTTTTCAATGCCGATTCCGAGGTCGAAGAGTTATCTATCGCTTTATTTGAATTATTATTTTCTTTAATAGCCACAGGTTCTGTTTGTTCAGATGTTGGTTGGTCCACTTTTTCTATCAACTGCTCATTTGAAGTACCCAATTCCTCTGACTTAACAACAATATATTTTTTATCTTCACTTTCACTTGTCGAAGGCTCGTTTTTCTGTTCACTTTCAGAATCTACCACGCTAGGAGTTTCATCAATTTCTTTTGACTTAGCTTTGCCTTGTATCTCATCATCCAACTCCTGCATTAGGGCTTCTAAGCTGTCAGCCCTCTCCAGCTTGCACAGCTCATCATCCGAATCCATTTTAAGCGTTTCTTCTTCAGAATCTTCATCTTCCGATTTATCAGTATCTCGATAACGGTCAAATTTGCTAGATGCTTTATCGCCCTTTGCCTCCTGTTGGCTATTACTGTTATATCTGCTTTGCGGGAGAAATACTGAATCAGTTTTAGTCTGTTGTTTAGATGTTGCATATTCGATGGAATCACGTGGAGTAAGAGATATGAGGTTGCTGTAGACAACGCTGTTTTCCTAGAAACAATACATAAAATAAATTAAATTTAGTGTTAGTTACTTATATGTAAAGTTACAGCAAAATGTTTCGAAATATCGCACTGAAGTTGTATTAGTCAAGATTTTTAATGGTCAATTAGAAATAACATCATTATTATTACAGATTCCACACTGTATGAAATTTAAAGAACATTATATTCAATACAACTATTGTGAGATATATGGAGGCAATATTTGAAAATTAAAATCTTAGATTACTAAAACTGAATACCTAGATGGAAATTAAAGCCCATCAAACTAAATAAGCCATATGGCAATAGTAGATATATATAAAATCTATATCTATGTATATCAGTTTACAACTAAAAGCACTATAGTTGCAACAGTGTTAAGTAAAAGTTTAAAGTAAATCAGCTAGAAAAAACTAAGTTGATAAAAAATATTTTGCAAATATTTGGGATGTTCAAAATTAAAAAACGATGGGCTTTGTATAAAAACCAAGCTTGCAGGCTTGATTTAAGGTAGGCTTAAGAGAATGTTGTTTGGTCAAATTATTTCGAAAGTTTTCAGTAAGTAGTAAAGAATTTAGAAAAACATGATAGATAAGCATGCAACAAGTTTAAATCTATGAAAGATATAAACTTCTACCTGTACATGTATAATCCCCTTGTATCTAAAGTCGTTTGTTTACACATGTTTTCACTTACTTTTGCAGTCTCTCGTCCATTAAAAAAACGACCTTTACCATGTGGGTGATTTCCATATTTCCTATTTGCACCTCTGAACTTATAAGCTACTTTACAGGTAGGCAATATAGTATTAACGTTTTGTGAGAAGGATGGGTTTGCTGCGGGAGGTTTTTTAAGGCTTCGAAGAGCAACCAGTCGTAACGCTTCTAAATCATCTTCCTCATCTGATGCATTCATCTAAAATGCAAAGACTCATTGATAATGTGTTACATGAAATGTAAAAACGTTTTCTTACCCTTCGACTATCATCCATAGTTCTTTAAAAAATGCACTTATCGGAAAATAAGTTAAACAACTAGATGGCAAGGTACATAATCAATATGGCTGATTTATGTTGACATATTTTGGGGTTTCTCAGAGATGTCAACGTCAAATGGCGCCACTAGACATCAACTCAAGGTGACAGTGCTGCCAATCGCAGCATATTTGGGTAATTTTAAAGCATCTAAATTTCTCTGATTCCAAATTCTAATTATGACAAAACCCACAATAACATTTAACAGAATTCATTACCCTTTACGAAACTAATTAAAAACTTGTTTGGTCGTAGGCATGAATCTGCAAATTAAAATTTCCATAATCTTTGTAAAACGAAATTCCCTAGCAATTGATTTTCACCCATGCCGAATTTCTAAAAGTGTCAAATTTTATATTGACAAAATTAGGACAAAAATAAAACATTCAATTCCAAAAAGAAGTAATTGAATGTGCAAAAAGTTCTCTTATTATCAATTTCCTTGTCCTGAGTTAACTTGCCTATTTTTTCTGTAATTTAGTCTCGGGAGGGAATGACTGAACCATAAAAACATGATTTAACATGACCCCAAGTGCATCAAGGTACATCTATTATCATTATATCTACTTTACCAATAAGCGTTTTTGTCAAATAATTAGGAGAACGTATTTTATAGGAGTTTGCGAGTATCATGGATTTCTGGAAAAGTGACCCGGAAAATGCCCATGCTAATTCAGTCCTAGCTGGCATGCAAGAGTTTGTGGATAGTCCTGCGATATCAAATAATTCGCTTGAGGACAGCTCTGATAGTAACGAAAATTGTGTGAATACATCAAAACCCAAACTTCTCTCCAAGTCAATTTTATTGGCTAAGAAAAGACTGCAAGCTTACAGTATAATTAATTTGAAGGCAAAAGAAGCCAAAGAAACAAAACCAGTAAATACTGTCAATGAGACAGCCCCAAAACATAGTGTTCGCAAGGAACAGAAAAGTGAGTAGATTTTTTCATTTATCATCTTGGTTAGTCTGCAGATGCTCGTTAATTTTTACTTGATCTATAAACAAACTACTTGATCGGTTGAGCTAAGAAATGAACTAGAAATTAGCAATCCCTGAGTTCTTGTCGGACAAAAAAGTTTCATTCTAGGGTTTGAGAGTCTAATTGAAAGCCATTAGGATTCATATAACTTTTTTATAGTAATCGCATGCTAAGAAACAATACGATGATTAAACGTTCTAAGTAACCAATGTTTTGCTGTATCGTAGTGCATACACGTGACTTTTATGTTACCGATTCCTACGAAAATACTTTACTTATACTTACTTACTTTTTTGTTATTCAAATTATACTAGCAATTCAACAAACAAAAGGAAATCACAAACAGAAAGTTAGGTCGATATTCCGTTTGTGAGTTAAATAAAAAATTTTACTATTAATATATTTTCTACAATTATACTTGACTTTTTCTAGCTTTTTGAGCATAGCCTTGAAACATTTTTCTACAGTGACATTTGCCAAGTGTCTCTTTATATATCGACCTCATATTTTTTAAATGGGAGAACCGTCACTGGCTTTGCTAACTGAAGAACTAGATTTCCATGTTTCTTGCGTCTTTTGATTCTATAATCTATAATAGTTGATTGCATAATCTGATTCTTTTTTTTCTATATTTTGCAAATACCTTTCATCCTCGTTTAGACTTTATTATGGAAAACAAAACTAAACAGCAACTACCAATTTAAACTTGTTTTTAACTGGAAAATGTTCCACTACCGAATCTACAGAAAACGCTCGTTAACGAATATTGTTATTTCCTTTGAATCAATTGCTCCTTATTCTCACAAGTTCGCGCCTTCAATTCTCTGTTTTATCGTTTGTTTAGCATTCCACTGTCTAGACCTGCATTTATCAGATAACTGAACGTTATTCGATATATCGCTTTAAACAATGGTTTTCCTATTGAAGCAGTTAATAAAATTTACTATAACATTTTAATTAATTATATCTCATATTTCGACAGCGTTTAAACTCGTCAACTCTCTAAATAGTCACCTAGTTGGGTCTATGTAGGCCAGTCAGGGAAAAAAATGTCTACTAGAGGTCGTAAAAATGTTAATTGCTTTAATAAGCATAAAAACTCTGATATCATAGAGACCAATTCCGCATTGGTTGCTCATTTATTAGCTTTGAGCTGCGCTTTGGCAGGACTAGAAAAAATCTAAATCTTACATGAGTGTGCAAAGAAGAAAATAACTTGACGCAGTACCCTTTTTATTAACGGAACACCCTGTATATGTCATAAAACTGAGAAGGGAGCATAAAAGCAATAAATGTGCGGCAATGGCAATCTGGAAAGTTAGAAATTTATAAAGAGAAGCAAAATAATCACCTGCGTTAATGATGTATTTGATGATGTGTAACTATGAGCTCTACCTAATTTTCTACACTATAAACATTTAAAACGACGTTTTTACCGAAATTCTAAAACCGAACGGATTCTACTGGATTTTATCAATGTTTTTGCACGTTTTGATTCAATGTCTTGTGAACATCATGTCAATTTTATTTTATTTTCGACTCAATATGCATGCAGTTGAATTATTTTCTTCATTTGACTCATTTTCATTATTTTCGAAAAAGGACTCGAATAATTTATGTTTATTCTCAATTAGATCAAGACGAAACAGTTGCCGCACATTTATTACTTTTATGTTCCCTTCTCAGTTTTATGACATATACAGGTGTCCTGTAATCAAAAGGGTACTGCGCATTCTTTGGCTCAAAAGAAGACGATCGGACAACTTTTATTAAGGAAAAATATCCGATTACTCTGCTATTGATGGTTAAAGTTCTTAAAAATAAATATTTTATGAAATATCGAAAGAATGGTACTATCGAGTTTTATGAAACTCGCCGAGAATTTTTTCTTATGCACATACAGGGTGATTCAAAATTGGCGTCATTCCTTTTAAGGGGTCCAGGCTCACTTGGAGTGTACGAGAAAAACATAGACATTTTTTGTGTCTAGGAGATATTAACAGTTGAAGATCGAATTTCAACTTTGTTATTAAGCATTATTTTGAAATTGTTCCATGTTTAATTGGTAGTATATTGGAATACTTCAGCATTCAAAACGAAAAATTACGGTCATCAAATGACGAAATTTTTTGATATTAAAAAGTTCTCTTCTACAATTTTTTGATAAAAAGTTAAAGTGGCAGCAGATATGTTTTTTGTCATAAACAGATAGTCACACTTGTGAATAATAACAATAATTTGTCAAACTGTGACTTACTTTGAAGGTTCTTTTACGAATTTGCGGATATGCGATTAGTTCTCGGGAAATGCTACAGTAACAGCAGAAGCTGAAAGAACTCACGCCAACAAAGGACGAGGAGAGTGATTCCAGGAAGATAGTGGACGATAGATGTTCGGGTTCCAGGCACAGAGGAACACGTATTGACATACGATATACGAAATTCGGTACATAACCGAATCAGGGCCTTCCAGGGGTACTCAGAGCACAATAACTGACACTATCCCAAGATGCAAATAGATACCGAGGAACGGCTACATTCTTATGACGTCTGTAAGATACACACAGCACAAGGACACATTAAACCAATGAATTACTGAACACCGGTACAAATTGAGCAGGAGTTAATTAACTGAATACGAGAAGCTGCTTGATAAGAGTGGAAAATAAGGATATTACATTGGCACTAGCTTGTTTAGAGTTAACCATTTAAATGTTTGGTTGTGTATGGTTATTCATATGGGGTGTTCCATACATATACTGAGAAACTGTTAAGGAATATCAATACGGGCATGTTTTGCTGTAAATACTTTCAGTTTGTTTATTATCAAACTAGGCATTTCTTGGATCAATTACAATTGATACAATATGTTCAGGATAGTGTTTACTGACTACTTTATTGCTTAAACAAATAACACTCGGACCTCCAGAGGAATGACGCCAATTTTGAGTCATCCTGTATGTATTGTCTATTATGATTGTATGTGCTATAACCTGAAACCCGGCAATGCGACTCAAGTTTAAAAAGATTGTAACTGTATGAATCTGGAGGGTTCCCAGATTTCCTATGACAAACAATTAGCACACTGAAAAAGGCGACAATAAATCGCCGAAAGCTTGGTAGCTAAAAAAGTTCTTATTTTTTTACCACTCTCAGACCGAATCCCCAAGAAAGAAAAACCATCTTTCAATCGTACGTGCTATGTATTGTTTTTTGCCATTGTTGTTTACCATGTCTATATTTTGTAGTATTTTGTCCATAAAATTTGTAAACATCTGCTTTGGGCAAGTGGTGAATTCTTAAGTGTCTTGGTACAAAAGCTACCATAACCTTTTATTTCGTTATTGCAATGAACTAATTTTTTTGAGTTGGTGCACAAATCATTTTTTTACATTTTTGGGTTCTTTGCAAAATCTTGGAGCAATTCTAGTTTTTGCGCAAAAATCAATCTGTATTTGCTGTTTATTGTTAATCGGTAAGAAAACAGGAATATTTGTTGTGCAAAAACTATAATTGCTACAAGATTTTGCAAAGAGCATGAAAATGTCAAAAAATGACCAGCGAATCAACTAAAGAAAGTGAGTTGATTATAAGGACGGAATCAAAAGTTCTGGTGGTTTTTGTACAAAACACATAAAAATTCACCGCTTGCCCAAAGCGAATGCAATGCTTTATCAAAATAGCACATTCATCAGTTTTACATAAGGATAAATTCACAGCGAGTTTCATTAAAATCCATCGTATAATTCTCCTGATATAGCACACATACATAATTTTAAAACATACCTTTTTCGCCAAAAAAGCAGAATATTTTAGGTTTTCAGAAAACTTGATAGAATTAGATTATTTCTTACAAATATTGTTGTTTAAAGGTTTAACGATATCAAATCTTTTTAGAATAATATTAATTTATTTATACAAACTTATTGTAACGATATTATAAAAAGTAATCTCTACACTGCGCTTCATGTACTTTGTATTGTTCCAGCCGTGTATCCCGATGAAGTAGCCAAAGCAGTCATTCGCGACATAGAAGTATTAAAAAAATCCGGCTTTGGATTTGAGGCTAAGATTCCATCAGATATCCAGATTCCTGATGATCCGGTTGTTTCACTAGCACAAGTAACTAGTGATTCTCCCTCTGTATCAGTAAAATCAGGTTTGTGTTGTGTAAATTAGCGTAGTTGTATGGAAATGCGTATGTAAACAAATCAAGTTTATCATTTTCTTACATTTAAAAATACCACAGGATGGCTGCATACTGTTATAGCAAGCTACACATACATGGATTTAGTGGCGCTATTAAGAAATGAATTTGCACGTGTTAACATTAACTCGCATGAGTTGAATCTTTGAATGCTAGACCGAAAAAGTATGCAGCTTTCTGAAATTACTGCGCCAGTAGTAAAAAAATATCGGCCGAAAAATATAACATTGTCTTCAATTGCATGTCTAAACAAGTACTTGCACGTTGAATCGTCAGTTTTCAGTCGAATTTTCGTTTCACTAGAGGTAGGAGCTATAATTCTGGTTGATTTGTGCGGCTTTCCTAAATATGGTTTTACAAAAAGCTGACAGCAAAGTTTCTGGAATATACATACTTAGTACTGTTTATAACAGAAGAAATCAATGAGAACAGGCATACGAAAACCTTTCAAATTTAATGGATGGATATTCCACCATGAAATCAATATTAAAATGAAACTGGCGTGTCAATATTGTTATTTGGTTCCATGCATGTGTAAACCTGTGGCGTGTAAGTAGAACCTGCGCGACCACTTAATCAATGCATGTGTAAACTCACAATAAGTTTATCTTACGCAGATGAATATTGGAAGTTTTACTACGAGGAACGATTGTCAAATCCAAGTGATCGTTTACTCTAATAGTCCATTCATCATCGAATGGTTGAAGACGGCAATAATACATTTTCCAAAAAATAAAAAGTAGTTTGGTGTAAGAGGTTTATTGCTGTTACTCGATCCTTCAAACATAACATTGCGGTTTTTTATTTTTGCTGGTCTGTTTTTCCTATATTTTCAGTATCTGTAATTTATTGAGAGAAGTCGTTATTTAACAATGGTGATCGAGATTAATCAGAAATTATAATTTTAATACTAGACTCATTGAGTCTGAATGTCCGGAAAACTGTTCCATAATTGAATTGTTTTTTAGATCAGGACAATGTATTTCTAAAGCGAGAGATAAAATGTCGGAATATCAGAAAAAATGTTCCTTTCCGGCCAAGATCTGTCTCTCCACAAATATCACCTGAAACTGCTGATTCTGCATCAATTAAATATCCAAAAAACTGGACAGAGTACAAGGAAATGAACTTAAATGTTGAGAGAGACTCAGTCCTAAAATTGAAGGTATTCAAGAAATTCAAAGATAGGAAATTCAAGTGAGTGGCTTACCTCTTCATTTGCATTGAGTTTACTTATTACTTTCTTACATATTTTTAGCTTTAAATCTTATTTCAACTTTGAAACCCCATCTGTGCCAATTGAAAATTTTACAGTCAAATTAAAATCTGGATTCACAAGAACTGTACCTTATTCTCATTTGAGGTTGGTTGATTGTCTCAATTAAACTGATGCAGTTTTTCTGAGAAAAAAAATATTTTTAGATGCACTGCGGCAAAGCCTCAAATTTTATACAGTACAAATCAGAAGTCACAACCTGGATACCTAACTCGACAGCAACTCTTTGCGCAAATACCAAGGGAAAAGATGCTTACTATAGAGAAATTAGGGGAATTTTCTAGGTAAAATTAATCTATTTTGATATACTATGACATACTAATAAGAGAACAAAAACACTTATAGATGTCAACCATTTGAGAATGCACTAACATCTAGAAAATGGTATCCAAAAACCTGGAAAAACGTTGATAGTTCTGAAGTTAAGCTGGTAGAAAATTCAATAGGTCTTTCTTTTCTTCAAAATTACTCTGACGATGAAGATGTTGGATTAGTGGAGAGCGAACCGCTAAATATTGAGCAAACTAATCCAAAAACACCAAGCCTCGCAGAAACCTCACCAATATCAGCAAAACCGCCATTAGTTTCTAAAGATTCTGAATCGCTGAACGAAAATCAAACACCTTTACCTAGGAATGTCGTTGTGAAAAAGTCGAAATGGGATGATATTGAAACGGTTGTTGTAAATGCATCATCTAATGATAGAACTCCTCCACTCGGGGATAAAGAGGAAGGTGAAGTTCTTTCTGATGAAGAGGAAAAATGTGATATTGCACGGGAATATGAGAAGACCAAGGAGGAACTAGAAAAACTAGAAGCTACTCTGAAAACATCAACTGTTTCTCTGGAGAATATTATCGTCAAAAAGTCGTCTCAAAGAAGTAGTGATAAAAACGGAAAGAAGAAAAAACACAGAAGAGATCATCGAATTGAGTCATCTAAGCGCTCTAAAAAGAAGTCCACCAGGAAATCGGACAGCGGATCTTACATGAACAGCTCCTCAGAGTCATTGGACTCTGAAGACGAATCGTCTAAACGTAAGAATAAAAAGAAAAAATCCTCTAAACGTAAACATCAAAAAAGCAAAAGTCGAAGAATAAAAAAGAAAAAGCTAAGGAATAGAGCCAACCGTGATCGATCACAAAGTGAAGATTTTGATGTTGAATCAGATTTGGAGGATAGGCTGCCTAATAAGCTAAGGAGTAAAAATAAATTAAAGGAAAGTTTAAAAATGCGACTTGAACATTCTTGTGAAATCTCAGGTGTTAAAGATAGTGATGCTAGTGATCAAGAGAACTATGACGACGACATTAAATTTTTTGCGGCAAGATTCGACGCTGAAACGAAATTAAAAGGCAAATCTAAGAAGAAAGCTGCTCCAATCATAGCATTAGAAGACCTATCAGTACCTCACTCGAAGCTTGACGAACGCGTTTCAAAAAGAAAGTCAATCGAGAGTGACTCTGTGGTTTCTCCAGCTGCCAATGTAAAGAAAAATGAGGAAACTGACAAAGAAGACGCTGTTGCAATCAAAGTTGACTTGCTTAAATTGAATGAGGATTATTTACGGGAACAGAAGAAGAAAGAAGAAGAAAAAGTCTGTATTCCGTCAGCGGAAAGCGCAATTGACAGTGAAGGAAAAATGCTACCTAATGCAGATTTTTCTGTAATAGAAGAAATACATATTGATAAGGAGCAAACTGAAAAGTCTTTTAAAGAATGTACTGCAATTGAGAATAACTTTGATAGATTATGCCGAGAGGAGGAATTTGTCGGCGCGTGCGTTCAGCAAGCAAGCGGAGATCAACAAGCGACCGGAGAAAATCAACAAGCGAACGGGGAAGATCAACAAGCGGACGCAGGAGAGCAATCAGTTGATGTACCAAATACTAAGTTGCAGAATACTGCGACCAAACCTAAAATTGTGGAACCTGACTGGAATGTATTGAAAAATAAAAGAAAGCTCCTTAAATCAGACGAAGGTGGAAATTTGAATGTAAAACCCTTAAATAATAGTTTTAACGATTCGTTTAAAAGCAGCATAGAGTTGCTTGCTCCAGCAGTGACGTTCCCATTGTTAGATATAGTTAAGAAGGAAGCAGAGGAAAACGAGCTGAGCGTTCAAAAATCTAATTCTTGGCAGACGATTATAGATTTTCAGTCAACAAAAAGTAGATCACTTAACTTGGAAATGCCGTTAAATATTAAACCTTTCCTTCGAAGAGATATGAAAATAGAGAAGGACTTTTGGGATATAGAGGAAGCTCCGACCAGACGTTCGTATGAGAATAGCAAAAAAACTCACAAAAACAGGGAATCAGAGCTGCTTGGATCTACTGATAAAACTGTTGTGCTTACGTCCACTACGAAGAAAGGATCAGATAATACGATCCCTGATCCGATTCCAATTAAGCTAGAGAAGTCAGATGAAGTTATAGATGTAGAGCTTAACAATTCCAATAATTGCATCACTTTGGAAAACGAGTACGAAGAGTTTTTGAAGGCAGTTACTTCAACGAAAAAGCCTACTGCTAGTGAAACTTTTATGATTGACTGTAGTTCAACCAAGTGTGTTAAACCCCGAATACCTATAGACGCAGACAACTTTTGCATTGAAGAGTATCCCGTACAAACGTCTGTAAAAATTGGTGCAAGTCTAGAAGATTTGTTATTTACACCAGTTTCTGATGCTGCACCAGCGCAGATTCCTTTGCCACAAATCCAACCAGTTCCGGCACCGTCTCCCAATATAGAAGCAGTTATAGATATTCACAAATCCCTAATAAATCTTAGCGTTCCGGCCAATGTAACGCAAAACATCACTTTAAGTTTGGCAACTAGTGCTCCCAGTATATCAGCACCTTCATCATCATCAAGCATTGATACCTCGAAATCAAACTTTCAGATTTCTACTCCATTGAGCCTACATAGTCTTCCACTGCCCTTAAGTGCGACTGCCAGTAGCAGTTCTATAGATGCAGTAAGTGTTACTACACCAGAAATTATGACTTTCGAAGATGACGAAAATAAGTGCAATGGTGGCGAGAAAAAAATCGAAAAGTTAACGTTTACTGCTTTGACTTTGCCTTCGAAGAAGTTGTTAATGGGAAAGTCGAAATTAAATCTCGATGACTCTGATAGTGAGGATTTGAACATGGTGGATACAATAAAGCGCAAGAAGCTTGAATCTCTGATTGAAAACAACAAAAAAGAGATTACTAATCAGTCGCCCGGCAAATCGCCGGAACAGACCGCGGAGGCAGAGGTTTCAAAATATGTTAGCAAAGATGACAAACCGAGACGAGATAGTAGAGAAAAAATATCTCCAAAGCGACACAGAAGAGATTCGTCGCCGAGTATCCGCCACAATAGAAGTTCTTCAGTTAAGAGGCGAGATTCCAGTCCTCGAAGACGTACGTTCTCTCCTCGCAGAAAATCACCAAAGCGACGTAGTCCTACACTAAAACGAAAGCTTTCAAGTAGGCGAAGTATGTCACCGAAGAGAAGACGAAGGACGCCATCTCCAAGACGCCGCCGAAGTCCATTGCTTAAAGGGCGAAGTTCGCCAAGACGACATAGAAGCACAACTCCCAAAAATAGACGTGGTAGCATATCTAAAGAAAATCGTCCCGTGAAACGTCCAAAGTCACCACTACCATTTAGGGAAATGTCTCCACCCAAGCGAAGTGTTGCCGATTCCACAATAAGCGACGAACAACTTCAGCAGGACAACGATTATTGCCACTCTGGAAAAGGCGGCAAAACTGATTCTTATTCCCCAAGGCGGCGATCACTAGACGATCGTATCAATGAAGTTCTCGGAATGCCGCCTGCGGAGCGAGGGGCCCATCAAGACCTTTCTGATGCATCATACTATAATAAAAGCACTGATCAGTATCACTTTGACGATCAGAATCCTCAATTTGACCAACAATACAGCAACATTCAGTCTCAAGTATCGGCAGTAAACAGACGGTCGGGTAATACTGCTGGTCGAATGCTCCAAAGTACGTACAAGCAAGTGGGCAATATGTTGCAGATTGTTCCAACTGAAAATTTGATTGATATTCCCATGCCTTATAATATGGATCAACAGCCCTGTTTAGCAATGGCAAATTACCCAACTTGTTCAAAGGTAAATTAATAACATATAACGCTTTTTAAGATGCATATGTGGTGTTTTAGCAAGTTCAGCCAAATGTCCAAGCAACGCCGCATGCGATGAAATCCAAATATTTACAAGTAGGAAACATGTTACAAATCGTTCCCACCGAAATGGTTTCATGCCATCCCGTTGCAGAATCTGCTAGTGAAAAAGAGGTAAATATTTATCTTTTGTGAAAATACATAACAACCAATTCTAATATTAACTGCTCATTTTTTATTTTATTTTACAAAGGTTTATCTTTAAAGGTGATATTCTTCAAACAACGAATTATATTTTAATATTTCTCTCTTCATTATCTCTCTAAATTGATCTTTCACCTTTCCATTGGATGTAAATGTACAATTTACATTTTTCTACTATTAATTGGTTCAGGTGTTTATTTGCTTTTATTACGTAATGCGAAAATGTATAAATAATAGAGGTGCGCTAAACGGTTATTTTTCGTAAATGTTACAGTTTCACTTTGGTATTAGGTTCCAAAAGTAACATGTTACTTTTTAAATTTTTTATTCAACAAATCATGGGTCATAAGTAACTACTTACAGGAAAAAACCTGATAATAAAATCGAATGGTTAAAAAAATATATACGCTTTGCATGCGAAAATGTTGAAAAAGCTAATTTTCATTTAAAAAAGAAATTAACATTTAAAAATATTTTTCTAGTCTAGAAGTCTAGTTCTTCGCTCGTTTATGATAGCACCGGCTTTGGAAGATAATATCTCGCATGGAACAGAAGTACTAATATACATGTGCTTTTTTGTTATGAAACAAGTTTGTCAAAATCTTGAAAAGATGAATAATCTTCTTGTCTATCTTTTAACAGAACTTAAATTGAATTAAGTCAACAATAACATTAAATAATCCACATTAACAGTAATACTTATAGACTAAAAATGCTGAATGATACCATAACCGAAACTAATCGCTGATCTGACCGATTATGGTTCCTGGAGAACTGAACAGTTATTCTTATAGGCGAAAGGTGATAAACACAGTCATCAAACCAACGCGCAACTAAATATATTTTCCGTTGACAAATTATTACTGAAACTACGGCAACTGTGCAAACCACTTTTTCTGGTATATAAGACGGTTCCAAAAATAACCGGTTAAATTGGCAAAGTGTAACTGCGGTTAAAGGTTACGTTAAATACCGACCGAAAACCCTAATAAATAATAGCAATTTCCAACCGGCCCGGATCAATTAAAACACGGACAATTCGTAGTATTGAAAAATTTGGATAAATAAGTCGTTACTAAAAATTACTCTTTAATTAAAAATATGAGTTTTTGATTTAAAAAATGGAAGCAAGCCAATTATCAATAAATAATATAATATTGAAACAATCTGTTATACTTGTCGTGATTTCAGTCCTTTGACTTTCGTTCTCGCATCCTTTTTAATGTGAGCAATATCGCTAATTCTGCTCCGTTCTTGTCATTTTGTCTGTTGTATGCAAGTGTTAAGCTGCTGATTGCAAAAAGATGAAGAATTATTCGCAACTAATTCTTCATCTGAATCATTTTCACGACATTTTATTTGGTAAGTTTAGCTTCCGTATGTTTATGTAGGTAATTGATTTTCGACACTTGTCTAAATGTCCTCTGTTAGTATAGGATGAAATCATTTTAGATACACTGTGCCGGGGTAACACGAACTGTCTTGAAATGTGCCATGAATATATTTACAACTATTTGCTCAAGTCTTTTGAAATTGAAATTTCTCTTGGCCACGTTTGTTAAGACAAAATTTCTGATTTCTACTTCTAAGATTTTCTATTTCTAAGTTCTCCTTGGGAGTGATTTAATGAAAGTAGGGTTTTTTTTAATATGGAAAGGGATAGGTTATCATCTAAATCGTTAACAGCTTTTGTAATACGTTTTTATCGCATGAGGCGCCTTTTCCCAAGAATTACAAACTGCGTCTTTAAGTTTATTTTGAGCTTTTCACTGAGAGTCAGCGTTACATGCGATCGCTTAGGCGGCATATTTGATTTGTTTGATACTCTGTCGGTAATTTCCCAATATACGCGTTCGTATATCACATTTATCCTGGTTTCTCTGATAAGGTTTTTATATATTTAACACCAGCTACAAACAGTCACAAACAGCTACCGTTTGCATCCTGCAATAATACCAATTGTTTCTCTAGTATCCAAGCTATCTAATATTTTAGATCCTACCGAAATAATTGCTATTTTGCTTTGTCTTCGTTAAAGCATAATTGATCTGAAATAGTTAGAGTAGAAAAATATTATTAAGTAATTTTAAATTGGAAAAAGATTTCTCTCCAGATGGAAATGTCATTGATAGACCAATTGACAAATGTGACTGTAATTCGTTAATTTCATTAAATAAATTATTGATTTCAATATCAGATTAATTCCTTGAATTGAACTTCAGCTTCATACGTAAATATTTAGCAATTCCTTTTTGGAAATGCCAAATAAAGTGCTACTGGAAAAAGCACATAGTGTCTACATTTTTCAGCTCTTCAAACTTTTTTGTTAAGCAAATTAAACTGTGATCAAGTTTTCGAAAAAAAGTCATTTTATGAGGCTTATTTATTGCTGTAGTTGTTTTACCTAGAGAAGTTGGTTGCCTAAGAGGTGTTAATGAGTTTTACAGAAAAAAATTAGTAATTAAAGTAAGAAACTCAGTAAGTTACTGGGAAGATGATCTTAATCAACCGCAGTCGTATTAGTACTAGTAGTAATTAACTGTAGTCAATACTGAATTTCGAACCTTCTGCACATCATGGGTCTGCGTTAGCTCATACATGGCTGTTTGTCCACATCGTATGACTACAAGTACGCACTTGTGATTACTAAATTTTTAATGTTAAAATGAAATGTTTTAATTTAATCCAAACTCCATTTGTGTCGGATTAGCGAGTCTCCAATGTACGTTTTCTGTGACTTGTTTGCAACTTGCGACGGTAACTGAATATCTGCCACTTTTTGTGTGATTTAATTAAATATTTTAATTCAAATGTAATCATATGTTACTGGTATACGAAGGATTTTACTTTTCTACTGTAGTGTGGGTTTTCAGTCAGTATAGGATATGCAGGATCTTAGACTAAAACCACGGATTATCACTCTGTTAATTGAAAAATGTCTACAAAACTAAAGGTTTAATAGATTAAAATATTGATCCTTTAAATACTTTTTTATTACGCAATAGTCAAAAACATATTTTTTTTATATTTGTATTAGCAGGCTAAATTAATTTACCGAGGATTTAGTTACAATTCCTGTTTACTCAGCTCATAACAAAACTGTTTAAAACAGTTTACAGGAAGTGTTTCATTCAGTTCTACCTAGATGAACTTACTTTTATTTTTGTAGATCAAACCCGATGTGACAATCGAGAACGGCTGTTTCGAAAAGATTGAGTCTGAAAAGTCGTCTGCCGAATCAAGTATGATGCAGAAAGTGGCTGAGAGACGCGCAGAGAAGGAGAACAGACGACAAGAACGCGATAGGCGTAGAAAGGAAAAAGAGCGGCGCAAAAAAGCAAAAGAAAAAGTGAGACAAGCTAGGCTCAAAGTCAAGACTGAAAATATGATCAGGGTAAGTTTAGCCAATATTATGTAGTCTCCTAGAAGCTAAATAGAACGTTATTTCTTTCAGAGGGCTTTGGAATTAGAAGGACAGGATGAAAACAATATGGAATTTGAGTTGGCAAGCAAGCTTGTGCAGTGGCCACCTATTCCAAATGTTGCTGCCTATTGCCTGTCAAAAGAAGCTGGAAAGAGCATCTTAATGAACAATAAGACTAGGTATGTATGTTTGTAGTGAAATATAGCGCTGATTTAAATAGTGATTTTTATAATTGACTATGAAAAAATTAATAAGACTGGATTGCACAGTATATTTTTAGTACAGTATGGATTTGAAATAATCTGCTTAAAACAAGATTTGCATATTTTTTCTGAGTTGTATATTTAAATCGAAATTGTTAAACATTGACAAAACGAAATGTATGTTTTTTAGCAAAATAAAATAAATCACTAGTGTACTAATATAGTATTAATCTGACTTGCAGACATCTCAAAGAGAAAAAGGTAAAACTGGTGCAATTTGCTGATGGTATAAGGCCAGGCGAAGGCACTTCGCCTTCAGGGGGCGAAGAATTGTCTTCACCGCCACCACCCGATAAACAGTTACCTAAAGAGAAACGGTTCAGGAAATTGAAATTTGGCAAACCCAGTGCCAAGAAGAAGGTAAAGGTCTGTAGCGCTTTTTTATTATAATTTTTATCTTTATTACTATTAATTTGCTGTAGCGTTATTCATTAGGTCTGTGGCTCAACATCGTTTTTATTAAAAAGTTAAGATTGTTCGATTTGCATTTCAAAGTAGGCAGTGTGCAGACAACTCGAACAGTCTTTCTTCATTGTTGAAAGTGTGTAGACAATTTGCTCTGCCTTTTACTTTTCTGTAGATCGAAATAGCCATTGTTGTTAAACCATATATTGTATTTCAGAGTTTTGATTTGGTAATGAACATTTGCAGGTTAAGATTATCAGGAAGTTACCTTCACCGTTGGATGATAGCGAATCGGATGACAATTTACTTCCACCCTCGCCACCTCCTGGTTCACCTCCGCCTCATATATTTCCTCCGCGTATTAAAACAAGTACAGTCAACAATGTACCACCGCCTTTTCTGGCTTCAATAATGCATACTGCTCAACATCAACAGGTATGTGCCGAGATTGTTTCATTTCAACTTTTTTTTAAAGATAAATTTCATTAAAGTTCTGTTTAATTGTATAAAGTATATAAATGTTGAAGCTTATGTTTGGTTGCAACAGCAGCAACAACCTCAGCAGCAAGCACAGTTCCAGTCGAATATGTACAGACCTCCATTGAATATGCTATTGACACATCCTCCAAACCTCCAAGGTATATGTAATATCTGTTACTTAAATAGTATTATTATTAATTATTATGAGATCAGTTTTAATTAAGGAAAGATATAACATATTTACTTTATAGACACACCTACTTATTAAGGCAGATTTGCTTTCAAATTTAATCACCTGAAACGTAGGGCTTATCTCAGGATATTAATCACTCTTTCAATCGTTTATGAAAATTTGTTGAAATGTTTCGAACAGTGATTTGATTAAACTTGCTTTTTTGTAAAATTCTTTGAAATGCAGACTTCGGAAGGCTGCACGGTTTTAGCCAGTGATTTTAAAACTGCAGTGGTGATTTTTTTGAAAGGTAACTTAATTTTAAATGTGTTTGTGTTCATGATTATGTGCTCTTTATCGTAATTGTACAGGGTGTCCCGATAAAGGTAAAGAGCGGCTGTATCTCGACAACGGTAAGGACCAGTGGTTTGGGGAAAACACTTTATAAGTGAAGTTGGCTTAAAAAATGGCTGGAAAATATTTAAAGTCCGTAGCTCGAACGCTAAGGGCGTAACTTCTACCACAAAACATTAAATTCTTGGTATCTCGGAAAATGAGGAGCTGAGCTATAACTTTAAAAACGTCATCAGACTTTGTGATTGTTTACAGGAAAATGGGTTTTATTGTAAAAATTTCTCTTCGGCAAAGAAAAAGTTATTTCCTTCGAAGTAAAATTATTAATGAATAAGAAATCAATATTTTAAACTAGATTTTCTTCCTCTTATTCGACGATTTAAACGGTATAATCTACTAATAATTTGCACTATAAGGAGACCCAATGCAATAACTTTTGTGTAAACACCAACCTGAAAAACAAAATCTCATTGCAGGCAAGTTTAATTGTTTCTGCAACTTTGAAACGCGATCCGAAAACTTTGGACTAAAAGCAACAAGGTTGGATACCACTGAAAAGGGAATTGAACGCCCTTTAAAACGATGTGCCACCCCCATTCCCAATTAAGGTTCTAAGGGTGACATCTATCCCTACTGGGGGATTGAAACAAGAAAACTAAAAAGTGTCCTCTTACAAATAAAATTGACGTGTCTTTCCAATTTTTCATATTTTTAACTGCAAGAAAGATATTAAGGGCGGAAAATTTTCAAATTGACACCCTGTGTATGTAACTGTATGTGATTACAAACGCGTTGTTTTTCTATAGGTCATCTTCCATCGCATGGAGCTGTAGTTTCTGCTGGTTTATCACCTCAGGGTCATTACCATCCTGGTTTAGGTGGACCACCACCACCTCCACCACAATCTCATTCATCAGGTAATGTTTATTCTTGTGGTTCTTTTTATTGAAAATCTATTAAAAATGGATTTTAAAACTAGCAAACGCTTTAATCCAAAATATAATGACGAATATGTACAATACAAGCAACGAAAAGCTCTATGTTTGCTCTATTATTTTCAGGGCATAATCGTCACTACTAGTAGGAGAATAGGCAAAAGTATGAAATAAATGTATTTAATTAGCATGATGATAAAACTATATCGTTCGGAACTGTACAAATTATTTGACTAAATTAGGATTATTGTATAGTACATTGTATTTCCGTTATAGATGAATCGTGTGATGGTCATCACCACTAATCTGTTACGGTGGACAAAATTAAATTTGACTTACTTATTTTTTTAATGGCAAGCAAACTTCAGCGTATGAATAGTACATACTTGAGGTTTAAGCTTAAAGTGAAGCGTCACCAAAATTTCCATGCTGTTACTTTTGACCATGGGAATTGTGTTGCATGTATGAATATTTAATGTAATTATGAACTCCGATATTTGAGAAACAATATTTTATCGATTTTGGCATTACATTTTTAATGCTTTCGACTTTTTCAAAAATCTATGTTACGTTCTGAGTTATAAATAATAATATTGTTTGTGTTGATTTACGTGAATTATGATGATCACGTTACATACATACGTTGCTAGCCAATAATTTAAAATATGTCAATTTATTAGAAGTTGAGTGTAGTTTGTAACAGATTTTACTGCCCATGATCAAGACATTTTTATAAATCTTCCTTTATACATAGTGGAACGTAAAATTCGTACACGAACAGCTAAATAAAGTCCTATCCTAATTATTTTGGATGCGATGATATTTTAAAACCCTTTGTTTATCATGTAAGTAGAATTATTGTAATTTTGTTTTATTTTATTATTTTTGATAATGTCGACCTTTTTTGCTGTACGAGATGAGTTCTTCTTATTATATTTTGTAGCAAAAATAAATCACGATTCATATACAAAAGATGAGGATTTTATATTTGTTTAAACAATATCGTGTGTTTTATTTGGCTATTTTCTCTAATTTGTAGTCTTTGGAAAGTTTGAGTGCTCTTTTTTAGAAAAAGAGCGAATTTATAACCTATTACTTGATTCCTATTCGGCGTTTTATACTGCCTCTTGGATACTAATATTTCTTTCACCCTATCTTATGTTATGAAGTTAACATTTCATAAAATATTTTAAATTATATTTTTCGCTAATTCAGATAAAACGTATTGCTAAAATTAAAGTTTCATTTCCGCACTACAGATTTATATTCAATAATTCATATACTATAAAACTTCTGTACTCCTTAAACACCCCCAGAGGAATGACACCAATTTTGAATCACCCTATATAGTTTATATTATACAATTTATTAACGGACCTTTTGAAACAGATCCTTAGCGGCGAATCGCTATCGAAACGGCAAGGGAACGTTGTACATTAATTTAATTGACTAATTGAAATTACAGTCTTACAGATTGAGCCTAAATGTGTACTAAGTTCTCACTAAGTGATAGTTTCTTTACAACGCTTTGATAAGAAATTTGTTGCTTTTGAGAACACCCTAAATTTGAGACAAAATATCCAAATAAAATATTTTGTTACTAGGGTACTCGCTCAGCCAAATAGTACTTATCTGCAATCTCGTCTATTTGCTTTCGAAATCAATTGGAGAGTAATATTATCTATTTTCAAATAAATACATTCACGATTTTTTAATTGATGATTCATCATAAAGAGGCACGTTTCCAAGCTTTTGTTTATTCATGTGGAGATACAAATTGAATAAATTATTGCTAATCAGGTATATTTATTATAATAAAACTCAGTCTTGGACATCAAAATGGTGGTGGTCCTCCATGATGTCCTCCTAATAAAACGAATCAATTGTAAAAAATAAGACAACCACACTTTAATATGCTAGCAAAGTTTGTAGACATGATAGTTTTTTACCTGGTCCTCCCATCGAATTAAATCCTGGCCCACCGTGATGTCCACCTGGACCTCCAAAGTGGCCAGGACCTCCAGGGCCACCCCCTGGCCCGCCAAATCCTGGATCGCCACCCCAACCGCCTCCAGGTCCCTGTTGGCCTGGTCCTCCTGGGACACCTCCCCAAGCCCCACCACCTGGACCTCCATGATGTCCGCCACCTGGACCTCCCCATGCTTCTCGACCCGGTCCTCCATGTTGTCCGCCACCTGGACCTCCCCATGATCCACCACCTGGACCTCCATGATGTCCGCCGCCCGGTCCTCCGGGATGACCGCCACCAGGACCTCCATGATGGCCGCCGCCTGGACCTCCGTGATGATGCATATTTTTACTATTTAGCACAGGTAACAACACTTAATAGGCGATTTATTGGTAATTGTGATAATGCGTACGGAAAATGTTTGGTTTTAAGGCTATATTTTATCTTGCAATGATAACGATTTTTTTCCTGAATCAGTTGATTAGATCGGGCTATTTTCAGACGTGATTGTTTTTAGTGGGAAAACTACATCATAACAACATTCCATTTACTGGACATAAAATATTTTCGTCATTAAAAATTGGGTAAACAGTTTGACGAACTATACAGGGTCGCCTTATTTGAAGCTTCATCGCATGAGAAAACGAATGTTATTCTGCTCGATAATTAATTATCCGAAAAAGACATCTAGATACAGCAAAGTGGAAAAATTACAATTTTTATTCTCTGTCAAACAAAAACTGGAAAAACTCCATTATTTTGAATACGATGATACGTTGCTGATTCATTCAATGGGTGGTATTTGCATAAGTGCAAAAGTGGCACTCTGTCGGAGGAATAAAAAATAAAAATCAGTAGTGTTATAGTCAGTATCAACAGTTTTTAAATTTCTTCAATTTTTCGTTATTTTTGCGAAAAACTAATCCTGTCAGAATTACATTTTTCAGTTTTTTTATTTTTTCTCAAAATGCGTTCTTTAAGGTTTTTGAAGGATTTTTGATAAAAAACGGATTGGTTTTATAGCATTTTGTTTTAGTAAAAAAATTTCTCGTAATTCTCTTGATACTGGTCTCATGTGGAAATTTGAAATTCTGCAAAAGCAACATAATATCAATTTGAAGTCGAAAACCCAAATATTTGGATCGATAAGACTGGAATGTAAAGAGCTCAATCTTCTGTAAAACCGGATTTTTAGACATTTCGGGCAATCGGTTAAGATTGATTACGATTTGAACTTCGAGCAAAACTTCAGGCAAACTTGAGATTGGTTTAATTGCCAAACTCGTTTAGAAAACTGGAAAGTTATGAGGATTTGAAGGCCGGATATCCAAATGTTTTGAATTTTCACACGATGTAAACGCCAGACTCATTTGAATATCAAAAATATTTAGAATTGTTATACTTTTGGCAAACTCTAGATGCATTTGAGCGCTAATAATGCATTTTTGGAGAACAAAATCGAAATATTTTATTGAAAATGAAGTAAACCTAAATTTTTGGAAAAAAATATTTGCGTTTGCTTACTTAGAAATTCACGTCTCCCACTAAAGCAGACAGGCAGTTGCATCTTTTACCATATTTAGTAGACACAGGAACTTGATTTTTGTCGGCTTAGTAAATGTGACTCACAAATTTGTGTTGTGAGTCAATTGCGCTCGCTTACTTAAAAATTCGCATCTCCCACACTAAATCATCACAGGCATTTGGGTTTAATTTAAAATAAGTAGGTTTGAGACGAATTCTAGTATAACCGAGAGTCGCATAATGTCGCTGTTATTTCATATGAAAAGAGCGTCTCCGAAAATCCCATTATTCATATTTGCGGACTTCAAATCGCATTACTTCCCGAAATATTCTAATGGACGCTAGCCGTGAAACACCCCGTATAAGAACTGTAAAGGCAAGTTTCAATAAGCCATAGTTCAGATAAAGTGAATTTTTTTTTGCGAAATGAAGAAAAATATTAAAAGTTTATAAAATAGTGAATGAGGTCGCTGCTTTGCTTATTGTTCACTCTGCATAATTTATTTATGGAACCTCTTATACGTTTTACATCAGACGAAAAATGTAATAATTGAAAGATAGATTAAGGATAAATGTTCAAAATGCTCCAAGCACCTGATCAAAGCATAAAAAAATTCGCCTGAAACTGAAAACAAAAATAGAGGAAGTTTGTAAGAAAGCAAATGATGGCTAGGTTGCACTCATATAACGGGAATTCAGTTAAAAACTGAATTATGAAATACTAATTTGTTCTCAACTGATTAGAGTTCCATTAGTAAATGTTTTCTATTTGTCTGTTAATTTTACCTGTTATCGTTAAAGGGCGATTATAGGTGTAAAATCAATAACAGTTATTCCACATTTCTTATTGATTTTTTTGCAAATATCTGCTTTTGTGTGAGAACTGTGCTTTCTGAACTGAGCAGAAAAATGGCAATGCAAGAAAATTTCCCAAGGAATGCAATACAAACATGCGGTAGGTATGAAATGAAATAAATTGCATTTAAAATTAGTATATTATTTAAAAAGAATGGACGATAATAATATACAAAACCGAAAAATATAGACAACTTTTATAACAATGTCGGTTTTTCGTCATTTTAGACATATGCTTGAGTCCTTAATAAGAAACATCTAATCTGGAGTAAAAATTATTATACTAGGTACAGGGCTCTAACAAGTTACCAGAAAAAAGTATGTTGAAAACATTTTTGTTTAGCCGTATAAAGTTAAACCGAACATGTTTTGAATTTTAAATGTAAAGCATTGAAGTACTACATAATAGATGTGCTACTAATTTATAAATTTCTAATATAATGACAAAAAGCACCTAATAATGTTTACCCGTCTAATTATCTTTATACGAGAGTAAAAAAGAAACTATTTCTTCTGAGTCTAACTCTACCACTTCTATCAGTCCTTGATTTTCAAAATAAACTAAAATATTCTGGTATCAGAATACGTTTGCTCGCGTTGGAAAATCATTATTTCTGATAGACAACGCTTTGTCAATATATGGTACAGTTACCAATAAAATAACTCGGGTTGTCAGACTTTCCTTATTGTTGCATATGCTCCATAAAATTTAACGCCACATCAGAACTGCTGTTATTAGTCCTAAGATAGGAATAGAATATAAAAACTTTCTGTTATAAAGTTTAAGAATATTCAAACTTACGTACATGTTTTTAAATGAATTTTCAGTTGTAATAAGCACGATTTAAGAATCATAGTATTGTTTTAATTAAATTATCTAATAACTAAATAAATATACCACCATCAAACACAAGTTACAATTACGACAGTCTTTCATAAAACAGTATATAGGCTTGTGCACTTAAAACCTTAGATTCTGCTACCTCAGACACGTAAGAGTCGCTAATATAATACCATTTCCCTGCAGGAGGCTCGGGCTTTTCGGTGACGCCTTGTTGATTATTCTTAAGTAATTCTTTTTGATTTTTTGGTATGAAATGCCATCGCGGACTGTTTTCGTCTAGGGGCGCTCTAACTTTTACGTACGACACGTAGTGCCCACCATGTATCGAACCGCTATGTTCTACAACACCGTAAAGAGAATAAAGAACTTCTGTCTGTCCAGCATCTACGGTCGGCAAGCTTTGAGATCGTTTTGAGCAAAATGGGCCCAAGTCTAGAAGAGTAGAAAACTTAACGAATTTTGACACTTTAGTTGATCTAAACCGGAAAACCTAAAAAATAAAAAAAATATTTTGTTGTAAATTATACACATAGTTGAAATGAACATACCTGGAATCGTTTAAGGTGTAAAATTAATACAGCCGGAGGATTGTATATGAGCAATTGTTTGGATGCATCCGTGTTCACCGTTTTCTGGTTCCCACTACGCTTCGTGCACATGTCGCAACTAACTTTATTAGATCCCATCATCAATTCGCATTCGGTAAATTGGTTCAAACATGACTCAACTGAGCATTCGCCCTCTTCACATTGATACCGAGGCGCTAAAGTGCTCCCATATAAAGCTATTTCCTCAGAATAATCCTCATCTTGATCCATCTGTAATAATAAATTAAAAGTGTAGATTTAGCTCATTGCACTCCACCCTGCTCTTACTAGTTCACTGCTGGTTTCCATTGCACATGCTCCTTCTTCCAACATCTGGCTCTGTTCAATTGGGGCAATCACTTTGCTGGAATCGCCGTCATTCAGCAAACTAAGCTTTTCTAAATCCACCTTGAGATCTATATTTTTATTGTTGTTTTCTACAAAAGCCAGTCTCGACACAGCGCGATCAAACGTACTGAAATATAATTTTAAGTTACATTCCTGTAATTCAATAAAATCCCATTGCTCCTACATACTCTTTGTTTTTGTCGCAATCGTTTTCTGAACTATCACTTGCAAATGTAAATTGGGCCATGTCTGTATTTGTTTCACTTGTTACTGACATGTTATTAGGGCTGTTTGGTATTGCCGGAGCGGCGGTTGTAGGACTTGGCACCCCACTGTCAGCTAAGTTACAAGCGCTAGGTGAATTAATACAGTTCGAATCAGGGCTGCCATTATCGATCTTATCAGAATTATAACCGGATTCGCCACCCTTTGATGATGAATCTTCTCCCGGCGCTGGCAAAGCAATAATAGTATTGTTGCAACTATCCTGTAAAATTAAAAAGGTGGCGATGAAGAGGTGGTTCACATACTAAAAATTATTTTAATAACCATAATAGTGGGTTGATACAATTAGATATGAAGTCTATGCAAAGTATATTAAGACAAAGTAAAAATTGGTGAGCGATCAATTTACTAAACAGTGGAGGGAAGTAAAAAATAAACGACTACGGCTCAATTTTTGCCGGCCGAATGTTCTCACTGCACGACAGTTTTCTTATTGTGATTGAGAGTTTAGAACAGTTTTTAATTTGGCATTTTGAAATAGCAGATTATAAAACTTTCTTTTCAAATGAATAAATTTCAGAAATTTTGAAAAACTCCAATTTAGAAGCATAAATAATGCAAATTTTCCAAACCTCAGCATTGTCTTCAACATCGGCATCGGATTCTTCACTACTCGATTTATGTTCCATGGCTACATCTGTATCATTCATATTGGTAATAAGCAGATTATTATTTCGGTTGTACTTCTGTTTTTTCTTCTTTTTCTCCGCTCTTTTTTCCTTTTTGATTTGATGTTTCGATGGCTTATTATCCTCACTATCGTCTGCCTTTCTTCTCAATACCGGTGCTATTTGTTTTTCAGATATCGGCAAACTAAATAATAATCGTAGTTTGAATTGATGGCTAATTTAATGTATCATAAATTACCTTAAATCTAAGAACTTTTCCTCCATGTGCGACATATGGTCACATACCTGGCACTGCAACGTACTTACAAGTGCCCCTCTAAATACTTGCTCTGTCGCAAGTAACATTTCGGACACCTGTTGACCGTAGAACTTTAAAATGTGTTTCTTCTCATCGTCTACAGTTGATGGATTTGTTTTCGTATTAAAACCTGAAATACAATGATTCATAATTTTATTTTTGCCGAGAACATCGAACCTATAATACAGGGTGATTCCCAACCTTATGGACACAGTGCAGGGGCGTGTAGAGGACCTCAAAACAAGTCGCGTTTTAATTTAAGTTTTTTTCTCAGGCGCATGGTTAACGAGATACAGGGTGTTAAGGTTTCAAAAAAATGTTGGTATTTTCTCTTTAGCTCTTACAGTTTATGAGATATTTCGCTCAAATTTTTAACGTAGGCTAATGTTTAGACCCTTTACCCGTAAGTAAGGCGACTGGTTGTGAAAATCTACTGGGTGTTCTTTTTTATAGAGGCATACCCTCTTTTACCCCCCCCCCCCAGAACTTTTTTGTGGTGCGCCACTGACTTCGACCTATCGAATTTTGGAATTTGTTGATCAATTTAAGAAATTTCTGATCTCTTGCAGTTTTTTCGTATTTGTCTTCGTTTTCGAGTTATTTGCACAAATATAAGTCCATGTAGGGTTTCTGGGCGATTTGACAAAAAATAGGTATCATAATTTTCTTAATCGGTTGTTAGATATACAAAATGATTAACAAAACAAGACTTTATACATAGTAAACAACTTTAATGAACAGGTAATTTATTATTCGGATCACACGAATCTTGTAGGAAATTATTACAGGGGCAATAGCAAGCAAACCGATTGTACAAAAACAAATTATAGTTAAAGAATGACAAATAGAATGGTTTAATGGATGGAACAAAACCGTCCACAATCTGATGTCGGCTCGGCAATTTTAAATAAAAAGTTGTAAGCGAAAGTAGGTAGGTATATGTTTGTGAATTGCTTTCGAAAACTTGTTAAATATGTTTATTTCGTTAATCAGTTATTCAATTCTGCTTGCTATAGCATCAGAGTTTTGGCTAAATGACGCTGCCTAAAAATACTATACCATGCCACCTTTAAATCGACCAAAAATTTCTACGGAAAAAAATCAGATCAGTTCAACAATTGAAAAAATGGGTTATAATGAAAGTTGTAGGGTACTTTGAGAACTCTAAAACTAATAACCAGTTAAGCAAATAAATTATGAATGTGCACTTTCCTTTTTTGGTCATATAGTTCGATAGATTTTGGTTAAAAGTGCTCTGACAAACTTCAGGTGATTGCGGGAATTATTTTGAGTTCAAATGTTAGATCTAGTAAGGGAGTAGCATCGATGCTATTAATATAGATATCTGAACCAAAATACAGGATGCTAACGTTTTATTAAAAGACATAAAAACTGTATTAATATATTCGAAACCGCTTAAGTTTTTTTAATGACATTCAATATTTTTGAAGAAAAAATGGTGCGCTACCGGCTTATCAAAAAAATTTAATCTTTTATTTCGTGTTTATTCCAAACAAAATTTTCTGTAGGAAATAAAGATTATTTATATATATTTATATATATCCAAACAAAAAAGTCCTCTTGAGTTTCCTTCGTGCAAAGCATAATTTCCGAGTAAAAAAATGAATATCGTATTAAAGCATGTGTTTAAATCCTCACATCAACAGTTATTTTAATTCAAACTTTCTAATTAACGATAATAAATATAATTTGCATATTAATACGTATTTTAATTAAAATTAATCGTCCATAATTTGACTTTGTTTTGAGTTTGAATTTAAATAACTATTGRTTAACGTGTATTAGTGCGATTTAAAATTTATTACGCGAAAATTATACGAAGAAAACAAAAGTAATATTTTTATTGGGAATTTAACAAGCAATGAAAAGGTAATATAAATGTTTTCGTAAATCAGTATTGCACCATTTTTTTTGTATACGTGAAATGTTGATGAAATCACCTTGTATATTTATATCATGAACGAAAAATAAAATAGTATTAGTAATCACTAAAAGAAATCCTGTACGTTTCAAAAACCTATGAAAAGATTGATGCCAAAAGTCGAGCTTTAATCTAATCCCAAGAAGCATAATCGTTAAATTGTATATTTCTGACTAAAACGCTGTATCGTATTTCAAAATTTCAAACATTAAAGATTTGATTAAAAAAACATAGTGTTTTTTTATAAACATGTTAAACTGATTAGATCCTAATATTAAAACAGTATAATTTAGTTTTTAAAACGAGACTTACTGGACCAAAGTTCCATAGAGCAGATCTCTATAAAAAAGCAACATTTACAATAACACTTTGTTAGTGGCAGTGTTGCATTTTGCTCGGTAATAATGTTAAACTTGAAAGTAAGTGTACTACCTTAAATCAACCTACCGTAAAACTCACCTAACTTCTCTAAGATAACTGCTTTAAACCTCCGTTGGTCTTCTTCACGAACAGCCTCCAATAAATGTCTTAATAATTCGTGGGAATCATGCTGATCTCCTCCTCCAAATTGTGGCATTCTAAATATTAATTTCTGTAAAAGGGATTTTGGAATAAAAACATCTGATCTACCACTTTGCAATTCACGCAATGTTTCGGTAAGGGTCTGAGGGAGTGGTCTCCATTTCTCCGTTTCCCCTTAAATGAAATAATGAACAATCAGTTACCAAAAAGTACAAACTTCCAATCCAATAAAATTAATTTATCTTTGTTTCATAGTAAATCGTGTTACCTTCTAAAGGAGGTAGCAAAACATTATCTTTTCCTTTCATTTTCAGGGTGCCTCCAGGCAACTGAAAAAGCTGTCCTGCACTAGCAGTGTCATCTAGCAAAGTAACTAAGTATGGGGTCTGACCAAGGCACTGCATAACTGAGTTAAAGAAGCAAGTGTTGCCTAAATTTTTTAAACCTCTAGGTCTAGGCAATCCAGGTGTACACAAGGTTGGGTTTTTTGGAAGCGTTCCAGTGTCATTATTACTGTTTATTACTGGCAAAGTGGACATTACCTACAAGTCATAATCTATTATTGCCTTGTGACCTAATGACCCTATTAGACGCTTGAACAGTGGACATTTTTTATAGTATTGTTAAGATGGGCAAAAAAGTATTAATTATTTATAGGTATGCCTATCCTTGAAACATGTGACCAGCTGGAAGATGCTTGCAATGAATAGTGTTGCAACTTAAATTATAAAATGAAATGCTTGAGTTGGAAGACACTGAACATTTTCTATCATTTCACTAAGGTTTTCGATGAACTGATTACCTCGGATATCTTCGATGTGTAAACCTGTTGTTTACTACGGAGGTATTCAGCATGTTTTTTTAAATATTCCACAGCATCAAGTAACTTTCTTTTACAAGATATATTAACATCATTATCACAGTCGTAGCACCAAATACTCCAAATTGTGGTGTTTACACATAACGAATGCGAATCGGAATGAGGTACATTATAATGTTGCAAGGCATGTTTGCATTTACCTCGCCCACAGGCCTGATGACCACACTTTAGACAGAGCCAGAGTGTTAAATCCAACTCCATTTCGAGCTCGGCCAATTCTGGATCAACGGGCAGTCTTTTGCATTCACTGCATTCAGCAAGAAAACCATGCTTGTTAACAATTTTTTTTACGCTGGTTAAATCTACTGCTTTGTTAATATGACTGCACTCTGCATTAGTTTGGTTTTCATCTTCTGAGTCTGAAGACAAGCCGGCGCCGGTGGGCTCTCTTTGGTGCTTCTTATTACTCATTTTAATGCAGTAGCGACTTTAAACTACGGGACTTAATAGACAATGCACGTTGTTCAATAACCTCACAATCACGTAAAATGGTGACTGTATGATCTAGACGTAATTTTCTTTATAAAACTACTATTCGAAGTTCAGTATCGGTTAAGAGCAAAATCGGAAGACTGACCACATTCAATTAGCAAATACTTAACAGTTTTTCCTGACAAAAAACTAAATCATTGGAAAAACTAAATTGACAATCTGACAGTGGCAGGTGGCAGGATATTTTTCAAGAGTTAAATGTCACCCGCTGTCTGATTAAGATGGCGCACTTTTAGAAGTCAATGTCACCGAATTACACTCGCCTTTGTGTCACCTTCAACATTTTATTGAAAAGTGTTGTTCGTTCGCCAACGGGTCGTTTATTTCGAAACTCACTGAGCGGAGCCAAACACGTGCGTTAAAATTACACTTTTAGAGCAAACGGTTTGAATTGAATGATTGTTACTGAGGAAATTGCATTACTTAATTAATTATCCATTACATTCATAACCGTACCAAACGTAACGTAAGTAGTGTTCTCTAATTAAATTTCTCGCCTTTAACGCAACTCAGTCGCCCTAAAAATAATATCTCAACAATGAACAAACTTTTAAAAACGTTCAACCATCAGGTTGAACACGCAAAGCTTAGTGAGTATTGATAAAAGTATTTAAACTGTCTACGAACGTCTGCCTGCTAAACTGCTTTAAATATTCTAGAAATTAAAATGTTGCTTTTCAATTTATTACTAATTTAAACATTCAGTTTTAAAATGATATCTAGCGAATTTTGATATTAACACACTTTGATAATCTATTTAAATGTCCTTCATCCAGAGTCAACTTTTCATTTAGTTTGACTCCTAGACCTAAGACATCTGGAAAACCACTATCCGACGCATATTGAATGCACTCCTGAAATAGTAATAGTGTTTAGGATTTTGTTCCAATAAGGTTATTACATAAGGAGGAAACATCAGTACTTACTATGGCCCGCGATGGCGTTTTATTGATAATACAGTGATCCACAAAAAGGTCCAAGGCATCAAATGAAGGTACACCTACGATTTTCTGATGCTGATGAATCAACTTATGCATAACTAGACTTGCATTTTCGAAGTCACTATTCCTCAGCAGAAGGATCATAATTTTTCCCAACATGTCTCCAGTAAACCTAATTACACATGTATGTTACATGCGGATTGACGCAAACGTTTTTTCGATCACATTAACGGTCCTTTATAGCTAAAAAAATAACGTTACTTACTTTACTGAATTATATTTATCTTCGGCTTGACCATCAATAGAAGTATAAATATCCAATCCGATTTTGGAGAACTTTTCTACCAGCTCTGAACCTTCTGGTACCACATTATCTACCATCACTGCTAAAATGTAGGCAATCAGATCCTCTCTGTTATTATGGTTAAACACGATCATATCGGACCATATCCGAGGAATGTGTTCAATAGCACCATTCAATTCGATCTAAAATTAAATTTCACCTGAAAAAATCAGTCTTCACAATATACTATTTCCTTACTTGCTTAATGACTTCTTTCATTACGGAAGGCTCGGGCACATACACATTGGGCACAAGTTTATTATATGTTGTTTCCATGAACTCTTCGAAGGGTACATTTGGTAATAATAAACTGAAATAATGACGGCTGCAAAAATAATTAAATGGTGTATTTAGAAACTGAAAAATTACTGGTAGCTTACTAATAAATTGACTCCCTGTATGAGTCTCCAATTAAGTCATAGTTATTGTCCAGCAATAATAATTTGTGCACTCTTTGCGCCACACTAACATCATTCAGATGATTTCTTGCTACATCCATTGCTGTCACGAAAAAGTTTGTATCAGTAATGTCTTGGATTTGATAAGCTTTATTTTCGACATTTGCTAAAATGCTTGTCAATATTCCGTTCCGTGGACCTCCTAAAATATAGGAATATTTTATTTTGCTACACCTTTCTGGCCGAGATAGATTACTTACGTTCCTTACAAAATGTGATTAACACGTAATACCAAGATCCCAGAGTGGGTTCAATTCCTAAACTTTTAAACTCATTCAGTGTTTTTAAGGTTGATGTTCTGACCATTTCACTGGTGCCCATAGTGCTTAAGGCGAGTAAAACTGAATTTAAGGTTCCCAGGGTTGGTTTCAATCCAGCTTGCTTTATATTTTCAAGTATATTCACAACGAAAGCCCACCTGAAACCAAAATTTAAATGAGGAATTAACCAAATATACTGTACTAAATGTACAGTATAGTAAGTAAGAAGTAAGAAGCTGAGAACATGCAAGGATGCAACATTGCAACATGCAAACCTTAAATCAGTGTTTTCTTTCAGAAAAGGTGCCACTTTGATTATCGCATTGTACGTATCAAGATCTACTAAGCCCTTTGCCTGCGCTTCTTCAAAAAGGTGATGCGCTCTAGATGCGTGATTAAATTTGGCCAACCCTTGAATCATCGCTGAATATGCTTCAGCTGAAGGATTTTCCATACTTATAAAAATTTCGTCCGCTAAACTGCCATCTCTACATTGGTTAATAAAAAATTTTGTTATGTCGGATTTACACACGCTTGCAAATGGACTTACTTCCAAGTTTTTCGTTGTTTCTCTCTTAGCCGGGAACTCTGTTTAAACCATCTTTCTTCAATAAATTCTTCGGGCAGCAGGTCTTCGCTGTTATTGAAACATAACAATTCTAATAAACTTTGTTTTGTTGTTTCTGCGATGTCGATACTTTTCGCCTTTAACAAGTTATTTATCAGGATGGCATCAGACACCTGATTTTTGGATATTGCACTTTGCAAATCAGATTCAGTCACGTTACTGTTTTCATTATAAGTAATTGGTGGAAAAAACAGCTCAACTGGCGGATCGCATTCCCGATGGTTGAAGAGTTCAGGGTGTTGGCTTCGTACCCAATGTGCGGCTTTACGACCTAATTCGAGAATATTCAGTGATAGGTCCATACAGTAAGATCTTTTTAATATCTCTGAACATGTAACGTAATTTTTCGTATATGTATTCACTTTGATGATAAAGAATAGTAATTCTGGACATTGAAGCTCGAAAAGCTGTTTTTGCTTTTTAGTTAAAAATGCAAAGCGTCAAGCAACTTTTATCTTTGATAATGAGTGTACAAAATGATCTTCAAAAGAAGCAAATTTTAAAATATGGAGTTGTAATCACAGCCTTAATAATTGGTTAGTATAACCATGCTATTCTTTAATTTGTCCTTCGGTTTAGATTTTTTTATTTTCAATTATTTAACCACATTTTGAGTAACTTTTTCTTTTCCTTGTTGTTCAATTACTTTTGTTCCAGACCATCTGCACTGAATGCAAACGGTCCTTTAGAACCGCTCAAAGTAAAGCTGAAAGTCCGGAAATCACAAAAAGATCGAAATTTGACGCAAAAAAACAAAATATTTTGCGGAAAGTAAGATAGCGAATTCGTCTTTTTTATCGTGCGTAAAGTAAAGATGTAAAGCAACTATCAAATAGTTTATGAATATTTTGGTTCAATATTCAATACATTTTTGCAAGAAAGAATAGTTTAGTCCATTCTTGTTGTTAGTTTAAAGTCCATTCTTATCTACAAAACATAGCAATATAATTTCCTAGTTGCATATTGCAAAAGTATGTGCAGTTTGACTTTCATAATACTGCAAAAATATTGATTTCCAATTCATACTCATAGTTTATATTACACTCAATATTACAACATGTTGAACATTTTATGTTCACTTTCATTAAAAATTAGATACAACTAGCTAATGATTAAATTTTAATATTGACGTTAAGCGGTATACTAATAACCACCTATCAGAATTACTCTATTTTAACCATCTTGCATTATCTTATGCCCCTTTCGCTTACCTAATTTCTTATAAAATTGGTGTTTAATTGTGATTGAAAAGTAATTGCAAACAAATTTTATTTTATGGTTTAACATTGAATTCTATTGTTGATTGGGTCTATTTTATACTGAAGATGGTTCCAAAGGACTGCTGGACATTTAATAACGCGTAATCTCCTGACTGCAGATCAAAATTAATAATTCTAGATCATAGACGACAAGTGAGAAAATACCCAGTAAATAATATACATAATACACAATTTAAATATATAACAGAGACAATATAAAGAAATAAAACTTGATAAAACAATAATATTTCAAATAAATGAATCGTTTTTGTAATAAAGCATGTTATAATGTTATAAAAGCGATTCATTTATTTCATCTAGTGTGTACACACCATCGCTATTATTACAATGATTCGTTACTGCATATATTTGATGATATTGTAAGTTAATACTTCACTATGTTACCTGCTTCTTGAGCCATTGCATATGAACGTTTTGCCAAATTATTCATTGGAAGTAAATAAGGGTCGTCATGATATTTGTAATGAGCTGCAGTTGGGTCACTTTTGATCGTACTTTCAAGGGCCCTTAGAATATCAGTAGGACCTCGATTTATCCGCATCGGAACGACAATTTTTTCTTCTTTGGCCGTTGATAATGCTCGTGCAAGAAACTGGACTCTTCTGAGCCTATAGTGAAGATATTAATTATCATCTTCATATTCAAAGTGGAATAATAGCAACTAAACCCCCACAGGTATCTTCTATTTATACAAGTACTTTATACTATATATACAAGTACTTTATACTATATATACAAGTAATAATACTAATTCAATTATACCTGTTGTACACAAAAGCCGGTCTATTCATGTTGCATATATTTTATAACTATATATTAATTGTTCACTCAGTTCTCAATTCATTATTTACAGGTTAGGTATCAATCACGTATCAATCTTTTCAAAAAAATTTGAGGAAAACTGAAAATGCCTATTGTCACGCGGAAAGTAGTTTCTGTGAACCTTAAGTCTACTTAACCGAGTGTAGTCGTCTCTCTCTAGATCGTTGCCGGCATATTTTCATCTTTTTCAATTTAAAAATAGTATATTATATAGAGAGAACTGTTATATCCTTAGGCGCGTAGCTCCGAAGGATATAATGCGCGAGGTATTTAAGTCTTCTCGGCTGAAGTATATATGGATTTTTTTTACTACTAACATGGTTTAAATATATACCTAAAAAATAAACCTATTTTGATTTAATTAGATTTGGAATGGAAAATTTACGATTTTATACAACAGATGTATATGTATATTATTCTTGGGTTGTTTCGCTATTACCATATAAATTAAATATATAACACAAGACTATTTTATTCATTTATTTACTTCATGGATCACTAAAGCTAAAAAACATTTACAACAATGTCATAAATAACAATTCAAGCTACAGATAAACTTGAATTAATTATAAAAAAAAACTCTCAAACATATTCATCATTCAACAAATACTCAACGCGTTACCTAAGTATTTACATACATAAATAAGAATAATTAAAAAATATTTGACCAATATATTCCTTACAAATATCACATATTTTTACTACCCTCCAATCGAATTCTTTTATGATCAATATGTATAGGAATTGAAAATTGAAAATTACAATATTTATGTTATAATATACATACAAATATTGTCTTGAAGAATGTCCATTTCCGCGCTTTGGGCCGCAATTTGTATAACTAACAGGATATTTTGATTATCGATCGGAGAGTGAACTGAAATGGCTATACATAGTAGGGAATCAGAGAAAAAAACATTAATTGAGATTCAATATATCCAAATAATTGATAACCGAACAAGATCTAACATTTTGGAACGATGACAAGTAGAAGAAATTTAACACTTGTCTCTATTTAATGAACAACAATATCGACTAGGATCAAAAAGATGCATAACTAGTTAATTTAAAAAATTACCGCATTTTCATTTCAGCCGAGTATCCTATTTGATGCAAAAATAAAACTAGAAATAACAACAAATAACAGCGTAAGAAACTTACTGATCGAATTAATTAAGCAATCTTCTTGTTACTGGCATCGTCTAGAGACGTGGCCAATTCAGCGGGTTCCGTAACTGGTAAACTGCAAGTAAAATTTCTGCACACATAAGCTGCAGCCCTGCCCTCAATCGGCTTTAGCCTGTGCAAAGTTTCGATGCGCCTATAAAGAAGTCCCGCTCGTCCTCCGGGACCATCAGCTACAGCCAAAATTCGTCCTGGCATGAACCGAGACCGCACAACATCTAATAAAGCTTGAGTTGAGTTGTCCTCGGTAGGACCAGCAATAAACACCTAAAAGAGAAAACAGTGTATACAAACACGAAGAGCTGGTTCTGGTTACTGGAGATGTTGTATCCAGTTATTTCCATACTTTAATCATAAAATGATTCACTTATTATTTGTAATATCTTATTCATGTGTAAGTATTTAACATAGTGAAATAAGTGTAATAACGAAATTGTAGGGCAGATCAATCTATCAGCTAGAATTATGTACCAAAAATACAAAGATGGATCAGAAAGGTCACACCGGCATATAATTAACCGTTACCTGCGTCGGAAAATTGTGATACAACATCAAAGCTGAAGTCATCTCAGGCAGAGCTATGGGAAACATCTTCAATCTTTCTGAGAAGCAAGCCAAAGTTTCGCCGGCCTTTTCACGCAAATCGTTTCGGTGCAAATAAGTTGATAGTCGTATTAAATTGTGAACAGACACGGAATTTCCACAGGGTTCCACTCCATCTTGATCTATAAGATAATCCTCTTAAGTAAAAAGTGTACATATGTGTATGTTTCATGTTGACAATCCTCAAAGTTGAAATATTTATGTTTACCTTCTTTGCTGCGAAGCAAGATGCTTTTATCCAAGGAAGAACTGCTGAAGTAGCCAGCATTCGTTTCATCCCAAAAGAGAGCATTTTGAGTTTCCTGTAATGTTTCGGCCCATTGCAACCAATCAGCGTCTAAAGATGATTCATATAAGTCGAGTAAACCTCTGATCAGAAACGCATAATCATCCAGAAAGCCCGCTATTGGACTTGATCTGAAATTAAAAAATTCCGACGTAGTTAAAATACGATAAGACACTTTTCAGCTTAGTGTATTTACGTTTGTGAAATTTGCCCCGTATCGCCTTTATAGCAGCATCTGAAGAGAAATTTGTCTTCTTCACTATATAAAAACTTCTTAATAAAATTGGCTGCCAATATCGCCCTGTTGATGTAAGACTGATTTTTCAAGACAAATCCAGCCTTTGCAAAACCAGATATCATTAATCCATTCCATGACGTTAATATTTTTGTGTCGGTGTCAGGCTTGGGACGTTTTTGACGCTCTTCATATAAAACTTTATGAGACTTTTCCAGGATTTCCTTCAGTAAAACGATGGAAATGTTGAACTTGCGAGCAGTTGATTCATATGAATCGAAGCAAGACAGGATATTTTTATTTTTCAGTTCTTTATGAGGATCTTGAGCTAGACTAACGTTTCCCTTCTCCTTCACATTGTAGTGAAAAATTACAACGTCTGAGTGTTTGATACCGTTGGTTTCTTCGTCCAAAAGATTTCGAATTTCGTCGTACTCCCAAACGCAGAATGCACCTTCCATTTTATGTAATGCACCTGATAAACGATTATTCATTTAAATCAATTAATATAAACTTTGCAAACAAGTACCTTCATATGGGTATGAATCGGCATCTTGAGCACAATAAAATCCTCCCAATTCATGACTTAAATCCTTAGAAACGTAGCTAAGAATATCTTTTGCCACGTCTGCAAAAAACTCATCTTTCGTGACTACATACGCATCACAATAAGACACAGTCAGTTGTGCTTGATCGTAGAGCATTTTTTCAAAATGTGGCACGTGCCATCTTTCATCAACTGAGTACCTCGCAAATCCTAGAAAGTTTTAATATTTGCATAATGTATGTCATTAATAGAATAAATGTATTATCGATTAAATAAAAATCGAGAACTTTATACCTTCATTTACATGATCGTGAATACCACCATATGCCATTTTCTTCAAAGTATGCAAGCACATTTCGAGACACTGTAATCCTCTTTCTGTGTCCTTCTCTTTATCATATAAATGGAATAGAAAGTTGAAGTTTGTTGGTTGGGGAAACTTTGGAGCCATGGAGAAACCGCCGAAATCAGCTTCGTAGGAGCGGGATAGTTGCAAGGCACATTTGTGCCAACAATCCTCTCCTGCTACTTGGGACTTATCAGCAGATAGCAATCCTTTCTTTGCGTGGTCTTCTAATGCTTTCAGACTGAATTTGCCTGTAGAAGAATATTACGCCTAATTGGTATATAGGCAAGTCTTATAACGTTGATATTAGCAATTTTATGTTTGAGTTCAAAAGAGCTAGTAAAGATAATCAAATATTATTTTATTTATTATAGTATTTTTTTGCTGAAGACAAAGTTTAATATTATATATATCTTGGTTACTGTAAAAGTTTGTTTACTTCAACCTTAGTAATTTTTAAATTCTTTCTTCGAAGCAAATAAATCATTTTAGTGTGTTTTATTTATATGATTGATGAGTTGGGAAAAACGATATTTTTCTTAGCAAATTTGTTCTTTTTTTAAGTTCGCCACCTAAAGTGGTAAATATTAAAGCGCTATTTTTACATTTACTCTATTCTCATGCTCTGGTATTGAAGAATTATTTATGTCCGTCCCCATAGGATTCATTATAGTACCAAGGTAGGATTACTATTAACCAAGCTTTCTCACGATTTATTTCCTTCGTTTTCTTTCTTAAAATATTGGATGAATAACAATTTCAATATTGGATGACAAGTTAAAATAAAAATAAACAAATACGGAAAAAATAGATCAAACATTTTTAAATGATACCTAAAAAAGTTAGAAGATGAAATATTTTAGGATAAAGTAACGGAAATGCGATACAAATGATGAGGTTGATCTGAAATTTGGAAAACGTTTTCTTACTTTGTTCTAAAAGATTTTATCTTACCCTCAGTCTTGATAACTGTATTTTAAAACTTTAATCTCTATATTTTTTGTATTTATTTGTTTTTAGTAGACTTTCCTTGGCTGCTATTTGCCTTGTTATTTAGCTCTAAAGAAGGAAATAAAATGTCCGAAAAGTTTTTTTTTCGTCAATATTTCAATCAATATAGTCTAATAGTTTGATTTAAAAGAAATTAATTAAATATTAAATAATGATGAACTAAAAGTCCATAATATAAATAATAGTGGAATATTCGAATTAATAGCAAATGTGCATTCATGGCGCGGGCCTGTATAAACAACGGAATACATTAACAATTCAATCTACTTATTTAAATTGCATAAAGTATTGTTTAGAGATAAACGTCGGCGGCATTTTTATTTAAGGCAGGATCAATTGTTGGGTAGGGTTGGGCTCATAAAAAGTAGACTACATTTTAAGCGAAACTACTTAACTATTTTTGGCAGCTTTAGATTTTGAAGAAGAATTTATTAATTTGCATTGAAATATATTATAATAGTTCAGATAATTCAGTTTTTACTAGACTTAAACGTATGCACACTAAGCTACTTTAAATCAAGTGAATAAGTTACTAGACCTTGTTGCGATTCGAAATTGGCATGATAAAATAATGATACACAAGAAATCAGATTTAATTCGATTAGATATATCCGTACATAGACACAACTGAATGTTTATTACCCGACTGCTGACAAATGGACATATATTATAGCAAAAACACAATTTAGCCTTGATTATTTAATTATTTATGAATTTATTTTCATGGCGGTCATATTTAAAACGAATGCAATTTCCAATTCCATGACCCTTATAGTATTTATAGAATGCACCGAGCAAAATGAATCGTTAACCGCACTATTTGTTGATAAGCAACTTTTTCCATTTCTTTCATTGACCCAGTTTTACCGCATTTTGCCACACACGGAGGCTGTTGAACTGATGTTTAAATTTATATTGTTTATATGCTGGTGCCTAACTCGATTAGCCTAATTTAGAAAATACATATTTGGAGGAAATAATTAATATTATACTTACTAATGAAGTACATATTTAAAATTTGGTGTTATTGTTTTATAGCAATGTGAGAACTATTTTTTCGACTCTTATCGTAGCTGATGATACAACTTGCAGCAAACGGTTCCATTATTCATTGATTTGTTCGTTTTTGCAATTTTTAAATGGTATTTCCAAACAATATTATTAGTTTCTACTGAATATAATTGAACATGCTGTGTAGGATTGCTTGTTTGCTTCTGTCTGTTTAATAAATGTGCCCAAGATAAGAAGGTATGGGAATATCGAAATCCACAGATGATACGAAGTTCGTTAAATAGATATAAATTTGGCAGTTGGAATTTTCGTGTTTGATTTAATTCGTAAAACATCTTAAATATTTTATATTTGTTTGCTTAGTAGTGTCGTTTTGAAACTTTGTTCCATCGTCAATTTCATTTTTTTAATACCCCCTATTTGCTTATTAGTGAATTTCAATTACCCAATGGCTTATTCACTTTTTTCGTAAAACTCAGTTTTCAAAATAGTTTGGCCGGCTCATCTTATCTTGGACAATAGGTGATTTCATTTTACTACACAAAATTTAATTCGCTTACCCGAGGAAACTAAGGCTTTCCGATCTGTTTTCCATTTATTAGACATACTGATGAGTAGTTGTGGGAAACTTGGAATACCCAGTCCCTTGCTTTCAAGAGGAAAATAAGTTCCACCGGTCAATGGTTCCAAAGTAGGTGTTAAGAATATGGACATTGGCCAACCGCAATTATTACTGGTAGCCTGTAGGAAGGCCATATACATTCTATCCACATCTGGTCGCTCTTCTCGATCGACTTTGATGTTTACAAAGTGCTCGTTCATTATTTCAGCCACGTCTTTATTTTCAAAAGATTCTTTTTCCATTACGTGACACCTATTGGAACAAGTTACATAGGTAGCAATACATACAAGAACAATAGCAGTTTGCAGATAAATCATTTGAAATTGCACACACTTATCGCTAGAAAAAGTTGTTTGTGGTTGTGTAACCAAGTTCTGAAATTAACCAGAACTTTCTCAACTAACAGATAAGTAGACTTACCAATGACACGTAGAATAGCCCACTGAAAGAAAAATTGGCTTGTCTTCAGACTGAGCTTTCGCAAAAGCCTCCTCACCCCATGGATACCAATCGACTGGATTAGTAGCATGTTGCAGAAGATAAGGACTTTTCTCTAAAGCTAATCTATTCAGATTATTTTCATTTGAACAACCGGCCCCAGACATCTTTCTCATAGTATTGCTTGAAATGGTCGATTTCAAGGACAAAGATCTGAAAATTGTACATTGAAAGCAAAAAATTCAAAAATACCTAGTTTGTAATTTTGACACAAATTTTTGGAAAAAATAGTGTTCTAGTCAATTTTCTATAAATTGCGAAAGTAGCGGGGAAAACAAGTAACAATATGCCATACATTGTAAACTTATTATAAAGAAAACCAGCTTAGGCAGTGGCAGTTAAGGCCCACACCTCAAATTATATATCGTTCAATTTCAATTGAGAACTTTCAGTAGACGTTCTGAATACGTCTTGAATTTTAAACGCAAAGAGCTACTTTCCAAGTTTTCAAATTTTCGTCAGCATTCTGAAAACGTTATAAATATGTCTTCAATTTGAGCTGACAACAAATACAACCAATAACCAGTCGAAAAATAATGTTTTTCCTATCATTACCTTATCATAAATACCTATTTAAAAAATACTATTTTCTCCTTGAAATCGTATTGATTGCGAATAAAATAAACATGTTTGCCAAATGTTCTACATATTGTTGTTGCTTTGAATACATATCTAGTAACAAAAGCGGTGATTACGCATATAACTAAAAAGTTCGTATCAAAATACCTAGATAGCAAATGGTAAATAAATATGTTTACTAGTAAACAAGGTTATGTAGAACGTGACTATTCGAACGTAAACATTGAGTGGGTGTTATGAAGAACCGAAATAATCGATGATTGCAACATAATATTACCTTATGCTAGTGTTGATGCCGTATGTGGAGTCTCTCAAAAAACCTCTGGTTTCGGAATTTAAAGACAACCTCAATTCGCACTTCAAAGTCGCAATTCGTCGGATTCCAACATGCCAAAGATTAAACTGTTGGCAGATTCTAGGTAGAATCATGTTGAATATCCGCGAAACTATAAACCATATCACTGAAAAGTGTTACGTAACGAAAGGACGATTTTATTGCCGAAAAAAAGGAAAAGTTCTCCAATGTTTTGACGCACTTGCACTTTTTCCTTAAATAGGACGCACACAAAAGTAATCACTCAACACACGTATCTTTAGTTGCATAACGACCAAACTGATCACACAGCAGCACGTTCACTAATGACCTCTTCAGAGCAAATCATAACGCGCTTTATTCAACTATTTAAATTATACTCCCTCTTTTGCGTTTATTTGTTTAAAAAGCAATTTACATAATCGAGCGGCAACGTTTGATTTGAAACGTAGACTTGTTCTAACAACATTAGACCACTTACGAAGCTTTTAATTGTACATTAAGGTTATCAAGAGCCGGCACTTACTTTTCTCTGATTAAGGTAAACATGTGCAGTTCATGTAAATATCAGCCTCAAATAAATATTGTATTATTGGGAAAAATAACACATGAATGAGTACATTAACCGCTAGCGAACCGAATTATTGGACGTCATGAATTATCGAAAATACACAAAAATTAGGTTGCATTTTGCATTGACGCATTTTAGATTCATATCGTTTTGTTCAAACATGTTTCAAAACGGTTGCTGCATATGTATTATAATACTTGCGTTATGTTTACTTCTAATGTAGCCAGAACTCGGCAAAAGCTAAAGAAGATAATTCTTTTGCATACATTTTCATTAATCTCATTAAATTTTTTGATAATTAATTATTTTGTTAATTGACAAACAAATATTTTTAGTAGGGCGGTTGTATTTTCTCAGTCAGGAGCCAGGGCGGGAGTGGCAACATTTAGGCTACTTCATAGCTGGGACAGTAGATGGCGCGGCGCTAATGCCGGGCCACTGCTGCAATCTACGATATTTGACTACTTCTTTAAACATGAGCCACCCTGTATATCCCAATACGAAAGCAATCAACCAGAGACCATATAATAGAAAATATAGATCTCATAAACTTTTAATTAATTGAACAATTAACATACTCAAAATGAGCAATTTGGGTGAACGTGCCGTTTGAGCTCTCTGGTTTCACTTCACGTACACGTTCACCACTTCGAACCAATTTTTTTCCCAAACGGATGGTGCTGAATTTCGGGACTCGTAAACACGTATTAAAGGGAAAACGTTTTGATATTATTAAGTGATAAATATCTAATTACATTAAATATTTACTGAATTTTTGTTCAAATACGAGATTTTTGAAATCAAGTAACATCTAATAATATCCATACATTCTCATAGAGGAAAGAGTAGTTTTTAGAAAGCAAATCATTACAGGGAAAATAAAAAATTCGTACGTAATGTACTTTTATTATTTCAAACATTGAAGTTAAAATGCAATAAACTTTTATCTTTAAATTGTTTCACTCACAAACTCCATGAGAAAAATGGTTCAATTCGCCTTCATTTTAGATCTAATGTTATTAGAGATAAATGCGAAGGGTGATTAATTAAAACAAAAATTCCGATATACTTTTTATTAAAATCTCTTATGACATGTTAATTAGTTATCTAATCTTCTTCCTCTTCAGCAGCAGCACCGCTAGTTCCTATTTAAAGCAAGAAAAATCGTAAAAATTGGGGACGTTTTCTTGGCAATTGATACACTTACCCTTGCGGAGGTTCTTCCTCTTAACACGGCCAGGGCGGCCACCACCGAAGGGCGACTTCAACGAGAAGTCGATATGTTTTTGCGAGTCTAGACGGACAACAAACGATGGGATATTTACCACTTGTTTGCGAACTCTGAAAAGTAACAAATGTTAGAATTCTACCGAACCTCGAAATTGCAACAAAAATATGATAGAAACAGTTGTCGCCTCGCAAGGTACCCAATCAAGCCACAAGAGACAAGTTTGGGGCATAAGCTGGTACCATTTCTTTTCGAGTTTCTTTAGCACTAGCAAAGCACGAGTTTCTCTTAACCAGTGACTCTAAGACTCGACTGTTGTAAAATATAGAATACTTAATCACTAGTGTTCTGTAAAGAACTGTTACCTGTAATTAGCTCAACATAAGCAAATTTCAAGGCATTAGTTGTTCAACTAAGTGGCCTGTAAGAATTATTTTCAAATCAACGTGGGAAATAGCATTACCGAATGTGCCGCTGTCTGATTAAAACACGGGCATGATGGATGGACTTGGCCAAACCAAGCTTGAAAACCTGTGTCTGGAGACGTCTTTCCAAGAAGTCTTCAATTTTGAGACCCAATACGTAATCAAGCTTCATCCTGCCTTCATCCAGTACCCCAATACGTACAAGACGACGTAAAAGAGCATTTCCTATAAAAAAAAAATTACAAAATGGCTGATAATACATCAACGAGATTTTTAAGAAGAGTATATTTGATATAATATAAAAGTGTTTCCTCAACTTTCGGCACAGATAAAATCATGGCAAAGACTATTATCTGTTTCCTAGCGGGAACTTATTTAATTTGCCCCTCCGTAATTTCTGGCACTCCTAATAGGCAAATTCGCGCTATAGTAGCGTGGCGTCGGGGCTCCGAAATATTTGAACTTTTACACGTATACCGGCAACTTACCTTCAAACAACCTTTTCGGGTCTTTCTCTTCTAAAGTTAGCAGCTCACGAGCAGCTTTACGGATTTTGGCCAGAGTGTACTTTACTCTCCATACTTCGCGTTTGTTGCGGAGTCCAAATGCACCAATAATTTTCAACTCCTGGTCCAAACGAGCCTTTTCGTAAGGACGCCGCGGAGTGACGTAAGTTTTCGAGCATACAGTGGGGATCCTGCCGTTCACCATGGTGGGAAATTAGGTTCCTCTGCATAAACAAATTCAATGCAATTAGCATGCAGTATGAGACAAATCAATAAACGTGGAATATATGGAACAAATCAGTACACGTGTAATGTAACATGAAACAAATCAATGCACGTGGAATTTACTTATTCTAAAATGTTACCGTGCCATGAATCAGATAAGCAAATGAATGATGCTTTCTGGGATTAAACATGGTTTTAATATTGCCTTGAACGATTAGAAGCTTTTGCCAAGTAATGGGCAATGCTCCATGCCCAGTGAAACAAGGCACGCCTGACATTTTTAAATCCATAAAAATATTAGCCATCCTTCGTAAAATTTGAAAAATAAATACACCTACTGCTTAAGAAAGTATAGATGATCAACTTTCTTCAAGTATTTTTTCGTTGAAGACCAAAAAGAACCAAACTGGAAGAAAAGAAATAAAATGTTAAAAGTACTCACCCACAACCTCTAGACTCGATAGCTGAATGTGAAAGAAAACTGAAATGCTGAGTAGGAAGTAGACAAATTTGGCGTTGAAAAATTCAGTAGGGGGGATGGATGCATGAACGCGTTCCACAATTCAATAATCGATTGTGGTGTTGTCGCATCGGTCGTGTAACGGAAGAGGCACGTCGTTACATGTCGATGGTAATATTAAGTTAGGCGAATTTCGTTAAATGAAATTTATATTTATATAATCGCATTGTGTGCTCGATTATATATTGTTGTTTCATAAAATATATTTCATTTGCGTATAAAGTTTTCATAAAATACTAAAAATATTCCTTGAGAAATTTTCTTTCCTTGGTGATTTATAATGTTGATTATAGTTGTTGAATTTATTTACATAGCTTCAAATTTTCTGCGCCATGCAATAAATTTTTAATGTTTCATTAGATGTAATTTTTTTTATTGTAATTTTTTTCAATATGCTTTTGTAACTTATTAGTATAAAGTAACTATAGACAAAATATGTATGTATATATCTGTATATTTAAGCCGAATTTTAATGTTTGGATTTGTTACAATATCAATTTGTGTAATAAATAGAACTTTACTTTCAATTTACAAAAAATAATTAAAAATTTGAATTTTTGTACCATCTCGATTTCGTGCAGATTTGAAATATGATTTATTAGAACTTACCCCGTGTTTTCATACAGTTTAGGAATTTGGTTTAACGGTATCTTTTTTTTTGTATTATTTTTATCTCTTAAATATTATACTATATTAATAGATCGCGTGATTTTATAAGTTGATAGCAGGCAACCAGAAAAACTGAAATGACAGCCCCGCGATTTTGAGCAGATAAGTTTGAATGTAAGTCGCTGGATATCAAGCGGATTACTTTATCAGGTCGGCTGTAAAAGGAAAATCAATGAAAACGTTCTTCTGAAGCACATTGCCGTTTCCCTCGATTGGAAATTGTATTACGGAAACTGCTTCGCAAATATTTCGGGCATTGTCGACGACTTGTATAGAAATTGGGGTTAGAGAGGAGCGCGTCTGTCAGAACGAAAAAGGCTCGTTTTGGGGTATCGAGTTTTTTTGTTATTTTCGAGTTTGCGTTACGTTTTTATGAGTTTCCTCTTTGCCAGTTAAATTTTTGAAATTCGTTTACTTGCTACATTAGGGGCATTTATCTGCAAATTGTGTGTTTGTTTACATTGTCGCAACACGAACTTTACAAACAAATCGGGTAAGTTTACATTATATCTATAAAAAAATAATTTATTCTACTTGCAAGTTGAGTATTCGCTTGGGTAAGCAACTACAATGCCAAACATGCTACAACTTGTTTTTACTTTTTGATTAGCCACATTTTCCAGAAACTTTGGCTTCCTTAATTTGGGGCCATAAATTAATTTTTCCTGCTCTGCAGTGTTGTCAGAATTTGCATTTAATATAAGATTGTATGTGCAGTCATTATGCTTGTGTAAAGTGGGAAAATTACTTTACACAGGGCGATTCACAATTATTTTCTCGTTTCCTTATTGCCCTTATTACATTTTTTGCTTTTGCTAATTACATATTTTGTTTAATTTTTCTACGGTTGAGTTTCCGAAGATATCTACTGACTCTCAACCTGTATCTAACTTTCGACATGTGATAGAATAGCACATTATACGTATGTATAATGTGCTATTCTATAAAAATAATCGAAAACGTAAAAATTTTTCATTATATACCTAGGAACTTTTTTATTGTTATTGACTTAGGGAGAGAAATAGATCTTCTCACTAGGGAAATGGAGTAAATAATGGTAACTGCTCAAGTTAGTAGTAAAAAATAGTACATTATCGAGAAGTGAGTTATTATTTACCGAGCACTTTTATTTCTAAACTTTTGGTGCTAGATGCGCTCAAAGTAATTCCAAATCCCGATTTCTTCGATTGAAAATAATTTGTGACATCTAATACGATCGCTTAAGTTGTTTGTCACAAAAAAAATGTTTAATGGTTCCATAAAATCATTGTAATTACACAGGATGTGTTTCCGAATACTGTGAAATAATAAAAAAAGTGTTTATAGCGTCATTTTCGGGACGTCTTTCTAATATACATAGATGTTTTCACTTTAAACGTATTTGCAAATAGTACATTACGGTACAAGAGACGAAAGTTAAACTTCCGACACTGCTTGAAGTTGACGCCAGAGGCGAAACCGATAAGCTGTTAATAAACCGATTAATTTATAATGGGTAAAATTAGTGCTTTCGCTATCGAATACAGCGGCGAAAGTACGTACTTTCCACCAGGGGATCAAGAGAAATAATATTACATCTACAACGTAGGCTCGGTTTGGTGTAATTTGCTCTCAAGTGCTAATAAATGCTACTAATTCAAACGTTACTTGTTTAGTTTTAATAAAAAATGATTCTAATTGCATTTGCACGTAAGAATAACTTTGACTCACGATTCTTAATTATATGTTTACGTTTCTAGAAAAAATACAATTTTCTCATATAATTCGAACAGAAGAGAAAATCTTCTGGTTATCAGCTGATGTTGACGCGACTAGTTTCTATATTTAACGAATGAGTCAATAATAATATGTTGCTAATTCCTTAATTTGCTTATAAATCGTGTTAATAAAATATCGTAAACGTTTTAATTTCTTTTCAGCCGTCCGCATGCCATGCTTTCACATAGCGCTTGGCCTCATCGCCTCTCACCTTCAACTACTACAATCCTGACACGAGCCACAACCACCTTAGCGCGCGCGCAATCGGAAGAATCGGGAATTGAACCGGGACAAATCGCGACAATCACTGGATCTTTTATATCGTTTGGTGGACAAGAGGCCCTTGATCAGTATGATACCGATCATACGGATTTGGGTAGTGAGGCTGATGAAAATGAGGCTAGGAAAGGACTGTTAAGAGACGTAAGTGACACAAAATATTTTTCATTGTGTTTAAAAATTGAGTTCAAAAAAATTACCTGTTACCAACAGTATTGGTGAGTACTTTTTCGACTAGAGATCAAATACGAGATGGACGTAGTAGTACTACGAGTAGTAAAAACCTTTGTTTCTGTATTTGATTTCAAAAGTCGAAAGTTAACAGCAAACACCTACATTATAGGAACGCATTTTTGGGTTTACACGTTCATTTTAATTGCTTTTATGAACATGTTCTACTTTTTACACCTATTAGGTCTAACATGATGATTCAGAACTATGATATCCAAAACCTCCAAGGTGCGTACATTTGTATTGGTTCGTCAAATTTTTGACTCTGGCGGCCAAGAACAAACGGTGGATCTCTTAATATATAATAAAGCACCACGTACTGCATGGTGCTTTATTACTGTCACAGAATTTATTGAACATAAAATAGAAATCGATTTCTTTTGATAAAATAGAAACCTCTACGATGGCGCACTGCTTTATACACAAATATTAGAATAATCGAGACCTTTGGGATCCCAACTTCTTATTTAACTCGCTCCACACTCAATTTCCAACGAGCCTACCAAAAATCCGTCTTACTAGACCCAGCAATTCCTTTAATGTTTCGTCAAAAAAGCGACAAAAATGAATCGAGGCTCACGTTGATCCATTTTCGGTCGGTTTATCGACGAAACCTCAAAGAATTTGCCGCGGCTGAGGCTTGGCTCGTCAGGTCTCGACGCACCTTCAGATTTGTACGGGGTTGGCGAGTCCGCAGCCGGCTGCTCGAGGGTGGTTTGCGTCCAAATTCGAAGGAAGACACTTTTTACAAAGTTTTGATTTTATTTTTGTTTCAGCAATGGAGACAATTTTTTGACAAGGTAAAAACAATCCGATAAAGCGAAAGCAATGCGTATTAATTCCTCACTTGTCCTTAAAAGTTTGACCCCGAGGGCTTTGGAGAAATACCCTGGAATGACTTTTTGAACACAATGGATCATCCCGAATTTCGAGAAAGAGTCAATACTGGAAAACGACTAATACTGTTAGAGAAATCACGCACTGCCACAACGCCAGCAATAACTTTCCAGGACTTCGTTAATGTGGTGAGTTTATGTTTATTTATTTCATAGTTTTGATTACCCATCTTCTGCCATACCAAGAGAGTATTCGTTTTTTAACCAACACAGCGCTATGATTAAAACTATGAAAAGATTACAATGAATTAGCAATGTTTGTGTAACAAATTCGTTGGAACAGTTTGTCATTAGTATTTGCATTGTTATCTTTTCCCCAATTCTTGCTCTATGCTAGAAATAAATCCGAAGAACTATTTGATTCACTAAAATATATAAATCTGAAAATATTCTAACCAAGCAAATTTAATTAACTTGATTGATTTGACTTTTTCAATATGTATTAGGATTGTGTACTTTTTAGAGACACGCTGCATAAGTATTAATTCGCGTTATAGTTATTAATAATACGGGCATCTTTCAAAGAATGTAGAATCATATGTACAATATGTAATAAAATATTAATGAATTAAAGTTTAACATAGCAAAAGTAATTGGAATAAAGTTGAACTGAGAAATTGAGTTTAGATTAAATCTGTATTTATGTGTTCTTGTAATACATTGAAATGAGGACTAACTTCGGAAAACTCTTGTCTAAAAGGAAATACAAAAATGTTTTGGTTTGTACTTTCGAAAAGCGTAATTGTTAATTTGTTTGTAATTCTAAATATAGAAAAAGCGAAAGAAATTTTATGAAAGTGTTTTGTTATACGTTGTATATTGTATTATTCGGAACATGAAACAAAAATATTGTACCGTGGATGGCCGAGTAGTAAACTCTTTCTTCTGCTTCCAACTTTTATTCTACTCGGTACAACTTTAACTACGGAACGGGAACAAACTAACTTCTAAATTAACGTCAACCTCACAAACAATAACAATAACAAACGCAAAACTCGGATTTCCGCCTCGCGGGGTTTAACCTCTTCTGAACTCGGTCGCTGTTGTCACTTCACTGACTCCCCATGGTTCTCGTCGTCGCTTATATAGTTTCCTCCAGGTAACCCAGAAGGTTCTCGAAATCTCCA